TTTCAGCTTTAAGTGATTCTTCAAGCTGGATTTTAAAATTATGTCCGTTTCTCAAACATCTTCTTGAGTTTTCATTGTATGTAACAATGATAACTGCAGCATTAGTCTTCTTTTGGAACGATATGATACTAGATACAAAAGTTTTTATTTCCACATTGTCCCTTATGCATCCAATAGGGGAACAGTATAAAGTATCGTAGTTCCTGCTTTTAAAATCTATAGTGAGCTCTTGGAAAGCTTTCACATAGTCAATTAGTTTTGGTTTGTCATAGTACTTGAGCTTGGTTATTAGGCTGTATATCCCAGGTCCGTTATTAGCTTGTTGGTGTGCTAGGTGGCTGGCAACACAATCCCAAACTGTAGGCTTCCCAAATTGGTTCTTAAATTTAACGGCAACTCCAGCAGTCATTTGCCTGTCGTGACCAAAATCACCTGATATACTGTGGGCAAAAGCTACTTTCTTCTTATTACAGTTGTTCTTCAGTGTAGTTGCCATGTCTTGATCAATTACTGTTATTATACTGCTAGGCTTAAAGGGTGTTTTATCTGGCTCTGGCAATATTTTTTTATCAAAAATGAGATTGCACACTTTTCTAGCTACGATTTTTTTCCCCTTTTTGTTAATATGGTAACCTTGTCGTGTATGATAAAATTTTTCCAAGAGATGCAAGTCCAATAGCTTTGTATGAGAATTTGTATGTACCAATGCTCTAATCTTGTTATTTATTTCTGAAATTGTATTATGCTGCACCTTATAATTGTGTAGGTCATATCGGTAGAGTATTGTGGTTATTATAAGATTTGTGTTTTTTTAAATTGACAATTAGACTCTCTAGATTTTTTATTATTGAATCTGAAGTTTCGTTAAGGTCTTTCATTGTGTGGTGAAGCTTCACATTGTTTGATCCCCCAATCAAACAAATCCAGTCATTTTCTGTATATGACTTCAAATGTGACATAGTTTTAGTTTTGTTCACCACATATTCAAACGAAGCTCCAGGTGTTATGTGTCCAAACACATTAAAAGTCTCATTGGTGAGACTGGTCACATGGCTAGCCAGATCTCTCCCCTGACTATCAGCCACAATTGTTAAATTATGTTTTTTTGTCTTGCTTGTCAATTTGATGTTATCTGGCTTGACTACTTTTGCAGGCTTGGGTTGTTTTTTATTTGGAATTTTTATATTAGTAGATGTACTCAGTTCGGTCGCTGCTGATAGTGTGGGGGGGTTAAGGTCTGATTGAGTGCTTAATATTTCAAAGGGGTTTTTGGATACAATAACCTCATTTTGCTGAATGTCACTGCTCGTATCACAATGTGTAGGCGTGAAAGGTTTTCGTCCTCTTGGGGTAACTGTTGTCCATGGGGTTTTACTCTCTTGGGAGGTAGACTCTTTGCTAGCAACAAGTTTCTCAGTATTGCAACTAAGTTTGTTGTCCAAAGGCTGTAAGGTTTGTGCTACATTGTTATTGCAAACTGTTTCACTTATTAGTGTAGGTTTAAGTGCTGTCAGTATCTTGGGGTATTTATGGGATTTGTCAAGCATGAAATTCATGAAAAAATCACTGCTCATTGCAAAGTGATTACTCAGTACATAGGCTATATGGGATCGTTTGGAAACTATGTCTGATTCAGTGAGTACAACATTTTGGAGGAAGTCTAAGTTGATAGTTTCCTGAGTTACGATGTCATGCACAATAGACTCTATAAGCCAGCAAACAAAAACACCACAGTCCCATGTATTTGACTGCTGAGGTCCATGCATTTCAATAAATTCGTAGTTCAATGCATTTTCTCCAATGTAACCTGAGATTTTATCTGCTACTTTCTTTGCAGATTCTAAATTATAACTTTTGCTGGAGTCAAAATAGTGATATTTATTTACTATTTTATTGTAAATAAGAAGGCTCCAGTGTGAACCACTAGTGTTGTATTCTGAGGTAGTTACTTGATCAGAATCATTGATTACCATGATTAATATTTTCATTTTACTAATATGCAAGGGCTCAAGCAAATAATGAAAATCTTGACAGTTTTTAACACCATTAAGGATTAGTGGATTTATTATGGTACAGTCCTTTTTGTAAAGGAATTTGTCATCCAACAGTTGTAAATATGGCTGGAGAGAAATGTCAGACAGCCACTTTTTACCAAGCAACTCCTCTCGAATCCGGTCTTGGCTATTCAAAACATTGTCATTGTTTATAGTGATTACATAAGAATCCAAAGTTTGCATGGTTAAGCTACTTGTTAAATTGTCAAAACTAAAGGATGTATTTGTTGCTTTAGATGTGTCAGAAGGTGCGGGGCTTAGATCAGTATTAGAAGTTTGACTGTCATCTGAACTTATATCTGTCGGAAGTTTTTTGTAGAAAAATTAAAATGTTCTATTTTCAGTTCCAGTTTATTTTCGGTAATGTACTTAGTCAACTCTTTTTTGGATCGAAAAACTTTTCCTTTTGGCGACACCACATGAATATCTATTTTTCCTTTGGATAATCCTGCTTTTCTCAAAACTTCTTTTCTTTGCCATCCTTTAGGAACGCTACTCCCATCCAAACAAATCATTTCATAAGTAGGTTGTATCATAGATAAATCATACTCCCTTAGTAGATTTGTCATCTTATGGAACAGCTGAAGCCAATTTTATTGTTTGTTCTGTACGTCCAACTGTAGAGGTTATGTTTTGTTTACAATTTGTTTCTTGTTATTTCAGTCATTTAAAACCTCATTTAATCATATAAAACGATTTAATCATAAAGAATAACTGGTCCCCTAGTTATATAACCAAATAGTAAAGCACAAATCATAAAAATAACCCTAAAATAATAGAAACAAAATGTGGTCTACCCCAGCGATCAGTGTGGACGTACATGAACTAGACATGAAAAACAAGCTTCAAAATTTACAATGGGATGAGGAGTCTACTTGTGTTGCTTAGTCTATGGTTGTATGTCTTTCAAAACAATTAAGAAATTGATATTTTATTTTAAGAGGAAAAATGCAAGTAATATTCTTGCATCTGATTGTTTTAACAATTTTATTTATTTAATAAATTATTATATATATATATTTTTTTTGTATATTTGTATAAAACAAATCAATTTAATGTGTAAACTTAAAAGTTCAATTTACAGTGCAGATTACAAGTAGTTGCTGAGATATTGTCAGTAAAGCGTAAAGGTAAACAAACTTGCAAGTAATTAGACGGAACTGAACCTTGTCCTTGTCAGAGATAAGCAGTGCCGGCTGTGCCGTTCTCAATATCCTTGTGACCAGTCTTATCATGAGGGATTACCTCATCGGTCAGAATTTATCAATGTTCCAAATAGTTTAGTGTAATCACTCACCCTATTTATAACTTTTCTGTAAGAAGGTATGTAATAATATACTCTTAACACTTTTTTCTTGAGAAAAACACTGTGTAGAGATACAAAACAGACTTTATTAAGGAGCAAAATCACAGATTACTGATACTGTCAGCCATCTTGGATATATATTGGATATATATAGAATTGTACCCCCTGTCAGTCTAGTCCTTCTTCTAAAGACCGGAATTGTAACCCCTGGTGACAGTAGAAGATGTACGCCCTGGAAGTGTACCCCCCTGGATTTGTACCCTCCCACCATTTGACTGTGATTAATAAGTGTCTGGCATCGAAAATAAATTATAATATAATATGCGTTAAAATCCAAGCTTAGAATAGACTTGAAAACACAAAACCTTTATTAATTTGACCACTTGGACTTTTATATAATGTACTAACAATATTTTCTATTGTAATTATTTTTGTCTTTGTTTGCTTTTATTAAAACTTATAGTAAAATTTGTCACTTAACATGTGATTTTAAGCTTTTTCACTGCGTACGGATTAAGTGTAGAGCTGAATTTATATTGTAAAAATTATGTAAAAGGCTGCTTTACGGTAATCATTAAAAAATTCAATAATTAATTATTACTATAAAATAAAATGGACTCCATATTTAGTATTAGTCGTACCAACAATATACTACATTCGCGAGAGACACAGGCAAAACACCATTCATTGGATCCGTAACATTGTATTTTTTATTGTTATATTTTTATCTATTAGATTGTATAACATTAAAAAGGCCTACTTACGATGTTTGGAAATTGACTTCAGGCTTTGTCTTGTGCATTTTCGAAGGCTAAAGGTTAAATTTTAAATTTATGGAAGGTTAAAACTCAAATTTTATGAAAAGGTTTTAAGTTATTGGATAACAGAATTATAAAACAAACTAGGCAATAATGTAAACCAGTTGATCATGGTTTAAGAAAATGAATAAAATATCCATATGATCCGGGGCGAAGTAAAGTGGTGAAGCCAAATGTTTGGACAATCTCTTCACAATCATATTTCCTTAGTACAACCACTATTTTCTTTACAGGATTAAAATCAAACATATGTAACTTTAGAGGGCATTTGATACTATTTCATTTTAATAATACCAATTAAGTTTATTGAAAGATGTAACTACAACAGGGGGGGGGTACAACTCCAGCCTGTACACAAGCCAAGCTACCTGTCCAAGAGGGGGGTAAAATTCCGGGGGGTACAATTCCATCCCGTACAGAAATAATTTGATGTTGGCAGGGGGTACAATTCCAGGGGGGTACAATTCGGGGTCGTACATCTCCTGCTCTTTTAGCGAATTCTCAAATAGGAAATAAGCTATTACCGTACCGGTAGGTCTAATGGTAAGACTCGGGACCGATTATGTGGGGGATTTATGTTGTGTTTATTACCAGGAAAAGCTAAGCTGAAGTCGGTTCATAAAATTTAGGCGGGTTAAGGGGATGGTTTCCTGGGTTACCCCTCCACTTTTTTTAGCTCAATTCATAAATCAGCTGTTGGCTGTTGTTTCAAAATTACGGTGAGATGGATGGGGTGGATTTTTTTTCCGCTTTCCTCCAAACCGCCTAAATTTTATGAAAAGAGTATAACGAGAATTACATTCCACATTAAGGTCACAGCAATTAATTGCAGAACACATGTTGCTTTCTACGGCTAATTGTTAAAACTGCGAGGATAATAGATGATAACTCCTGACCAGTTTTACAATTCATTTTTCTACTTTACGTCTAACTATGAAAACTCTCCTAGTTTTTCTTCTTCTTTCCATTAATGTCGCCTTCGCTTGTGATTCTGATGGAGGCTTTGGGGCATGGCTTGACCGCTATTTTTTCTGGCTCAACCCGTTCTGGTGGTCAAGTTCTTTGAAAGATAGCAATCCTGGAACAGTAAGTGATTTTAAACCATTCTTACCCACTTCTCACTAATATAAAATATGTGATGCTAATTGTAAATTCTTACTTTTCTAAATTGATTTTTTACTTGGTAAAATTTCATGAACAACCAGCTTGCAGTAAAATTTTCAATTGCAAAATGGTTTTTTCCTCTCTAGTGTATACGCCAGTGGCATTTTTGTATGAAGTAAAGTCAGACGTTTTGAAGGGAAAGTGGTCCAAACGCATTAAATGTTTTGTGAACAGCCAGGAATTGAGCACATCCCTCCCGCACCTAAGTCCGAGATGCTAAGCAAGCACTAGCTACACACCCCTAGCCCCTCCAAATTTGTGTTCGGAGCATGGAATGAAATTATGCGTACAAGTTTACAATGAATTAATTCTTTCACAAGTCTTTGAGTGTTTATAATTAAGAAACTCAATACAAATTTATCAAGTGTTACTCTTGTGAAATAATTTGTAACTTCACAACTTTTAGCTTGTTGTAATATTTTTGTATTGGCTACATTCATCCAGCATGAAAAAATTTGAATCTTATTAACATGTCACTGTCACATATACATTGCTAAACATCAGCAATTAATTGTATATATTTCTTTGAAAAATAGATTCAAATAAATTGAATTTAGTACACAGTACAGGAAAAACACTTTTAGACCAAATGTAAAAAAAACCAATAGAAAACGTTAAAAAAAGTTATAGCGTTATATTTGTAGCATCAATCTTAATTAGACTAATGGACATTTTGCTATAATTAGGATGAGAAATGATATAATTTATTTTAGTTCCTGTTTAATTAGTGTTACATGGACTTAATTTAAACGTACATTGATCTGTCCACAAACAAGTTTTCATCTATTTTTATCTCCCTGCGACCAATGGTTTTTTGTTTTATTCTCTTGTCCTAAGACGCTAGGCACGAGCCTGGGATTGTTTTTCACATTACTTCAGGCTAGACTTGGGATTGCGGCATTATCACTTAGATATAATCCATTGGTGATTTGGCGGGATTTGAACCCGGGACCTCAGGGACTTCAGCTCGCTCACCCCTGTACACAACAATGACAATTGGAATTGGATAGAAATAAATACTTTCAATAGCAAACAAATCTAAATTAAAGTGAAAAGTAATGAAGATAATTTACGCTGATCTGTAGAATGTCATAAAAATGTGTAGATACCAAACAGGCAATAATTTGTGGCATCTAGATTCACTCTGTTGTTTATGATTTGAGAGGCGTAAGCTGAAGTGCTATTTATACAATCCGGACATGAAATTTAAAAAGATTTTAATAGATCAAAATTGACTGTAGCTAGCAATATAAAGAAAGAAAAGTGCCACACAGCTATAAAACTATTTCACCTATACAGTTGACAATAAACTTTTTTTTTGTAAAGTGATAAATGATTTCAGAAAAATTGGATTGTAGACTATCACATAATAAATGAAGGCGTTTTCTACAAAACACTAATCCTCCGTTAATAATGAACGGATTTTTACAAAATGATGTGTCAAAATTAAGTATTAGTTGTGTAGACCAATTCTTTCACCAATTTCTGTCATAAGGCCATCAAAATCCCAATGTATTTCTTAGAATGAAAAGATTGTGTTTTCTTAAATAGACAAATAATTTGTATTTTACAGCTGTTCATAGTAAACATGATACACACAAGAGCGTTCGTTTTCAGTTTCGATAACTGGAGTGGAGTGATTGATTACATTATCTTTGAGTTGACTCTTTTAGGTCATAGGAAATTATGACTGTTAGTTGTTTTGAAATAATGCCTGTAATACTTTGCAATTTTGCTTGAATTCAAGCAACAGGTGCACTAGTAAAAAATATTGCTTGTAACTGTTAAAAATCATGACCTATTTTTGAAACAAATTCACAGCTGTTTTGTATGATTTTGAGATTTAAGCAAGATAATGTTGTGCAAAAAATGGTTTGCAATCATTAGAATATTAACGAAATAATTGTATATTTATTAATATTGATCATTTATTGTTTTTCCAGTCGGGGAATGACTTGCAGTCGGAAATAATGGCTTCTGAGATAGGAAATGTGTCTTAAGATTAAGTCATTGGTCCAGCATGCATGATCTGCGTAGGCCTTCTCCAAAACTGTAGAACTACTTCAAATATTGCATAACTTTTAAAAACTGAACCAATAAAATTATTGGACATATGCTTGAATAAATGATTACCCTACATTAGAGTATAAGTACCCTACCGAATAGTTTAAGACTTTATTTAATATGTTTGCTACCAATTGGGGCATTTTATATGCACTGGTAGGGCGATCAAAATAGACTGACACAAATATTGAACGTTGAGAGACTAGAGGTAGTAAATTGGTCAGTAATATATACCCTATAGGGTATATATTCAATGGTAACTCAGACCAGAAATAAAAAAAATGTTATAAACAATTAATATACAATATTCTTGCTTCCAACACTGTTAACTTACTTCTACCATATGCTTCTACACACAAGTCAAACAAATATAGTGTAAATATGCGTAGCGTACAAAAATATAACTAAACTAATATGATATATCAAAATCATAAAAATTGTATGTGTTTCACAATAGTGAAAGTGGGTCAAAACAAGCAATTTAACATGTAAATAGTTATTTGTGCAACTAGTGAGAAAAGTGAGCAATTGACTCACTCGAGAGAAATCCTTACTCACGAGCCGTAGGCGAATGAGGAATGGTTTCTCGAGTGAGGCAATTGTACTTTGAACTCGAGTTGCACATTATACTTTTCCTACAGTTACCATAAAACAAATAAATTGGTGAAGAAACATAACCTATTTTTGCACAGAAGTGAACTTTTAATATAACATTAAATGTGAAGTGACAAATACAACAGTACAACAGCTGACCAGCTGATTTACAGCCAGTGCTGCCAACGTATTTCGCGCGCAATTGCCTGCATGTTACGCGCTCACTATTTCGTGCATTCACCTTGCAAATCTGGAGTGAGACAAAGTAATTAGAGTGAGACAATGTTAGCATTGTCTCACTGATGAGCGAATTGGCCACTTTGCTTTCTCAAATCAGTGAGAGAACATGTACATTGTTAGGTAACTGTAGGAAAAATATATATTGTAAAAATATCTTTCACAAATTTTCTGTCCTATCCAGAAATAATTTTGCTGTTCAATTTTATCGAGAAAGTAAAAACTGTTTTGTAATAGTTCTCTGTAGAAGGTAGAAATAATCAATTAAAGGTTACAATAATTCCAATTCCAGGTTCTAGTCCAATCATCGTCAAACCATCACCTTTTTTTGCCGTCTTGTTATTGTTAAGTTTCCTTTTATAATTTATATTTGCACTGTTAAATTTTCAATTCATATTCGATAACCTTTCATCTCGATTCATGTTCCTCTCAATGTTGTTACATTCACCATAATAGCACTTAGTCATAATTAATTATTGTCACACTCTCATTGTTCATACCTGTTATTGTTAAGGGTTTATATTTTATTGCACTGTTAAATCTTCAAATTTTTGATGTTTTCCTTTTTGATCCTGAATTTAGCGAAGCAGGCTGATAATGTTAGTTCAATTTCAAGACCATATTGCATGTTTATTTTTTTTTCTTGTTTGCCAATGTTGTATGTTCATAGTATATATATATATTTGTCATATTTCATTACTCAGTTGCGAATCATTAGCATGTATTCATAAAGCATGACCAAAAAGCAAGATGTAAAACTTACTGCATGTTAATAGTATTAATTAATCCACAAATTGTTATGCATGTAATTGATTGTAAAAATGGCGATTTTGCAGTAAACAAATAAATAAAATTAAAATCAAATAAAATTAATCCATCATGCGCTCCAGTATGATACCTAGTATGATACCAGTATGATACCTATACAGTGCATATTTTTTTACGTCTACCCTCTGTAGTGTATTCCAACTTAGGTTGGGCGTTTGTGTATTGTTAGTTGTAATGTGTTAGTTAAGTTTTTTTCACCTGAGGACGGGATCAGATTCCAGATCCCGAAATGTTGTGTATTGTTTTTTACATTCGTGATGGAAAATGTCCGCAATAAACTTTTGAACAACATACCTAGTGTATTACGATTTTACAGGATAACACGGCAGATTAAATTATGTAGCTTTTTATTTAATAAAAGTAGCTTGAGTTAATACAAGGTTACATCTGATAAAATAAATATAATGGCAAAAGGCACAACCAATATATTTTATTTATGAACATAAAAATGTACAGAACGTGTATAATACAAAGCAAATAATTTACAAAGCTTTGTGATCATAGGAGTGGCAGTCTTGAGGTAACAATAATATACAAGTGAACATTTTAAAATCAGCTAGCTTAAAATCACAGGTAAACCAACACGATAACATTATTAAAATATAAACAAACACACACAAACAATAACACTGCCATTTTAAGAGTTAAAAGATACAAATTTTATTCATAAAGCACCCAAGTTGTGGTAGAAAGATATTTTTAAATCTTAAGGAAACAGCTTAAGGATATTTTTAGTGTATAGTATAAACTGTACAATTTGATTAAAAAGTGATAACAACAAGTTCATGTAAAATGAATAAAATAACAATAATGGTAACAAACGTTCAGCATTATAGATAGCATAATTCACACTTACATTATGATTGGAATGTATCATACAAATCTTGAATGATTTGAAATATATTTTTATAGGCACATCACAAAATAAAAAGGTTTAGCAATAAAATAGTTTTAGTATAAGCTGAAAAAATAATACAACATAATCCACAGTAATAAAAAATAAAATACTTCTTAACAAATATGAAACTAGGACAGAGTATTGGAAAGATGACTTTATACTAAAATGGCATCCATAAGAGGACAGGATTATATATTTATAATATAAAAACACTTCAGAGTATTCATGTTCTTAAAAACCAAACATCCTTGAGAAACGTACAAGTTTTGCACTATGAAATTAACTAAGTTAGCCTCAATTCATTGTCTATTTATATTATGAATTATGTACAGGAATTTCAATCATTATCTTACTCTAAAACTTATTATTTAAGATGAAAACCAACATTTTAACAATCAATGCCATTTGGAGATCCTACAAAATAACTAACATTAAAACGATAACAACAGATAAATGATTAAAAGTTTATGATTTAAATGTTCCTAGTTGTGTTGGAACAGGTTACACATTCTAATCAATTGCTTCATAAAAAAACAAATTTTAAAATTTAAAGGGCTGTCGGGTTGTTACCTTTGAACAAAATAATAAAATTAAGGTTCAGATTATAAAAGACAAAATAAGATATTATATGTTTTTTGCACTCACATGTTAAAACTAAAAAAAAAATACATGAGGACTAGTATTAAAACTCTAACACCTAAAGAGTAAAAAGTTAGCCGTGTTTAGAACCTTTTGATGCAGAGCTATTTTGAACAGTTGGATTGTATAACCAATCTAGTACAAGGATCAACTATTCAAGTTTTAGGATAGAAAACAGTTTGACTGGCTACTACCAACTTGTTATCATTAGTGGGAGAATTAACTAGATTAAATATGTAGTGATCAAGTTATATGAAACTTATAAAGAAACTTAACCTAAACATGTTACTTATAAAGTTTAAGAGTGGTTTAAATACCTTTTGAGGGTTCTCTTTAATATATTGTAGGGGAATTTCCTTTTAACCTGGGTTTCCCTACATTAAAATCAGTTGGAAAACGTAAAGTAGGAAACAAAAATCCCTTTGTACAAGATCGATAAATTCAATACATCCTTGCTAGTTCATAATGTTGGTTTAAGAATATTAGCAGTCTGACAGCCCGGAATGCTTCACAATTGCACTAATCGAAATGCTGGAATGCGGTAAAATTTTATATCACAGTCACGTTTGAAACATAGGAATTAGCTTGGTATTAACTTGATTTAAGCGCTAGAGTTATTAAATAGAGAACTATTAGGCACAACCATTCCAATGAGTTGTTGGAAGTCAATCTCCCACCTCGTCCGCAAAGCTTGATGTCTTCCTCCTGGGAAAAAGAAAGATCAATTTAAAAATGTTACCTGGATTTATTTTTAATAAAAATATTTTTCTTTTGCTAAAGTGAAAACAGCTGTATTGTTACATTTTACGCAGGACTCAAAAAGGAATATTTCATAACTAGGGTACAAAAAGTCCCTTTTCTATAGAAGCTCAAGTTTTACGAGGCAAAGCCGAGGTTGGATAATAAGGGAGAGTCAAAAAAGACACTTCTGGCCAGTGTTATTAATAGCTATATTTTGTCATAAATACTTAGGTACTGCCATTATCTAAGCCAACTAAATCACTAAACCGTTGTGGGGTTTTACGTTTTACCTTCATAAATTAGCTCCCATATTTATTTTTGTCTCGTTTTGCTGTCTTAAAAAAAACCTGATACTTGATAAAAAACTTATACCCTTATCTAGAAGCAAAATGTATTCTTCGGCCAACACATTTAAAAAAATATTCAAATTCATAAAATTTGGCTTAATATCAAAGAGTGATGATGAATGTTTTTCATTGATATTCAGTGCACAACAAAACGTTGAGATTATTAGAAGGATGTAAAAGTTGTTATAATCGATAACATTATATATATTGATGTGATTATTTAACGATTGAAAGATTTTATCAATGAACTATCCATTCAGTACAGTAGTTAATGTAAAATATACAATGTGTCACAATAAAAAAAAAACATTTTTATAACTATGCAATAACATTTTAACACCTGTGATTATTCAGAAAAATGAACAGCTGGTGTCCTCGACTCATTTTTTTCTTTAGGGAGAAAAACAGCTACTTTAAACCGGCAACATATTTATTGAAAACATTGGTTTTTGCATCAGTATGACAATCGGTTTTAGCGAATTTCCCTATAGGGAAGTAGCTATTACCGTAGGTCTCATGGTAAGACTTAGGCCCGGGACCGATTTACTTTTTCATTTTAATGTCCCCAGAGGCCAAAAACACCATTCGTTCAAATTTTTATATATGTATATATATATATATATATATATATATATATAGATTTATATATATATATATGTGTCCGTGAACACGATAACTTGAGTATTATTTATCCGATTTTGATGAAATTTGGTTTGAAGGTGTAAGGCGGGATAAACTTGAATGAGTTCGCGATCCAGCATGATCGGTCCATGGGAACAGGGTTTTATGGGGGGTTTTATGGGGTAAAAATTGGTTTTTCTCACTTTTTACCCTCAAAACACAAAATTTCCCAATTTTTCTCTAAACCTTCTTAAAGAGCTTAAAAAAACAAACAATTCAGTATATCAAAGTGTTTTTGTACGGTTATTGGTTACGGAGAAAACTAAAAAAATGGTAAATTTAAAATTCCCATGTTATTCTTATGGAGAATATTGTAAAATGTTGTAGTTTGCTTGTTTATGGATATATTTTGATCAAACTTGGCAAATTTATTTATTTTATAGTAAGCTATCAATATTTGACTAAAAACACACTACTTTATTAGTTTCCTTGTAGCAGCAAACCTAGGTACTCGTTAAACCTAATGTTATTTAAATAGATCAATTGAAAATCTATTCTGCCAAATGGAAATTCGCTTAGACGGCAGGTTTGCTGCGGCGGGGGTATTTTTATTCTTAAGGTAAAAAGCAGTCCTCGATTTGTAAAAAATTGAGGTTCCGGAACTGAAACTTATTTTACCCCACACTACAATGTTTTAACAAACTTCCACCGCAAGGATTTAGTCTAGAAAACAGCTGCAGCCAGCTTAATCAAATGGGGTTTTATTACGTATTATTGTACTGTAACTGATTATATTTGGCTATGAGTGGTTATAAACAAAAACATAACCATTCTTATTGGTTATGAGTAGTTATTGTTGTTCCTTTAGTCGGTGGGTTTATATAAGGATTTTTTAATGTTAAGTTAGCTTAGAGTAGTAGGCTATGGCGTAAAATATCGTAAGTCACTCGTCCAAAATGTGTTTACCAGACTCGTATGGTAGTCCCTCGCTCGACTTCGTCTCGCACGGGAACGACCACATTAGTCCTGTAAACACCTATTTTCAGGACTAGTAATATAATATACTATAATGTGATTAGTACCTATAATCTCTACTGACTATCTGAGGACTGCCTATTTCGGACTCTTTCAGTCTCATATTGCTTATGGTCTCATACTTTGGGGACACTCTGCAAATGTCTCAGATGCCCTGATTCTTCAAAAAAAATTAATTAGAACCATTTGTCAAGCCAGGCCTGGAGATCATAGTAGATGTCTTTTCAAACAATTGAAGATTCCTACAATTATTAACTTGTATATTTATCATGTATTAATATTCACAAAAACAAATCTAAATTCTTTTTTTATTAGACGTGAGGTACACAATCACAATACCAGGAATAAAAACAAACTTGAAATCCTGCAACATAGGTTAACAAAGTTTGGAAATTCTTACATGGTAAATTGTGTTAAATTTTTTAATAAGCTTCCCGATAATGCTCACACCACTCCTCTTAAAGGCTTCAATACCAAGATGTATCAATGGCTTCTAGACAATCCATTCTTTACTATTAATGAGTTTATGGCCACCAACATAGATAATATATTTTAAGTTTTCAAATTAATGATAAGCATTAACTTTTGTTTGTTTGGATGAGGTTTACCAATTTTATTAATTTAATGTTTATGAAGCTGTTGTTTGGGTACTAGGCTGGAGTTGCAACTTTAGTTTTAATTTAAATATATTTAGATATTATTGATGATTATTATCGATATTATTGATATTATTTGATGTTATTGACTGTATATATTTATGTTGACCATGCCCATCTCATGTAAAAATGATCAACGGCAATAAATATCTTATGTCTTATGTCTTATTTATGCCAATATTTTTATCTTTTTGATAGTACCGGAATGCCAAACTGCCACATTCCAGCACAAATCGAGCACTGGTAAAAAGTATGAACTGGCGTTAAAGTTGTCATCAGCTCTACAACTTGTTCATTGTTTTTCACTTTGGCTTTGTAAAATTTGTACCGTAGTTGATATTTTCATTGTTGGCGAGTATCCAACATAGGTATTCATAATTATAGTCAATCTACTATTCACTAGCTCGATCGTAACAAACCACATGTTTAAATACTTCAGTAACAACTGTTCTTTTTTAATAGTTGAACAAGAGGGAAGCCATTTTGGAAGCTCACTTATAAAGGTCAATAAATAACATGTACAATTTTCTTTTCTGACTTGGTTAGCAAAAGGAATAGTTAATTATAACAAAAAAAATAGTTCAATTTGGGACGAAAGTGACATTTTTACATGCTAATTTTTATCTGTTAAACTTTTGAGTCAACTAAGGATCACTTTAGGCCTTAGAGATTAAATACACTGTTTCATTATAATAGTACCAGGAGACCGAGCTTTGCTCGGATTGAATTAAACATTCAATTTATTGGATAAGTTATTTAGCTAAAAATACGGTAATCAATGTGAACACATTTTTTATAATTCAAAGAAAACATTTTATTTAATACACCATTATAAATACGCTAGCAGAGTACCCGTCCTTCCTACGGGGTTGGTGTAAGTATAAAATGCTTATTGCAGTTATACTTGGCTTTGCGTTTGGAATGGGAGAGGACACGGTTTAAGAAAATTTGATTCTTTTAATTTACGGTATGCTATAATATAGCATATCTACCATAGCCATAATGTTCTACCACTACACCTAAACAATAAAAAAAGTAAATGTCTCATTGTATATCACAGCTTTTTGTTGCTAGTTGGTTCAAATTAGCTGTTTTCCATTGTCATCCAATGCAAAAAAAATAATAGTGCTGCACCCTATAAACCTTATAACTTTAAAACTTCTTGATGCAATTTAATATCATAGAACCAACTTGTGTAGTTGAAACAGCTGACAAAATTCTTTCATTCCTTATGTGAATACTCAGGTAATGTTAACTTGGGAAACTCCAAAGCCAATGGGGTGGAGCCAGAAAGGATTTTTGAGATAAGAATATGTCTATATGTTAATCGGGAATGTGAGCTATCACCATACCAATTTTCAGCCCACTCTGACCAGTAGTTAATTCGTGATAGAACTTCAAACAAACAAACAAATAAACAAACAATCAAACACACACACTTTCGCATTTATAATATTGTAAAAACTACCTCTATCAGCTGTTTTTATTAACTGCAGCTACAAAAAGGTATAGACAATAACATGGCCACTTTCAAGGGCCGTAGGACGGAAACTGGATTTTTCCCAGGCTTGTGGCCAACTTCAATCTATTTCTCGAGGCCAAATACCCCATGATATAAAAAAAAATTGAAAATCCTTGGTCGAAAATAAAAGCTTGTATTACACACGCTTGTTTTAGAATATAGGATTTAATATCCCCTGCCTGTAGAATTTGGGTGTTTCAATATGATTATTGGGGCTTTAACGTTTTAAAACTTTTATTACATTAAATTTACTAATTCTCTATAAATGACACATAAAATGTCACCAGTGGGATTCGATCTGGATACCTTATGGATATTAGTCGATTACGCTAATCACTACGCCACGAACCCCGATGAATTCACTTTGTATCATTGCGGTAATGGTATTCCCTCGAGAAAAGAGAGTGACATCACGCCCCACACTCCTTCGCAAATAGGTTCTCATCGGTTCCTGACTAGCCCCCTGAGATGCTTCTCAAATATATCTAGTAGAGATTTGGCCGCACCTCAAAACCCCTCCACCTCTCTTGACCTCCTTTTACTTCCTCAGTTGTGTCTACTCTCTTCAAATCAGCCATGTCACACATGCTTCGCAGTGCGGCTGAGAGGGCTGTACAGGTTCAGAAGTCTCTGTCAGAATCTGCAAAGCTGCACCTCATGCAGTTCTGAAAGTGTTTACATATTGTCTCCTTGCTTATGGTTCAGCATCTCTAGAGAAGACATGCACCGAATGCAAGAACTCATTTTTGGGCTCAAACGGTTTGAACATGTCTCTCCATTCAGAGCTGTAGCAGGGATGACAACAGAAGAAACTGTTAGCAGGATCATGACGTGCTGCATGGTGCACAAGGCTCTTGTCGTACAGGAGCCACAGTACCTTCTTGAGAGGCTCTCCTTCCGGGAAGAGGTCTCTCAACGCAATACCCGCCATGGAAGTCTCTAGCTTTACTTTCCAATAGTGAGGCTTGAGTTTGGAATGAGGAGCTTTTGGTACTTCTGCCCAAAGCTGTACAACGACCTCCCCTCTGGCTTAAACAAATATGCCTTGCCATCTTTTATAGTTAAAATTAAGGAATTGTTCTCTCATGATTAGTTATTATTTAGGTTTTCTTGTTTCTGTTTTGTTATTGTATCTATTTATTTGTTTGTTAGTGCTAGTTATTATATGACGAGAGTTGTTCTGAACAGCAGTTATACTGAGTAACGCTTGATCAATAAAGGCATTTTTATCTATTTATCATCACTTGGCTTCACTATTTTCACCATTGCCTCCCTCTCAGTCCTCTTCCTTAAGTTTTCTTTATCACTTGCTTTGTCATCCACTCTTCTCAAAATATGCCTAATTAAATCCCTAAACATTTTAACTACCTAGTTCTAGTGTCTACAAACCTTCTCATGTTCCTTGATGCATGACGGAGGCCGCCGACGGTCCATGTTGTGTTTGAACTTGATCTTCTGGCAGTTGAGTGTTGTGCCGTTGTAATTTACCTCACTGGGGATCACGTTCATAGAGAACACAGAAGAATGAGTTGGACAGTTGGCGTTGACCACCAACAACATGAGATCACTGGAGGGGATACTCTGGACAACAAACGGACTGCAACATACACACACATTGTTAATCCCACTAACTGACACCACTGAATCTCAAGGATAGATTCATCCGGCTGGATTACTGAATGTCAAATCTCATACTTGGTAACCAATAAATTTAAGGTTCTAAAATTCCTGTTTTAAGCGAGATTAAAATAATATACGAGCTTTTCTAAACAGGAATCTTGCTATGCTATTGTGATCGTGTAACAAGGATTTCGCATCAATTGCAGGTGTGACGGCCTGGCATATTTGCCTCATTTGGTTGTAATTTGTTAACTTTGAGCTTAAGCTGATTGGCCTTACTCCCTAAACCTGGCCCGCTGGCTATCACCGAATATTTGCTAGGTTGATGTGTCAACCGTATTTAGCAATATTGAATTTTATTTAACTTCACATAAGTCTCCAAGTGAACCTTAAAACTCATATTCCAATTCATTTCATTACTTTGTAACCCTACAATAATCCTAACCAGACGTCGTGGCCTGGCCGGATATGCCTTGGAATGTGCTGAATCTGCATGCACGTGTGCCGCGATAAACAATGTTACACTTCTAGACTCGGTTCCTCGCTTCAGTTAGTTTCATTAATGACAGTTGTAATCGTTTGGCTGCAGCACCTGTCAAGCAACTGTCCACGCGTTGAATTATGGGCTGAGCGCTCAGCGTGCGCTGATTGGCTGACGATGGTCATGTGACCACGCTGACGCTTCCGCTTGGGCGATGCTGAAGCTTTAGATCGCGCCGGAATGTAGCGAATGACGGTAAGGTCCGCCGCGCGCGGCCTCGCGCCCTTTCTTTCTCTTACTCTTTCTATGAGTCCGTGTACGTTCTAAATTCAGTGTTAAAATCATTTAATATTCTGTTAGTCGCGAGTACAAAGTGTTAGTTGTATTTTCTTGTATCATCGTGTTTGTAGTTATGTAAAGTCATTATTCATTATTCGATAATTAATAAAATTAGTTGATCCCTATTCGCTTGTTTTAATGTTCGTTCTTCCTGCTCCCAACCGCTACGAAGACTAAAGAGGGCCGCTGTGACACAGGAGACGATCAATTAAGTTGTCTCTAAAATAAATATTACAAGAATTCATCTTTAAGAATCGAGGTTCTGTACTTAATTCCATGAGAGCACCCAACTTATAATATAATCACCAAATATTTAAATAATAAATTTTATAAAACAACAACGCACACTTGTGAGTGTATTTTAAGCTGAAAATGAATGCAGGTTGAGTGTACAATGGAGTGAGATACCTGTCTTGTTTTGTTACCAACTCAGATAAACTATTTCTCTAGTTAGTACCGCCATTGACTTTTGGATATTGCAGAATACATCTCATCCATACAGACCAGATGTAGCCAATTATTTGTTAAAAAAAGGATGTAAGTGAATGAGCTGTTCGGGATGTGCTTCAGTCTAAAATTCTATTTTTCCTTTTAATTTGTTCCACTGAGGTGACTTAAAATAAAACTTGCTATTAATTATCATAAGTCGTCCATTCAGTTTTGATTGGTTAAAAACTAAAGAGTTTCCAAACTCCACAGAAATTAGTAATTTAGATCAGCGTACTCAGTTTGCTTAATTTTATGTTGATGTTCATTCTAAAACTGGTGACAACTTAAACATGGCAATACCAGAGTGAGCTGGTCTAGTGAGGTTATTGGCTCAAATCGTACCAATCAGTGGATCTTATCTACGTTATGCTGCAACTCTCTAGGAAGTTATGTGAATGATGTGAAAATAGGACATCTAACACTCACGGGCTACAGACGTCCCTCTCCTTAGGTTGACCTCTAGATGCTCTCCCTCTTTCTCTCTCCCTCTCTGACTTGGCTCTCTCTCTCTCGGAAACCAGCTGGTACAGGTCTACCTCCATAGTGCAAGGTGCCGGCCGGGTACGGTTGATCATAACCTGTCAATAATAAATATATTTGTACGCTTTTAGTCAGTTGTCATATTAGTAATCTAGAAATATTAAGGTTCCATTGTCCTAGAGACAAAGAGACAAAGAGACAAAACTACAATTGGGTGATAACTGTCAAAGTTATTTATAGATGTTATCATTTTCCTTTGCTATCCAAGGCAGTAAAAAATTGAGATCCTGCATCAAATATTTTGCAACCAATTTTCTAGGAAAAGCAGTAAGACAGCATTCATTGACTACAGTAGACTCCTCTAGTTCGGCTTCGGTTGGATCGGCCGCCGGATGGTCCGGCCCGGTCTCAGGGGGACAAGTCATATCGTCACGTGCGAATGACCATCGACAGGATTCAACTTGAATGTTTAGTTTCTGGCCATAAAAGTAAACAATTCATGTCAGTTTAGTTGACGGGTGCTTCTATGGGTGGATTGTTGCATTTTACCTATACTATGTTACATAACCTCAAAAATACCAAGAACATTTTATGAATAGTTTTTCTTCAGTCAAATATGTTAAATGCAGTGTATAATTAAATATTTCGGACCATTTTTTATGCGGTAGGTTCTCCCATTATTGTTTTTGAAACACCACGGTTTATTTGATAAAAATAAATTAAGGTAAAACAAAGAAATAGCCATCGTAAGCTTCAAGGACAAGCTATCCGCTTGCACTGACAATAGTGACAATCATCTGCTCTTTACACAACTGTCAGCTGTGTGCTTGCTATCTCACAACTGTTTGTGATTGGGTGATTGGTAACCATGGCAACTTGTTGAATGTGTGGATGAAGAGAAACCAAAGAAAGAATTGAAGAACAAAGAAGAAAGAATAAGCGGTGTTTTACGTCATCCATTGTTATCTTTATCCTATTTTACGACTGTCGTTATTATCTTTAAGACTGAGTACTATGATTTTATGCAGTTTTATGACTTATCTAATGTTTTTATCGTCATTCTTATGTTCTGAAACAACATGTAGTAGTAGCCTACGCTGACTACGGCAGCAGTAGCATGCTGTACTAGACTTTCTATTGTTCTGTACTTACGTGATTTATTGCTGTACTTACAGTGTTGTGTAATTTTTGTTTTGCTTGAGTAAGCGTGATTTTAAACGTTACAGTTTTTAGATTACTGATTACTGAACCAATGTTAATGACTTAACATCACAATTGCGCAATACTATTACTTGTATTTTGATTATGTAAAATGCAAATTAATTATCACATTAACGTCCATTTTATACAGTATTAGGGGTTTTATGGGTATGTAATATGTGTTTATGCCATGTTGGATTGACCGTGGTTTTCAGTTATCCGTAGCCCCACCCCGGATAATTGAGGTTCTACTACATCCGGTTGGTCCGGTTGTTTTGTAGTTCTGCCAGTGGTCCGGTCCCGAGGTGGCCGAACTAGAGGGAGTCTACTGTAGATGCTTTAGCGTTTGAGAGTTTGGGGGATGATGTTGCTCGCATCTGAAGAATAGAGAAGCTACATCTGTTCCTCTGGGTTGTGCTAAACTACGTGACAATTTTTGTAGCTAGACCATCACACTACCACCTGCCACACAAAATACTTCTGTGGTTTGTGGGGCAATTTAGAATAAGCCTCCTTTTTCACAACAAATAAAGCGGATACATCTGTCACCTGTCCAGGAAGGGTTAAAAATCAAGTGAAAAAACATGCATTTACTGTATTACATTTTTGGAACGGTTCCTTACATAAAGGATCCCTCTGGTGAACACAATACAAAATGTACCTTGCCAAAAACATCCTTAATGTTGCTCTCGCCTGAAGGCATGGACATTGTAGGTTCTACGTCATCTCCCTCTTCCTCCTCTCCTTCTGTGATGTACTCCTCATCAGAAACTGAAAGATAAATCATCAATCACCAGATGGTTGCTGACAGCTTACAAATCAATATTTTTATTGACAAAGGCCAAACTTAAACTTTGAATTTCATCTTGTAAAGAACTCACAACCTGTACAACAACATTCAATCCACCTCTTAAGAAGTATACTTTCAATCTATACTGGCATGGGAATCTCACACTATGATAACTTTTTCAAACTTTCTTGGATTTGTCATCAGTTACGAAGATTAAAAACCTCTATCTCTCAATAGATGACAGTTATGTCTTATTTCCGATTTTCCTTTGTTACCTATTGGTCCAATGGATCAAGAATAAAAATCATGCAACACTGATATTTCGTCCTAATACAGTAAAACCCTGACTAATCAGAAATAAAGAAGGCGAGTCCTGAGAGGTTATTTTTTAACTGAATTCTAAAAATCTATAACTAGGCCTACATACACAAAATACATTTTAGCAAATTGTTTTTTGAACTTTATCTTTATCAAGGTAAGAGATGTGTATTGTCGTCTGCACTATTACATTCTGTTAGCCAATTACCCGCATCACTGTGGAAAATTCTTGCTGCATACAAATAATTTTACAGTTTTTAATATGGTTTCGGTTAACTCGGGTTTCAGTTTAATGTGGTGTGGTTAAAAGAGCTTTTACTGTAATGTACTGACTTCTTCTGTACTGGTACTAATTTTCTTCAGAGAGTATGATAACAATAAATGTGACTTAAACCTCTAGGCTTGAACTTTTATTGGTAGAAGAACTCTTTCCCAAAAATCCTCCTTAATATGTGCTTAAGTGACTTACCCTCTGGGGGAAAAGAGAATCCCAGAGTTCCGATCCACTGGAAGTTAAACTCAAACAGAAACCAGACCACATTCGCCACAATCCAGTTACCCAACCAGCTGATATAGTGCAGGGGCTAGAACAAGAATTGTTGTATTACTTCATGATGGTATTAGTAGTAATAATTATCACTTAAAACCTTTTAATTTATGTTTTATTACTATAAAGTCTTGTAGTTGGAAAAATTCCTAATTATCAAGAAAAATTATTTTGTGTTATGGAATTTACAAAATTGTCAAAGTGCAGCAAACATTTTATCGGCAACCCCTCTGCACCAACAAATCTGTGAATGGCAAAGGGAGTTAAAAGAATTGTAAAATTGTAAAGAGAATGTTTATTTTATATGTAGACCTACAATTTAAGGTGAGCTTTATTCCACCAGGTCTTCGCCTTTTCACATAGAGCTAAATAAGCCACAAAGACATTAAAAATCGGCGAGGTTTGAAACCGAGCCTCTAGGATTGATGTCCTAAATCGTGACCACTAACCCCTGCCTCAAAATACCTGTTATGAAACTGTAACCAGTTCAAAACACACATATACTACTGAGACCCAAACTCAAAATTGTCTAATTACAACTATATTTTGGATAATCTTGATATTTTAAGGAAACTTACATTTTTCAAACCAACGGAATCACTTTTCTCGGGTTGAGTGGCAAAGCAGACACCTTGATAATCGTAGATGTGGACTCTACGGTAAACATTCTCGGCAACTAGCTGTTCCATGACGAATGGGTGGATCTAAAAACATTGAAATTTGAAACCAGATGTTAGAAAGGCAAGGTAAACTACCATCTAAGGTAACGTTAGCTTTGGCAGTAATGAAGAATGCAAGAACACTACTAATATCAGGAATGATATCAACATTTCAGTTTTTAAGTTCATGAAGATTACAAACCATTTTGAAATGGGACGGTTTATTACATGAAACAAATTAAATTTTCTTTACAACAGGATAACTGTTGTTCATGATACTAATAATAAACAGTACCAAAAGTTTACAACAGGGAAACATGTAAATTGAAATCCATGTTTTAGCCCCTGTGCTGTGATATAATCAAAAATAGGTATTTACCTTTTTGTCAACAGCTCGATTTGAGTTCCTAACCTTTGTTACGGCCATTTCGGCATTATAATGCCATCATCAGACGCTGAAATTCAGCTGAAGTAGCGTCATCATAGTTTGTGATGTGTTTTTAAACTATGACGACGCTAATTCAGCTGAATTTTAATGTCTAATGAATAATGATGGCAATATAATGCAGAAACGGCTGTAACGAAGGTTACAATAGATGGAGCTGTAGACAAAAAGGTAATTCATTCCGGTATGTTTTTTCCTTCGTGATGGCATTATTAACCCTAGCAGTGGCCAACCGTCGTCTGGTGACAGTATGACGTTGATGCTTAGAATGGCCAATATCGTCTGGTGACGGTATGGGCCGAAATTTTTTTAACGGTAAAAAAAACACTTACAATCAACTCAGATGAGAATAATATTTATACCATTCGAACGATCACATTCTGAACTTTCATTTGATTACATAAACAAACCCTGTAGCAGGTATATAACAATGTCACGACGATTAGAAATCAAATGAAATTTTGACGCGGCACGACTTTTGCAGCCGACACTTGGGAACTGGCAAAACACGTCTTGTTTGGCATTACCCTGCTCGGGTAATTTTCGTCTTGGGATGTTGCGGGTGGTACCACTGGATAGCCATTGATTTTATCTTCATTGTGGTAGTGATATTTATAACTAAATATTGATTGCACAATCGGTACGATTTTATGAAAACAGCTGTTTTCGAAATTTCTAACAAATGGCCAACAGTCGTCTGGTGACAGTATGGAAAATACGAATTATATACAGTGAAAGTTATTATTACTAGTCATATAATATATCATTTTGAAGAGGAAGAAATTTAGATTCAGAGAGTGGCAGCCCTGCACTCAGCGTTATTTCTGTATGCTCGCATGTAGACGACGGAAGTGAGTCATTACTGCTACAGTCTGTCAGCTGTCTTGTATTGCCATTGTTTGTGTTGTTGCCGGTAATAGTTTTATCCGCGATTTATAACTAAATATGTTATTAGTTCATAGTGTTAGTGTTAGTGAAGTGTTGTGTGTGTGTATAACAGTAATCTTCATGCATAAATATTACTGAATTGTGTGAAATAGTGTTCATAAAAGGTTGTATTTTGTTAGCATCATGTCCTAAAGTGACGATTCTGACATTCAGAGATTGTTGTACCTATATAATGATATACCCAAGGTGTTATACATTTTTATAAAGGTAAATGAATACACTACAACATGTTTATAATGGTTTGGGGGTAAAAAATTTTGTAAAAAAGTTATAGCCTACCTATACTAAATAGGCCTACTACTGTATTTTGTTAGCATCATGTCCAAAAATGACGATTCTGACATTCAGAGGTGCTATATATGCTATATAATGATTTACCCAAGGTGTTATACATTTTTATAATGGTAAATGAATCAACATGTTTATATTGGTTTGGGTGTAAAAAATTTGGTAAAAAATTATATAGGCTACTAAATACTGTACACTCCATTTTCTCGAAATGCGCAAAAAATTCAAAACGTTCTCAAATTGATACATAATCATAGGTGAAAATAACTTTTTACCATCATACTTATGACTTTTTTGGATTCTTTACTTCATTAGCTTTACAAATATGTAGGCTACATATCATCAGCCTACATAATGTTTCACAACACAAGCAAACACTGTAATCTATAGTTTAGACTTATTTGCGGTTTTGCGGTTATTGTATTATTATGTCCCTATTACGTACCTACAAAAAAAATATTTCTAACATGTTATACATTTTTATGTAGGTAATTGAATACACTACAAGATTATTATGTTGGTTTGAAGTAAACAAATTTGGTACAAAAGTTGTATACTAAGTACTGCAAATTTTTTTTCTCGAGAAATCGCTAAAATATAAAAACATTATTTTATATACGTATGTTTATAGGTAAAAAATTATTTTTACCATAAACTTTATGACTTTTTTTGATTCCTTACTTCATTAGCTTTACAAACATGTATATATCATTATTAGTATACACATATATTATAGAATTTTTTACAACATAAACTAACACTGTACGGTTTTCAATTTTTTCGGTTCTCCGTTTGTCATTATATTTCGCCCCAAAAACGTATAAAAAAAAATATTTTCCTAACATGTTATATATTTTTATGTAGGGAATTAGATTGTCTACAAAATGTATATAATGAATTTCCCATAAAAAAATCCGTAGAAAAAAATTACCGAGGCCGCTTTTGAAATTTCAAAAAAAAAATTCAAATTTTTTTATTTTTTTCACTTTACCGATAAAAATCATGTCTAAATCATTATGATATTACTATTTCTAGATTCTCCTGTTCTTTCCGAACAAAATGAATATGAGGTTGGCTAGGTTTACTTGTACGGTTGAATTTTTACGAATTTTCAAAAAAAGGTCTGCAAAATCGCCAAAATGGGTTGGCCATTCCCCACTTCTAACATTGGCCACTCCTAGGGTTAATGTTATTCTTAGGTTGTCGGTTACTCATCACTAAAATAAATTAATCACAATTTACTAAAAATGTCGAGGTATATTTCAAGTTTACATCAAAACTCATCTTCAGCCTCTATTAACAACATATCAAGTAAATAAACTATGATTTATAATGTTTGTTTATAAATTAATTAACATATGTTTGAATTATTTTAAAATTAAGTTAGTAGGAAAAATTTTTTATATGTATCTATTATGTAGATGTCACAGTTAATTTATTATTGTTTTTCCAATTTTAATTTTGTTCTCAACCTCTTCTCGAATTAAAGGTATAAACATAGGGCTGATTGTAGCACTAGGTTGGGATATGCTTCTTTTATCAACTGCCATGCAAGCAGCTTCTTTAAGATTTCTTAATTTCCAGTCTGCTTCCTGTTATTACGAGCAAACATCACGACCTATGGAGAAGAGACTAAAAGAACACCAGAAGAGCATTAGTAATCATTTGGAGAGTTATTCCAAACTAAGTGAACATGTTTTCTCTGAAGAACATAGAATACATTGGTCTGAATCAACTATGATCTACCAGGAAGCAGACTGGAAATTAAGAAATCTTAAAGAAGCTGCTTGCATGGCGGTTGATAAAAGAAGCATATCCCAATTGTGATTAATTTATTTTATTTATTTATTTTAGTGATGAGTAACCGACAACCTAAGAATAACAAAAAGGTAAATACCTATTTTTAAACATGTAAAATATATCAAGATATCAAATATTATCAACATCATAAATCAAACATTATGAAATCCCTATTAAAATACCAATCTCTAGTTACGTTAAATTCAACATAGTTGACATGTTAGTGATTTTACATATTTAAATAATCTGCTTAACGTGTCTGAACGTAAATATTCTAGAGCAGTTTCATCCAAAAAATAAATTTTAATGTACATTTTTTAACTTTCTCTACATGCTTCACATAACAAGTGGGTCAACCAATTGACACCAAAATGGTCCGAAAATAAAACTATTCTACAGAACATTTTTATTTTCGGAATTGTCATAAACTTGAGGTGAAACACTTATTTTCTTACATAATGTTTTGTGACCTGATGCTTGGATTACAATATGTTAGTGACAGTTGGAGGATTACCTCTCCAAAGAAGTAGCCAGTGTGTTCTTTGTTTTCCGACAGTATCACGTAGGCGTTGCTGTCGAGGACGAAACATTCAAAACTGTCGCTCGCACAGGTTTGGGAGTGTCGACAGTCTCCCATACTTGTCGGACACTATTGACAATCATTAAGTTAATGTCTGTAACATTTTAGTTTTACGGGGTAAGATATTAAACGTTAAATAAAATCTGAAAGCTGTGAAAACAAAAACTAATAAAACTTTCTCTGTTTGGCTCTAAAAGAGTGTTAAGACTTAACATTTATTTATGTCTATCAGCGCCACGGGCACTTTTCCCTCGTTTTTTGTAAGGGGGATGGTAAAACCCTAGATTTCTTACAATCTAACCTTTTGTTAGATTACATCATTTGATAGCCCAATGCCAAGTATAATCTGGGCCCATTAACAGTCTTGCTTGTAATTGAACCTTCAGATTCGAAAACATTTATAAAAAGAACCCTTTTCTGTGGGTTCAAAATAAAAGTCCACAAAACATAACACTGATATTTTGTCCTGATGTAGGACTACTCAGAGAGTAGGTTGATAAGTATTGTTAGTTAAAGTTTGAAACTTAAGAGTTGCCATTTGTGAGAATAAAAAAAAATTAAATAAAAATTAAAAAGACACTATGAAACTCCTATACTATACATAAACACTAAAAAGACGTTCTGTATTTATACTGCGTTTTTGGAAAAACTACATAAAAGCTAGCTGAGAGCAAAGTTTGGGGGTTATTATCTTAAAGACTCCAAAAATCTTCCGAACCTCAATTTAGATTCCATCAAACTTACACTACGTGTGATGTTCATAAAGAGGTTGTGAAGTGCGGAATGTTGGAACTGAAACCCGACCACGGCCGCTGGTGCCCTTTTATCTCCGTTTTCAGCAAAGATGGCGTTGGCTGCTGTCACCAGTATTTCATTCTTGATCAGGTTTTCCGAGCCTAGAATACCTAAAGAAAATTAACAGAGTGAATGATCTACATTGACATTTTGGACAGCTGGTAAATTAATTGGGGAGAAAATCACGTCTTAAAGTTTTGCAGCTGTTTAAAACATTGTACGTCCACATGGTATAGCTCGAGACGATTTACCCACCTATCCCAGATGGGTGACTGATATACCTGCATAATGGTTGTAGATGTTATGTTCATTTATTTATACAAAAGTAAAATCAGGAAGGGTTAAAGGGGCATTGTCTAGGCTAGGTTCAAATACACAATCCTTGGCTTATTTGTTATTTATAGATAACCATACACTGATCATTATACTAACCACTGTTGAAGGGGACAGTGTAGATGAATCTGTCAGGATCATCATAGTTTTGCTCCACTGCTCGTCTGTACCAGACCTCATCAATCGCACGAACATGGGTATCTTTAAAGTGCCTGAAAAAATACAACCTTAACTAACAAAACAATAAAAATAAAAATAAAAACACTTAAACACCAACATTTTTTCTCAAAGATAAAATTGATTGACAGACTCTAGATGGTTTGGAAAAAGATGTAAAAGTAAAAAAGGTTTGTAGTAGTTACAAGAAAAATCCTAAATTTTGATTTTTGACGTGCAAATTCTACTCCGCTTTTCACATTTATTCACATACATAAGATACATAAGATATACATAAGATATTAGTTTACACGAGTTATTCTAAATTTCATGAATATGGGGTGAATTTGTAAAGAGTTATGTGCCTGAAAACACACTTCTAATATACATGTATGAAAGAATTCAAAAAAACTGTTTTTGGCCATCAGAGGACCCAAAAACTACAATTTGTAATGTACGGTATCCAGACTAAGGTCTTATCATGAAGACTACTCTTCCCTATAGACAAATTCATCTAAACACACTCCACACTAAACTGAGCAACAGAAAAAACCCAAAACATTAAGAATAACAGATATGGTCACAAAGATAAATAAAAATACTGTGACAGATAGGAGCTACTAAATAAAAAAAACATGGACTAAAATTTTACTTTATCAGAAATTGTTAAAAAACTATTCAACCCAAACAACAAATCTTACGGTCCGGAAGGTTGATCGTCTTTTCCAGGAACATCCGGGAAATCCTGCCATCGGGTGAGTCCACTCCGGGTCGCCAGAAAAACCAAAGTTAGCCCAAAACGCTGCTTGAACTCCTTTCTACAACAAAACACTGGGAGTTAATAATCCTACATTATCGATTTAATTTTTAATAACAAATTCAGCAATCATAAAGGGGCAGCGTAAATGTTCTTGAACGGTAAAACTCTTAAATAAAGTAAACCAGAAATCATCAGGAGGTAAAATAATACAGTAACTAAATGATCAAATTCATTACAAAAATGTTCCTTGAGATATGTTGAAGAGTTAAAATTAATCACAAATGCTGTTCAGTACAGTACCGAACCAATATTACCTTAGGACACAAAAAAATACTGCTTATCCTACTGAATAATCTGAAACCAGTTTTTTTATGTGTTTCATATCCGTTTACAGTTGAAAAGGTTGATGTCGATATAATGATTTCCTCTTATTTTAAAGACAGTTTTATATTGTGCAATTAACTCTTAGTTTGTATTATGTGAGGACGAGTAATAATTTGAAATGTATTGTTTTGTTTGGTTAGAGCTTAATTCAAATTAGTTTGTTTGGTGCCAATTATAAATTTGTAAGGTGGTTAAATTTATGGCTTTTTTAGTTTATTGCTTTTTGCATTATTTATTTAGGTTGAATAAATTTTCCAAATATAGCTACAACTACACTGGTACACAAATAATTCCATAAGGAGTGTAAGGTTGACTTTTTGAACTTGTTTCTGATTGTTTTTTTAACTATTCAATCTTTTGGCATTTTATAAAATAAGAGAATAACATCATTGTCTTTGAAATCCCATAAAATATACCAAATTGAAATAAACATATTGTACATGAAATACGTTAAATTGTATATACATTGTAAATTGAAACTTACTAGTTGAAAATATTATTAACGTAAATAACAAAACAAACATTTGGTAATTAAAAATACACTATAAACACTGTAAAATCCTGTTGAACGTAAGCGGAAATGGGATTAAAACATGGCTTGGGTTGACACAGATTTATTTAAGATTAGTACATCGCCACCATGAAACAAACCCAACAATTAGATTGTGAATTTCTAACATATAATGGATTGTAAAAACAGTGTCCAACGTACCGCACGTATATACAAATTAAATATCATGAGACCAAAAAGGTTGAACAAAACATTTTAGTCATTACAATATCATTGATTTAAGAGCATAAATATAAGAATTTAGAATGAAGAGATTTTTGTTAACAATACATTGAGTTCTATGACATTGACTTCCCTGTGTTAGGAATATTTTAAAATTCATCATAGGTTAAACATTCATAGCTAAGGCTTCCTACATTTTTTCACTATGTCCTGGTTTAAATTTGGCAGCAATGCTGGATCGATTAGTTAGACAGGAATCAAATCAAACCAACTTTATTTGTGATGCACATTTATGACACACAGACACATTGAACAGAATTTAGTTTGTCACATTAAAATAAAAACTTAAGCTAATCGTATTACTTTCTTTACTATTTTACCAAAAACATTATTATCAGTATTAAATTTCAAGAAATTGAAAAAAATCATCTTATTTATGTAACAGCCTTTTAATGAAAAATAATTTTAAATGTTTTTTTATAAATTTAAATCATCTATATTTTATATACCTTCAATTATGATATGACATTATAAGATTGGATTTTCTTGTAAATCGATAATAATTATGTCTTTAAGCCAGTTGATTATGTAAACCAGTTGATCCCCTTTTCTATTAGGCTTTATTTATGAAGAGTTCAGTTATTGGTAATCTTTCACAATTTGGTTTAATATTGAAGAGCTAGTTGATAAATGTCAGCTAAAACAGCCATAATTTCCTTAAAGTGTTCTTAGGCGGATTCTATTTAAAAAAATTACATTATTTGGATTGCCTTTTTTGAAGTTCTAGAATACTATTTAAATTATTAGGTGATGTGCTACCATAAAGAAATAACCCAAAAGAAATGAAAGATTCTATTAAGGAATGATATAGGCCTACTATTTTTTAGGCTTTAAAGCTACTAAATATTTTTAGGACCAATTTTGTTCTGCTCCCTTCACCATCATACCGATTAATCGTTTTACTTGTAATGGTTGATTTAAAAGGTTTTTCTAGGTAGTTGCAGTCATGCGTACATATTCTGTCATTATTAGTCCTATAATAATCACTTTTATAATCAGTTTTCCTGTGAATCCTGTAGAGAAAAATCATATAACAATCATAAAAACCAACAGCAACAGATTATAGTAGATACATTTAACAGCTTACTCTAGCAAAACAAGTTATCATCCAGATTCATAGATTAAAAGACTAAGGTTTAGTTTGATTATGAAAACAAATCCTTTGTCCTGTGAAAGCTATAAAAAACACAATAAAACATTATAAAGCATAGTTTAGATTAGTAATGCGAGCAACAGTGATAGCTCCAACATCAGGTTACCCCTCGTCACAGTCTCGAATAAATATCTAACAAAACAGTTAATCGTTCATGCTAAAACTTACAATTAGAATTACACAGAGAAATGTATTTAATGAAGGATTAGAACAAAACCAAGCAGCCATTAAATTTATTTTACTCTCAATTTAGTGTCTCCTGTAGGGTTGTCCGTAGGTAATCTAACTGGTTCCTATCACAACAGTTAGTTTAAATAACACTAGCATCATGTTCTTTACTTCTCCCTCCACTATTCAACGCTCAGTATCGTCTTAGAATCCGTTAATGCAGGGCAAGTCGACACGCCAGCCGAGTACGAATCACAGTTTACTGAGAGTCAACTGAAAGTGAAATCAGCAAATGATAACAAACAGTCAGTAACAGTTAGCTGCAAAGTTTAGTCATTTGCCCTCTTATTTATTCCAAGGAGATTAAACAGTTATCATCTGCTAGATTATTAAAATCTCATCAGACAATATAAGTGAAAATAAATTAGTTCCAAGTTATATACAAACAATGAATAAGGAAACCAACATGATTCTTTAGAAACTCCTTCCAGATGGTCTTCTCCTTGCTTCATCACAACTGTAAAAGCTAAATTAGGTCAAACCACATAAAATGTTAAACTTTGTGAAAACAGTTAATATGCAAGTTAATATCAAAAAGCATTAGGAAGTAAACAAGGACTTGTAAATATTAAGTTTTACAAGCATACGGGGAAATTATGTCATTGTAGTACTGTAGTTGTATTCAGATTTTAATGAAGTGTCAATTATTGTGTCTAGAATTGGGATAAAAGATTTTGGAGGTTTAAATTTAGAAACACAATATTTTAATTAATACAAATTGTTATATGAATGGAGTGGTACTGGAAAATGTTAAATTAAAGATCTAATAAAGTTAATCTGACAAGTTATTCTTACAAAACCGCTTTACTTTGCAACCAAGCAATTTGTTGAAGACCTACGTTTACCTGAATTTCACCTTAAACTGAATTAGCAAGTGCATTTTCTCATAAGTTTAAAAAATAATACCTATTATTTTGCTATTAAAATAAATTTAAACAAAACAATTGAACACTTTGACCATAAAATAAATTCAAAACCTAAATCCGAGTATTTTAGTAAATTCAAAAAATCTTTAATTTGGAATGATTTTACAAAAATACTTAATAAGCCTAAATTTGTATGTATTCATTTAGGAAATCCTACTAATATTATAAATGAGAAAGTTTGGATGTATGGATGTATGGATGTATGGATGTATGGATGTATGTTTGTGACAAGTGAACGCGAAAAATACTGGTCGGATTGGGCTGAAATTTGGCATGATGATAGCTCACATTCCCGATTAACATATAGGCATATTCTTATTTCAAAAATCCTTTCGGGCTTCGCCCCAGTGGCTCTGGAGTTTCCCATGTTAACCTTATGAGAAATGGAATTATTGAATCTTAACAGCTGTTTCAACTAAACAAGTTGGTTCTGTTCTATGATGTTCAATAGCATTAAAGTTACAAGGATTACCAACAGGGTGCAGCACTATTATTTCTTTTACATTTATGACAACAGCTAATTTGCAACCAAAAGGTGAGTGAGCGTAGCGAACGAACTTCAACCTGGAGGCGAGTTAGCGTAGCGAACGAGCTAACCTGAAGGCAAGTGAGCGCAGCGAACGAGCTCCAACCTAGAGGTGAGTGAGCGTAGCGAACGAGCTCCAACATAAAGGTGAGTGAGCGTAGCGAACAAACTTCAACCAGGACGTGATTGAGCCATGCGAACGAGATAATCTTGAAAATTAAGAATTTAAACGGGGCAAAGCCCGCGGGTTACAGCTAGTAGTTTATATTAATAATTTGCTTTTTCACTGTTTCTTTTTGTTACAAAATTTTGTTAAGTACCATTTACTGTGATGATATTTTCAGGAGTTCAACTGTAAAACACAAATCACCAAACCACAACTTTATATAAATCTGTAAAACTTTGCACAAACCTAGTAATCACAGGTTTTACAACCGACACAATAAATTACAATATACAACCATAAATTATTTGAATTATTATTTTTTTAATCTTTAGTTAGGTCAGGCCTTTAACAGAGAATTACTAGGGTGGGAAAAAGCGTGTGATTGTGTTTACTTTACCTTGATAGCAAAACCATCAGCTTTGCAATGGGCCTTTGGTGCAAAGAACATAGGGTTAGTACACTACAAACAACAGTGCACAAGTACAGTTCTGATGCCTTCAAAACATTTTATAGGTATTGCAAATATATACAGAGTGAATAAAAAGCCAAGACCCCCCATCTAATATTTTTCTAAGTAAATATACAAAGATGTCCTTTTGGTGGTCGTGCAATCTCAGAAGGAAGTTTCATTTTATGATTTTGGAAATTTTGAGTGTCCCCCAAAAATGGGGGATTTTGGGGGCAACTCAAAATTTGTAATGTGAATAGCGGAGTTTGCTATATTTTCTCTGTCCAAAATGGTAGCCTGTCAAAATTTTATGAGGTTTACTCTAACATTAATGTTCTTGTGTAAAAAAGGAATTTTCCCTCCCCTCTAATTTGTTCCTAAGTAAATATTACAGATTTATTTATGGGTGGTCATACAGCCTTGGCAGGAAGTTTCATTTTATATATTTTTTTTTTATTTTGCGTGCTCCCAAAAAGAGGGATATTTTGGGTGATATCTTGAGATAGTGAGCTCTGGTGTTCACCATTCTTTAATTTTTTTCAAAAATGAGGTGTCACTTAAAGGGGGTTTACTTTAAAAATGTTAAGGTTGCCCAAAAAAACTTAAGCACATGAGATAATGAAGCTAAATTTTACAACCATTAAATTAAATGAAACACCCCTTTGAATTACAAAGTATTAAAGCCAAATAAATAAATCTGGCTAATGAGTCAAATGTAAATAAATATCTTAAGTAAAGTATCAAATCAAAAGGCATCAGAACCGTATATTTTATGTTATAGAAAGTGCAAAAGCTAATCAAGCAACTAGACTACTCCTTGCTGCTCCTGATTAAAACATGTATCGTTAATTATAGTTATGTAAATTAAATAGTAATTGTGTCCATCAATTGTATTTTGACAATAGAATAAAGATTTGTTTACAAATATTCATTTGTTATGTTAACTACCTAATTAATATTTAATAGTCTTTTGAGTTTATTTTTGATTGCTAGCAAAATCTCAAATATTTTACTGTAGGCCTACTTTTTTTTAAAACATAAAATAGCTTGTAGACTTGAGCATTTATTTTTTATTTTACAAATAAATACTATGTAATGATGTTTTTGATCTAAACAAAAATGTAAAGTACCGTCAGGATACCTTACATGAGAAAGTTGTGGAGTCCAGGGATTTCAAGTCATTTCAAATAACAATGATTCTTCATCCTAGAAAAGGATTTTTTCAGGAAGCACATCTCCCATATGTAATTTTGGAAGCTGTTGCGTGTTAATAGAAAATATCAAAGTTAACTTATATGATCTTTTTTATAGCAATTGGGCTATAATTAAGTTCACAGTTTTCTAAAAAATGCAAGCTCAACAACTCTATTTTTAAAAGTTTCTTAATTTAAGGGTAACTAATTAAAATCACTTAATTCCACTGTGAATATTATCAAACAGAAAAAGATTCCAAAAACACCATTCACCGCTAATATTGATAAATACATTTTTTTTGTAATGCTAACGGTGATTTTTTGAGTACAATCAAACACTTCCTCAGGTAAAAAAATCATTTGTAAAAAAAATAGAAAGGGGTTTTTCCTAGATTTCAAACACCCCTCCCCCATTAAATCAGTTTTAAAAAGAGGTGCAACGGCAAAATGCGTGTGAACCAACATACAAGTGCGAGGAACATTTTATTGAATATATATTTACCCCTTGTCTTCGGCTGAGGCAGCACTCACGTTTTTGTTGAACCAAGCTGTAACTTTGGCGTCAAACACCAAGGAAAGGAAAAGGGTTCGGTCACCTGGAAAAGATAAAACATTCTCACAAATAGAAAATCATAGACAATAATTATTCACATACCCATCACCAGCAAATTTTCTATAGCAAGTGAGTATTACCATTGACAATAGATGCTGCAAGTGGACTTTTTTCCTTTTGTGAAATCTGAAGACAGTTTAGATCAGTGTGTTTTATGTACAGTAGCATTCATAGATGCTGATGTTAATTAATTTTTCTCTTTTAAATTTTTTTAAGTTTACACTTTGTTACTATAATTTATGATACCAGAGGCTAAGCCGTAGTTCATAAATAAATTGTTTACTTGGTTGAGATAAGCAGATCAGAAAACAAAGCTGCTGGCTCACCCAAAAGTGATGTCAGATACAGTGATTGATGTGTGGAAATTACGTAAAAGTAGTATTTAAATATGAAAAAAAAAAAATGGGAGGGGTTTGTGATTTATTTGAGCTAATATGGCCATTGTTATGTGATTTGATGATGTAAGTTGGTGACATGATTAAACGACTTCAAAGTTAAAGGGCAAGGTAATTAGGATGAAATAAAAAAAAATCTTTCTTGCACTGATGTAACAAATCCCAGTTTTTTTCTATGTTCCACCCATCCATATACAGTACTATCTAGTTATCTAAAATCTATCTATGTACAGGTCTGCAGTTTGCATGTGATGCGATCCCAAGAGATGACTGTGCCTCTCTCCCCCTACTTTGTGGGGAAGTTTTTCTCTTCCTTGCGACCCTGGGCCCATTTATTAAGGTGACCATGTATGACAGTACAGTTATAAAATTTTTCTCTGTTTCATCCCTTTTCCCATCCTTTTCCTACTAAACAGATTTTTTCAATTGAAGTGTCATTTTAAAGCTTATAATATTGCTCAGTGACAAATGGTGGTTAACCCTTTGCGGTCGGAGTATAGGTCGCCGCCTGCCATTTTGCCGACTGCTCAAAAATGACATACTATAAGGGAAAAAAAATGAAAAATCAAAAAGTTAATTTTTTTGGTCGAATGGTGAGTATAGGTCACCGGGCGCCATTTTTCCGACTGCTCAAATGGCAAAATATACTCTCTGCAAAATGAAAAAAAAAATCGACCTCAAAGGGTTAAAAAGTGTATTTCTTAAGGGCTTCGATTACTTTGGCCTTTGATTTATTTTTAATGGATGCCTTCAAAAATCCAGGTGTTGGCGAGCAGCTTACTTAATACCGGTTTTAATGTCAGTTGTAATTTAACAGCTGATTACCTAAAAGGCATTAATAGTTAAGCCTCGGAGATGGGTTCAGAAACCTATTAAAATGTCATTTCGTGCACGGGCCCTGCGTTATTTATTCATTTCATATTTTATTTAATAATCAGAAGCTATTGGTTAAAATGCCACAGACTTAAGCTGAAAATGTATAGTAATGTAACCCAAAACTGAAAAGTTTTAAAGTCGGTGAAATAACAAAAATAAATAGTTAAATTTTAAAAAGAACTCTACATGTGATGGGCAGAATCTATCTTCAGTTCACCCATGGATATGGGCGGATCCATGGAAGGGGGGGAGGAGTGCAGCCTTCCTTTGGGGTGGTTTATGTTTTTGTTTAAATCAAAAAGTAAAAAATATTAGACAAGTTTGAATTTGACTTTAAATTATGCCGATATATAGATTGCCCCAAAATGTTTAAAGTTATTATGTTTCAAAAATTTTCATGAGGGAAGATCCCAAACACCTAGCTCATGAAAATATAAGAAAGTAACCCCACTTTTTAACTGGCTGGATCGTCTCATGACCATAAGGAAGACAAATCTTCAAAGTGTACGTTTAATCTATGACATTATACACTAATTTTATAATTAAGTTACAATTTGTATATTGTAGTTGTTACAGTCCTATACGTTCTACACAGCCCCTTTATTATACATTACATAATTTAAAAATAACTGTCAAAGCCTCTACTTTTTAATGTCCCATCTTCACATCCAAGGACGCTAGGTTCTAGCCTGGAATTGACTTTACACATTGCTTCAGGCTAGTCGTTGAGGGTTGCAGCATTATCACATGGATAAAACCTTATGTTGGTTGGCAGGATTAGATCCCAGGACCTCGGGCTCCAAAGAAAGCCCACAACCTACCACTGGACCAGCTAGTTCCCATAAAGCTTTGACTATTAGTTCCAAGTCCATTTCAGGGTGGTAAAAAGAAATAAATAAAAATAACATTTTTACTTCACATAAATAGGTACTTAACAGATTAACTCATTGCAGGGATTGTTAATGGAAGTATTTTTCCAATAAAAAGTAAGTTGTCTTTTCTTGAAAAACCTATCAATTTTATTTTCAAACAATTCAACTTACTGCGGTTAAAAATGGCGTAACGAGTCTATGAAATAGATGAAACTATAAGTGAACGGCAGGATTTAAACCTTGGTCTATAGGCCTACCACAGAAGTCCTACGCTCTAACCACTAGACCACAACCCAAACACTTACTTCTTACCCAATAAATATTTCACCACAAATACAAAGTACTACAATTTTTTCTAACCAAAACTACTCACAAATACTTATAACACGTTAACAACACGGATGTGTTGTTGATGGTGCAACTTAACTAAGTGCAGTGTCCATTTATAATCTACTTGTGGAACTTTTGCATGCATAAATTTCTGTTCCACAGCTAACAATGTGCGGGCATGCACAAAAATCTCAACAGATATTTCTACCTTGTGTAATCTACAAACATGATGACAAAACATGACTCGCTGCTCTTAAACAGTTTGGCGTAAATGGGTGATGGAGAACAATGAAATCAGCTACCAAATATTGTTTGTAGTTAGCAAAATGTTGATGTATGGAAAATCTCTGATTAACCCTTTGTCATCCTGATAAACCATGTCTAGGTTATGTGGCCTATGATTGGTTGGTTGGCTGGCTTTGCACAGCAGCTCGGATAACTTAACAATGGTTGACCTTGCTTTTCAGATGACCGGTGGTATTGGCCAACATTGTTAAACTCAAAACGCTCTAAAAGCCAACAATAGCAAAAAAAATGCTTTTTTACAACAAATGGATTTTTTTTAGCTGAAAATGTAGATGATTCGGAGCTAGTGGAAGAAAAGGTCATTATGGCTGCAAAGGAAATAAGCAGAAAAGGCAAGCCAGATGTTAAAACTTGTATCTGCAAACTAAATTTAATTTTAATTTACAAAAATTATTATCAGTTCAAATAATTTACAGGGTGGTTTTGTTTTCAAACTGACATAAAAAAAGCTTCAGCATTACAAGCTTGATTTTATTCCTTTTTACAAAATAAAATCCGCACAATCCTACATGACGTAGTGTGAAATAAATGAGAATCCAGAAGAATACATATTTTTAATATATTGATATACAATAAAGATTGTTTTCAAACCCCAATTTAAGGCATTCATGAATGCCATAGATTTTCTTAAAGATCAGTAAGTGATTTCTTTCTCAATCCAATTCATGTCCAACCTTTGACGTAAATTTATATTTCCAACCAATAGGCTACTAGGCCTATACTTTTTAAGTCTGAAAACAACTTCAGTTATGATATTATTTATTTGGTTTGAAATATACCGTAACCCGAGCGTTTGTGAAGTATATTGGGAAGAGATTCGCTAAATTACCTGAGGAACTGAGAAACAAACAGGTTCCCACTGAATTATGTTTTGTATGGTTAGCGGTAAGATTTTCCTGTACTTTCGTTTCCACTGAACTTAGTGGGTCATGCATGACATAAATGAATGATTCCGACCATGCACTAGATGAACCGGGTACTCACAAAAATACGGTTTGATCTTAGTCCCAGGCTTATCACTTTTTGTTGGCACACTTGCATTAGCTGTGGAATAGAAAAGTATAAACTGCACCAATGAAACAAAAAAGGGACCACCATTGATCAATTTGTCTAACTAAAACAAACCAACCAGTACTGTCGAATTTTGATTCCGGAAATTACTGTGTCCTTGAACGAGTGAAAACACTGGCTGACATTTTGAATACATTGTAGTAATCAACGGGACAAGCTATGATTTTTGCATCAAAGATCTATGGTTTTGCTGCAACACATCCTAAGTAAAAGCCGTTATTTTCATCAGTTCAAGATCATTTTCCGAAGACAAAAATTCAACAGTAGATTTTGACTGTAAAACGTTACAATTTAGTCTGACTTCAATACCAATGAGATTGGTTTAAATTTGCACTTTGGTAATCATGACGTAGGTAGATTCATGGTTTTGAAAATTGTTAATGCTTTTGTTATCATTGATAAAATATTGATTCAAAATGTGATCATTGACTGTGATACTTATTGCTTTGCGTTAAAATGTCATGTCTTTAAAAATCATATCTTAACTTTTATTTCAAAATCTGGATTCTGACGCAGTGGTAATTAATAATTAGCCTGCCTACTGGGAATCTATTTAAACAAAGACGAACTTAAAGCAATGTTTAACAAAGTGTAACGTCTCAACAATACACAACGTTACAAAACCAACCTTATACATTTACTTTAAACAACATTCTTAACTGTACAGTTTACACTTAAAGAATAACTTGGTTTTGATTTTTTTCAGTAACCTGTAGACTCGACTATAGTAAAATAATAGTAAATAAAAACATTATCGGATAGTATAATTTACAATAATGAAGTCAATATACCAGAACCTAAATAACAAGACCCGTATACCACTGTACACCTATTATTGAGGTACTTGTCAAGGCTTATTCTTCATTTAAGGTCACTGCACTTTTTTTTTGCACTATGCCGGACAAAACAGATTTTATTTTAATTTCTAACAGTGGCATTTTAACAAGAATGGAGCAATGTGAAATAGAGTAAATTCTGACACAATTACCTCAAAAACTTTATACTATTCACAAAAAATTAGAACATTTTTGTCACTGAAAGTAAGGTTTGAGTCTCAACTGTACTTGGCCGGAAATACTGTCAGTGACAGTGGAATATTCTACTTTTGTGAATCCAGTACACTCTCGATTAACCGATGTTGTCAGATGTAAGACTACAACTTAGTTTGACTTCAATACCAATTAGATTGGTTTGAAAAAATAAAGACATGTGAGGAGGAAGCAAGTAAATAAGATTCCCAGGAAAATGGAGTTGAGCTAATAGGTAAAAGGAGAACAAAAGAAGACCTAGAAGAAGGTGAATTAATAAAATAAAGAGGGATGTGAAAACCTCTTGTTAGAAAGCATATATAGGTTGAGTTTTCACAATTATCTTTTCAATCAAAAGTCTTGTTATTCAGTTTCTATTGTATCAACACAGCTACAATGACATGAATGACGTAATGTAGACTTACATAGGAAAGGTTCTGGGGGATACCGCGGGGGCCAATTCCACCCGGCTGATTGTGTTTTTGCAAAAAAATGCTCAACTTCCTCCTCTGGGCTGTTAAATGTTGGAGTTTCCTCCGTATCCATCCGGTATCTGCAGTAAAACCTGTAAAAATTCTAAATTGTGGAAATATGAATACAAATATACCATTGAAAGTCGGTTGAAGCAGTTTATGTTAAAAATGTATTGTTTGTCTTGCTCAACTGGTATTTACAAAAAGGAACGAGACAACCAAATTTATTTTCAAACAACTGGTTGTCACCATTAATCCTACTGGTTTGTATAATGACAAGATGGCGCATGCAATTTTGTCTCAAGCCTCAAACCAATAACATGAAGATGGCTTATCAGCCCATAACCCTACCAGACGTCTACTGTGCTTCAGTACCTAGACATTCAATGCTCAAATTTTAAAATGGGTTGTTTCATCCTACACTAAAAGACTCGAATTTTAAATTAGAATGAACATTTGAAATAAATACATGGATGGTAGCTCTTACCATTCATTTAAGGTAAGGGAAAATTTTAAGGATAAAAAGAAAATGAACTATTTTTATAATTCCTGCTTACCAGTCAGGATGGACTTTCCAATTCTTCCCTTCAAAAAAGTTCAGCTTTCCTGCAACAAACACAGTTCAATTCACACTTCAATGTGATATACTCGTAAATCAGAGCTGTTTAACGGACACGGCCGACAAACATGCGTTTGTGACACAAAAAGTATTTATGATGTAATTTTTTATAAAAACAGGGAACATTCCTAGATTTCAGAAATCACAAGTTGATCACTAAGTAAATAGAGACAGTGTACCCACACTATATGCGCTATATGCACTGCATAATTAGGTTCTGGTTTTGACTAACTTATCAATCTAATTAAGTACTGTGTATCACTTTTCCATTTTTTCCTAATAATAATGGATCATAAATACAGTAGATGTTTATTTTACAATATCATTACATGAATATCATATTTTAAAGGAAAGCCAAGTGGCTTGTTAGAATTTTTTTGAAAAGAAATCAAGTTCGAGAAAATTAGAGTCTAAATATACAACAAAACAAAACAGTAAAATGTAAACCTAATGTAAGAATTTATTCATATACCGTAGTACACTTGTGTCGCTATTGTTGTTGTTAATTTTATTTGCCTACGTTCTGTTATGCTGTATGAAAATTTTGTTCTAGACAGAGTATTTATTTAAAGAATTTATGTGCAATTAGAGATTGTATATGGAAGTGGATTATGTTAATTAATTGACACCAATTACTGCTACAAGCATTTGATGTACAGTTTTTCTTCGAGTCAATAAATTATTTTATTAGGTTAAAGAACAATTCTCTTCATTTCTCTTCAAACCTACTCTCTAAAGATGTCTTACATTTGGACAAAATATAAAGTACTTTGTTTTGTGACCTGTTTTTGTATGTTGTAAGTCCCTAGTCTTTATATTTCTAAAGTAAAATAATAATTTTAACTCTATACATAAAAAAAAATCTTTAGATGAAAATCGGTGAGCCCTGTGACCCCTTGGTAAAATCAGCGAGTTTTGCGAAGCCTTGGTAAAATCAGTGAGTTCTGTGACGCCTTGGTAAAATCAGTGAGTTCTGTGAATTCTTTGTAAAATAAGTGGGTTCTGTGACCATAAACACCCTGTTATACTACACGAGCACTCTTATTAAAGAGTTACTCACACCGACCTTTGCTCTGCTTGAGTAGATGAGTCTCCACTATACCGTCCACCTGGTATCTACCGTAATGTTCTGGTAGACTGACGACCAGAGTTAGCGGATATTTGCCTGGCCTCTCCTGGATAGGCTTATAGTAATAGTACCGCATACCTCTCATAACTCGTCTCTGAAACGATGTTAAAAAGTGTTCAGTTTCCTCGTAGAGTAAATATACTACTTTATAGTTTTTCCATTCTCGAGGATCAGCTGAAGACAATTTTAAGGTATATTTATTTCTTATATATATAGAGAGTTTGTTTTTGATGATTTTCTTCCAACTTTCAAAAATATTTTGTAATGTTAAAAAAAATTTGGCAGATGTTATGGTTTTTCTCTAGCACAAAACTACAGAAAAGTAATTTTTATTTATATATAAAATTAATAACACCAGAGTCCCCATGATTCAATATATTGGAACTGAACCACTCTGTCCCATTATCAAATTCTTTTAATCAGCCGGGAATGCAGTAAAATTGTATAAAAAATTATAACAGTGTATTTTTATAACTTTAAATGTCTATATATAGCTCCCATGATCATGTATTTTCTTGTTTGCAAAAATATCCGTGTATCTACCATAATCATATTCTTTTTCTCTTGACACAACGATCTTAGAAGAAAACCAACAGCAGAATATTAATTAATAAACTGATGGTCACAGGCTAAATGGTGATTATTGTAATCCCGGTTGACTAGACACTATTGCTAATATTTCAAAACACATAGCTTTGTTGTTTTTCTTAAGTACAATAACCTTTGACGTAAAAAAAAAATACTTGAAAAATACTTGTCACGCCATTGTATTTCTTGAAGAAATTCCAAATAAAGGAAATTGTCTATTGTTTATTGTCTATTGTCCTTTGCTTTTCAACAGATGGTTCAGATCAGCGGGACTCTGGTCTTTTTGAATTTTATCTTTTTTTAAAACTTTGTGTTAGTTTTTATTGATAACCTATCCGAAACAACTATTGTGAAATAAAAGTAACTAAATACCTAAGTTATAAAATTAACAGAAAAATAAAAGATGAACATTTAAATATTATATCACCCTTTAGTATTGCAGGACATAAAATACCAAAAAATGTACACATTCAAAATGTTGATATTAAATGCTCTTACCAATCCATCCAAATGCTGTTTCATTGGGAGAGATATTGAGCCAGTGGTGTTTCCCCTAACTAGCTTTCTGCGGAACTGTGAACATCAAAGTTTCAAGGTCATTCATTATTTCACACAGTGTACGATTCTTAATCCCACCTTTACATTCTAGGATGCTAGGTTCTAGCCCGGAACTGTTTCACACATAACTTCAGGCTAGTTCTAGAGGGTCACGGCATTATCACATAGATCAAATCCATTGGTGATTGGAGGGATTTGAACCCTGGACACCGAGCTCTACCACTAGACCAGCTCGTTTCCCACACAGTGCATGTACAGTTAGGTTTATGTAAGATATGTTCAATACACCGCTAATAAAAAAATATTTGAAACACCATGTCAGTCAGTGGCTAAATAAATATATGATTTGAAATCCAAGATTTAAAATTAATTTTGAATCAAATACCGTAACAAGTACAATAATGCTATTATTATAGTGAAACAAAACTTTTATAGAGGTTTTCAGATTGTACCTTTAAACCTTTCACATAATACCTTTCAAGTAAGTTCCCTTTGTCATGTAAGGGAAAAAATAAATAAGAATGAAAAATTATTATCTTTGGGTTTAAAATTACCATTTTTAATTACAATTTTTGACCGTAAACTACTGACAAGAAGAAGTTTCATTTCCGTGTTAACGTTGTCAGTTTTAGAATAAGAAATATCTTAGTCTCAAGTAAGTAAAACTAAACTTTAGAATGTGGTTGAAATAACCTATAACTTACGGGTAGAAAATTGTACGTTGAAAAGAAACAGTTTAGCTTAAGTATGAAATTGCACCAACAGATTTTTTTTTTAAATGGCCATAAGTTTAATTTCTGGAGCAAAGATCAATATTCTTTTGAAATCTCAAATAAATATACAAAAGAATAAAATATCTTAAACTACAAAAAGAGCAAAATATTTGTATAGGTAATAATATCTTGAGTTAAAAAATGAAATCTATACAATGGACACTTATATTCTTTCGTCCAAAACACTGGTAAAATTCATCACCCCACATAATGTATTTTTGCATTATTCTTACCTCTAACAATTTTTCGTTGAAATCCAAAGGATCTCGACCATCATCCATCAGTTCAACATCGGTCATGTCAATAGCATTGTAGTTGGGTTTTAAGATTCCTTGAAACTGAAAAAAGCACATTGATCACTTAATCAAACCAACTTTTTGACTATGATGCAATTTAATTACAATTGAATCATGAATGTAGAAACTGTGTGTTACAAATACAAAGGAATTTTAGGACTCGGGGTAAATAGTAAGACAGCTTGACTAACAATTGGCAATCTATTTTACTTCTAATGTTGTACAATGTCCAATTTGATGGGGTTCTGTGCAAGGAAATCTTATATAGCACTGGTATCATCTTGGAATTTATGATGAAATAAACATTATAATTTCCAACTGCAATACTTGTTTTTGTAACTTTTTTACTAATTGAATGAGTTGGTTGTTAACAATCGGAAAAGAACGAATAAATCACCTCTTAGCTTATAAACATTGACTAACCAGTGCAAAGTTAACCCTAATGAAAATAAATTCTACTTATTTTATTATTTCCTATGCTTAATCTAATTTAGTAAACCTTTTTCAAGGATTAGTTTTTGGGTCTCAAATAAAGATATGAAAACAAAAATGAGTAAAGAGGCTCACCACTGGTCGCCAGTCTGGATGCACCAGAATGTAACCATTATTGGTCACAATGAATGCATAAGCATTGACCCCCAGCTGAAAAACATAATATAAGTTTCAAGGTATGACAATCAAACTTAGTCGTAACAAAGGTTTGAATATTAAACTGTAAACGTGAATATGTTTATATTTTTGCCACTATGTACAGTAAGCAGCTGGTTTCTGGTGTCTTTGCAGACCAGAATGTTGTTTACAGGACAAGATCGGTAAAATCAGCAGTCTAGTAAATTCAGTGAGCTCTAACTCTTAAAGGCAGTGAATGAGTTTCTTCTGTAGGATGTCCATTTGGGTCGGGAATTAATCTTGGGCGAAGCTCGAGTTGGGTCAAGCCTAACTTTTATTTTGGCAATTGCAGAAAAAACTTTTGCAAAAATGCGCAACTGTAAATTAACGAATGAAGGTGATTCGCACAGTAATGATTTTACCGCAGAATGATTTCACAGTGACCGTAGGAGAGGTTCACAATTATGTCGTGGCCGTGGAAGAAGTTGACGGTTTTAATGTGACTGCGGGACATGTTCATGAGTTTGCCATAAACTAGGAACATCTTTTTCACTTAACCCATACACTAACTTCTCCGCCTTGTGGAATAATATACTATTCCCATCTTGTAAGTTTAACAGTATAGGTCTAAGAATAGACAAATAGAATATATATTTCTAAATATAGACCGAGAGCAGTGCTGCGGTTAAGTTGGGCACGCGCTACTTGACTACACAGCGTTCCAAGCGGTGGACGCCAGAACTTATGCTAACCACAGCACTGCTGTTGGTCTATATTTAATTCTATTTGTCTATGGTCTAAGTGTAGATGCAATGCTGAAAGACATATTTTACCATATCCGTACAATACCACTCCAGTGGAACCTGGATAACAAGATAACAAGTGTAGTAGTTTTATAAACCCCCTTGAATTTTTTTTTACCCCTAATCACATGTTATTATTTCAAACCTTAATAAGAAGTCAACCTTGATAAAAAGTCTTAATCTCCATAAGAGTTTGTTATCGAGGTTCTACTGTACAAAATGCTAGCCAAGGAATTATTTACATGAGAATGTCGTTCTCCCAAAAAACAAATTTTTATACTAAAAATGATTCCATTTGTTTATGTCTTCACTGATCAAAGAAATGCACCTGTTTCGAGATATTTCTGCTGCCCTTCCTTGAGCGATTCTGTCAAGGAAATGTTAACTCACACACAAATCAGTATTTATTTTTAACTCACCCAGTGAGGAGCGAGCAATGAGTTGATTTCTTCAATTGGAATGTCCGTACCAGCTACTCCTAACAAATAGGCTACCTTCATCTATAAAAATAAATACTTGTATTAATTTATATTAGTGGAGAAAAAAGTATCTTACTCTTCAAAAGATTAAAAACAGAGGTTGAGCTAAACAAAATGCTCTCTATCTTTAGTGGTAACAAATTTACATTCCAAAAAAACCCCACAAGATAGAATATCACATACAAAGCACATTTTTTTTTTTATATGAGCTACAAAATCTTTTAACAGTGGGTTAAATTTAAGGATTTACTGTACCGGTAGTTAAAAAATTCAACAGAAGTAGTTAGTACAGTAGTTGTAAATTTATTTGAATTTTCTTCCTAGTAAGTAAAAAACTGAACTACCGTAGTAAAAGTTTTTGAAACAATAGTAAACAATATCACACAAAATTACAATTAGGGTGTTTTATAAAAAATACAGCATGTGAATACTGATTATAAAGTGTGGTAAAAATTAGAAAAAACCCTACAAAAGTTGAGTTAACACTTAATTGTAAGAGTTACTTTTTATAACTGTTTAATCCTAACTCAAAATTAATAATAACATAGTTGAAACCATACATTTCATAGATTGAAGTGGGTAATCTATTACTGTATGAATAAGTAAACTAAACACCAACTAAAGATGAATTAATTGCTTATGGTAGTTTAGTAAAATACTTTCTCCATATACTATGTATAGGGGGAGAAAGTAAAAAGATACAGTTCATTTACTTTTACTCAGATGGTTATTGATTATTGGTTATTTCAATTTAAATTAGTATAGCTTCTGAATAGTAATAGTAGTACAGTATTCAAAACATTAGTTAACAAAATGTAAGCCTTCTGTATGAAATAAGCATTGGTCTTCTAAGAATATTATTAGTATAAATGACTTTCTTTAAAATTTATCCAGAAAGGTATCCATACCTTTTTTTCTACCTTTAATATTTGTATTATAGGTATCCAAAAATAGTTAAAAATTAAAACTTTTAACATTTGGTATTGGATTGCTGTGTTAGTAAGCTGACAAACCAAACCAAGTTATTGGTAAAAAGAGGTGACTTTCGATGCTTTAAAATATTTTACAAAAGTCATTCAATGTTTTTACAAAAATTAGGAAACTACTCTTAGGTCATTTAATAATTTTGAATTGTTAGTAAGCAATGACAAAACTAATCTTAATCTTATAAAATTAAGTTCATTTTTCTTGTTATACAGTATTTACAACATTTTTGTTATATTTAGCTGTGCTAACTTACTTAAAATAAATGTATACCTACCATAAGTTCTCCTTAACACTGTAAGAACTAAAGTAATTTAGAGGAAAATACTTTTGTTACAAAGTAAGGTATATGAAAGCATGTACACAATTAACACAGTGCAAAAATCAACTGTGGATTATTAATCCATCAACTTTATTCGTGTGACAAAAGTGTGTTAGATTGATTTATAGGTGACAGATTTTGTGAAAACATTTAACACAAATTTAAAATCTTGGAATTAGACTACTAAAATACTTATTCCACAAGTTTAGAAGTACACAAGTTTAACTACTTTAACCAAAAGTGTTTAATTTTACAAAGATTGCAAATATTGGAAAGAATTCACATCACACAGTATAAGTTCTGCTTTACAGGACAGTAATATAGCCTAAATACTATAAGATATGTTCGACATATGCACACAAACACAAACAAACACACACAGAATACCACAAACACATGAATAAACACAGCAATAGAGGGCAAAGCTGCGAAATACCGAAGGGAAGCTTTACACACAGGTCTCGATTGGTAAGCTCAGGCAAGAGTTAGTTTCATAAGCAATTGACTTCAAACTGCGAAAACGTGAGATTTTGTCAGCGAATCAACTTTACAGACTTTTGGAGGTCGGATTTACCAGCATACTAAGTATTACACAAGCTTGGAAATTATACCAGCAGTCTTCAAGTAGAAGTAAAGCTTGCATCTTATTGGTCAAATTTGGCAATTTTAGTCTAAGTACATACAAACCTCAATTACCTTTGGCTAAAGCTGAAAGCTGATTATATAGCATATTGAAGCATATACGTTATATTTACTTCAATTTAAAAAGAGTTAAAGTATCTCTTTCAATCATACAGGATGGTTGTTTAATACAATTAAATTCACACAGATTCACCAATTACTTTACTTGATGTTATGCCATAGATTAAAGAGAGTACGCTTAACAATGAAACCTCCTTCACAAATATTGATTATTTTTGGTGAAACAATAAAAATTGCAAATAGAAAAACACATAGAACTGAAACAAGAATATTGATCAAAACTAAAAAAAGGTTGATTTCAAACTAAAGATAAATAAATACTGATTGCAAAAGATAAAAATTTTGATTACAAATAAAAGAAATACTGATTATAAGTGACAAATAAATATTGCGAAATATCTCAAACTGGGTAAATAAAAGACACTATATCAGTTCTTTAGGTGATGATTATTTAACTTTTTAATATTTAATAAAAAATGTCTCTTAACTTTCAATTCAAGCGTTATAAACAACATGAAACATTGAATTGAAAATACCATAACCATAAGGAATCAATAAACTATGTCTTTTATGTTTGTTGAGTTGAGAAGAAACTGATAGGATACTAATCAGAAAATGGCAAAATTCTTATAAATTTTCTCTTCACAAAATGACTACCTGCAATTTATAAAAATAATTATAGCAAAAATAATTCTTTATTCAACTTTTTATAAATAAATTTAAAAAAAACATTACCAGAATAGAGTGAATGTCTTATTTGTATAATTTACAAAACCGTTTACAAAACAAAAATCTGATAATAAATACGGAAATTACAAGTGGTACAAATTTGCCGCAGAGGTGCTGCTATCTATCGGGCCAGAAACACAGCTTTGTCAGGGATGTTTAGCCTTAAGCCACAAAAACAACAGGGTTATAAAGTCTGCTCAGCTGAAAATAGTATAGCATAGCATATACCTTAAGTTAAGACTGCAGTTTTATAAATGCATTGGGCAACAGATAACTTAATGAGCTGTTAAATGAGAAAAAAAGTTTGTTGATCAAACTGATAAATAGCCATAAAATATATTTATAAAACTATAAAAAAGAAGTTATTTAAAAAAGATAAATTTATTGTACTGTAATGTGTTATCAAAATTGTAACTACTAAAAATATTCCCTGATAATATGAAAAGAATATTTGTTACAGTGTCAGTAATAAAAACTTGCATTTAAAAAAACTATGATTTTATAAATTAGTTTATTCTTTACGGAATGATGTACATTTTAGTTAATGTGCTAACTATGGGTCTGGATTGTGAATAATGATATTGGCAAGATGAAGGAGCTTGGTAGTAAACAGTAAGTGTGATGATAAAGTTTTCTTCACTTCAATTTGTCCAAATAGATTAAAGTACAGCCCCAACAAATAAAAAAAAATTACCCATTTCCAAATTACAGATACAATCTGAAAAATTGTGTTTATTTAATAGACAAATATTAATCCTTTCCAATCAATTGATTTGTTATAGAAACCTTAAAAAAATCAATTTTAAAATAGCTTGAACTGCAAAGTATAAACATTTTAAATGTGGTTTTTACAATCACAAAAATAAGAAGCAAAACAAAGAGGCTCAAACAAATATTCAAATCCATATAAGTTGATGCAACAATCTCGGATATTATGAACAATTTAGTGATATGAAAAAAATACCCATGAATACTCATTTACTTAAGATTATAAAAAGTTTTACAAAACCAAAAATTAATCTTCAATCAATCTTCAATTGAAGATTAATCTTCAATTCATCTCAGTGATAGATATTTATTAGAAAAAAATACTAAATACTGTTTTTGTGAATAAAAAATTTAAACCTCCGAATCACTTATCAAATGTTAACTGCTTTTAATCACCTATCTGCCAGGTGATCAAAATTCCTCAAATTGGCTATCAACTCTATGTGAGCTTGCCTATTAAATTAATTTAGATCATTTGGCAGATAAGGTAAAACCAGTTAACACCAAATATTGATTCATACGATTTAAGCATACCATCAGTGAAAACACCCCTCAAAAAATTCCAACCTAAAACCAGCTTCCCAATTCCATGCGATTCCAAGCAAGTCGGTAAACGGAAAGTGTGGCGGACAAGATATCGATGCAAAAAAAAAGGTGTAAACAATTTAGAAGGGCAAGTTGTTGTGCGTTATATGCATGTGCAAGCTGGAAGCGGCGAGATAAGTGACATATACACACCCAAGCTCGACGTTACCTGTGTAGGCTTAGGACAGGTTGGGTCGTGTTCACTGCAATCTCTGCCAATTTTAACATTCTAAAAATAAAACTTGTGGTTATGTAGTTGTCACCTGCAATGTGTGTGTTGCTTTGTCGAATTACCGTTTTCGGTTTCGGGTGCGAGTGTGCGTGGTCGATTGTGTACGTCGTTTGAAATAAAATAGGTTTCCACGTCCAAATTGGACTGTTAGATCTTGATTTTCAGAAGTAGTTTTGGGTTTTAAATTGTGAAAAATGTTAGTAGTTTCGGATCCATTGCGGAAATCCATCAGGACAGGCTACTCAGTTGAAATATAACTCGACAGAATTGTAGCTTGTCCCGAAAAAAAGATTGCTGAAATGCATCTGAAATGTGCCGTATTTTCGCCAGTTCTGCCAAAGACTTAGATTCCACATTGTTGAACATAGAGGTTATCAGTAGGGCTTAAGTGTGTTTGATAGGTTAAGCGAAGTTTGATACTGTCAACGGTTAAAACATCATATGTTGTGTTTTGAAGATTGATTAGTATCAGTAAGTATTCAGTATTTAGTAAGTAGACATCTAATCAATATGAACCAGTTGTAGCCGTCTTTTCCAATTTATATTATTCTAGTTGTACGAGCCTCATAGCGTGTGCTACAGTCAATGTTGTATTACCTATATTGGTTTTTGATACTATGATAGTTTGTGCTATAGAAAATGCTTAAGTTATTTTTTCATTGTGGCTTGGTTAAAATATTTGTGTATTCAACATAATTTAGCAATCAACAGCAGTGTTTTCTGTCGGTGGCACAATTCAACCGTGTTGTTTTTCATCCTAATTCTGGCTTCAACACAGGACAGGTAAGTCTTTTAAAAGATCCATGTTATCCCCTCTCAGAGTTTTTAGAGGAGAAGAAAATTGTATTTTAGTTTGTAAGCTTATGTTTTATGTCTTTTAAAACCTTTAACTAGCTAAATTCTTGATTGTTGCTAGTACATACAAAAGTCAATGGCAAATAAAGATTTATATTTATATTTCAACTTTAATCAATGGTCAAAGATTATCATAACGACCTGAGGCCGAAAAGCCAACAAAAATACAATCAACTTCAATGTAAAATTTAATAACTTTTTTTAGAGAAAGAATGTGAAATATCTTAGGGGTTTACGGTTTTAGGGGGAGGGGACTAAAGAAACCTGAATATCGACCTATCAGGAATGTCTACAGGAAAATGGGACGGTACAGAAACAAGAAGCTTACAATGAAGGACAAAATATATCCATACAATTACATGAATAATCCGAAATAATTCTAAGATGCCAATATCCTTAGTATCATGTTGACCAAATACGTTGAATAGAAGAAAGCATATGCATATCTTAGACAGTAGCAAACTTTAGCTTTACCAATTATCAAACACACAAGGATTCACAGGCTTCAAACGTGATGGGAAGTCTCTTTAGGTTAGGTATAGTCAAAGGCAAAACCATTTTAAAGCGTTTCTGTTAGATCAATCGGAATGTACGATTATGTCAACCCCAACTCCAATACTGTGTGACTAATATGTGCAGCTACTGTAAATATAATTCAAAAGCTAAAAAGTGCAGGAATTTTTGTACTATTTCGAGTACAAATTTTGACAAAATAAACCCAATAACTACAATCTTGGTGCTCCTGCTCAATGCTTACACGGACATTTATTGTTTTGATTGAAAGATAAGCCCCTTTTATTTTGAAGTTTAAACAGTGTATAAAACGCAAAAATATTGCCAAAAAGTTGCTTGTATAGTTGAAGACACAACATAAGCAATCCTTTCACTCCATTTTGCATAGGGGATTTTACCAACTGTGTACAGTATATAGAATAGGCCTAGTAATTAACCAAAGGAAAAATATAAATGAAAATGAGAATGAGGAGGAAAATGCTCCTAAAAGTTGTTGAGAGTAAAAGTAGGAATAATATTGGAGAAGGGTTTAAAAAACCTCAAGTGGTTGATTATGATTTCACAAGTTACAATTAATATTAAACCTTTTAGTTAGGCCTACAAAAACATTAATTACGGTGTAATATTGCACTAGTATGTGTTAAATTGAGTGCAAATATGAAAGCGAAAACTAATGGTTAACAAAAGACTATGAAGTTTACAACATAAGTGACATGAGTTTTATGTATTCTTTTCAAAATTTAATCATCCAAAAAACAATTTTACAAATTATGGTTTGCTAAGGAATAAACAGGAGCTCGATACCGTACCTTCTAAACACAAAACACATTTAAAACGTCTAAGTTTCTAGAAACTCTAATCTAAGGTAACTTACTATTTATCTTTATATAGGTTGGAAATAAAACCATACACACAACATTACCATTTACTAGAATTACCTGAAAGAAGTAAATTTTTCACAATCTAACATCAATAAATATATACACCCAAATTGTTATCACCGAGGGCCAATTTTCTATCTAACTATCCAAGCAACCACACATAATTTAACATGTACATATTCTAGTCTAAAACTAGTATCGTGGTCCTACGATACACCTTATCTGTTACAAAAGTCGGTAGACTGTAACGACAATAACAGTGAATAATCGGAAAAGCTGATGACTATCTAATGGTAATAAACGCTATACTATGGTAACTGACGCTACGCTACTAGAATTCCAAGTACTGGGATGTACTGATCTAGATCACTTTTGTGTTTCGTACAATACCTCTTGGGTACGAGATACCCAAAATGCCTCATTAATCAGAACACGTTCGGTAATATTCTGTTGGAAGGATGGTTAGATTAGTGAGAGTATTATCAACACTTCCCCCTGACTTAGAGGATGATTATGTTCATAGAAGAATTGTGTAAGTGTAACATGTTTTAAATAAAAAGTATACGGCTTAAAAATGTTTACTTTTACTGGTGTGTTAAGTTTTATAGTGTACAAATAAATTGTGAACTAATGATGTAACGTAGGGCACAATGAGCCTAGGTTAAGGATTGTTGTTCATAGCAGGCTTACCTGAATGTATAGAATCTATCCTGACACAAGAAACAAAAAATCTTTATATAAAGAGAAAAATAAATATTTAATTTTTGCTGATAGAAATTTGAACTAAGGAAGGTTTGAGTTGAATGAAACCTTTCTTTCTTGGTTGAAAAATCTGTCACTGACAGTGAAATATTCTAATCATTGTATATAGTGTACATTTTTTTTCCTTCTGACAGGACACACTTTTCTTATCCGGCTAAGCCTGCAATCTCAACAAAAATAGTTAAATTGAAAAAAAAAATACAGTAAAATGCAAAATTGAGTATTTAATACTATTTTGTTGTCCATGTTTAACATTTTAATTAAGGCGTAAGCATTTAGCAAAACTAATTTTCCCGGAGATTTTAGTTGAACAAAAAAAGGTTTAGAAAACTTGCATGTAAATAATATATGGTACTATTTAGTGCATTTGTATGTTAAATTGTTAGTTATATCAAAAGCAATTTTTTTTAAGATTCCTCATTTTCCTTACAAACCATGATTATTATGTTATTATTTTACATTCTTTCTTTTACATATGTAAAGTTCACTAAATTTTTATTTCTATGATATGTTGAGTTTCAACACTACTACAACAAACCTACCAAAACATAGAAAATATAATTATTCTTAAAACTTCTTACTTACCAAATATACCAAGTCACTAAAGTCTTGAGACATTTGTCATAGATTATAGATTACAGTGAAATAAGTCATAAAACAATAAAAAAAACATACTAATTCTTCATTGTAAAAAAAAATTATTTTGAGTTTGTTTTAAATGGACCTTGCTAAAGATTTGTATGTATCCGATTATTTGAACACGGACTGATTATTTTGATTCATTGTGGACTTTTATTGTAAAGTCCAACAGTTATTTTAGTCAACAAAAATTGTATGTGCTAAAAACCATTGATTTTTTATGCTTTACTTTCGTAAAAATGTGTATTCCACTTCTTAAAACAATTGCTGTTATAAATACCTTTTTTAATCCAGCAATGAAGAAATCTTTTGTAAAAGTATCTTCTGATTCTTGGATAGTTATTTCACATTAATTAAGTTTTTTCTGTGTAAAATTGCAATATAAGGTCATTTTAATACATTTAACTATTGTTAACCTTTTAAAACCCTTTTAAAACTTTCTACATAATAATATAAAACAAAAACTGTAAAATTTATGTATCAGAAAACTGTTCACACACTAAATTAGGGATTACGATTTAAATACCAGCCAGTGATAAAACTGTAGTTGTACACCAAAGTAAAAATAAATTCATTGTAAACAGCCATTAACACATATAGTCCATAGATGAAAGCATTTCCTGCTAAACAAGGCCGGTTTAAGGCTCTGACTATATTTTTCATCACAAGAATCTTGAGGAAGGAACACACAAGAAATATACGAAGGCAGGTAAACTTGGCAATGTTGGCACACACTGACATAGGCTTGGACAAAAGTAAGCAACTTTGGAACTTAAGAAGATTTACCGGTACTTTAAATTTATTAATTATTACTTTTGTATTTCTGTCAGTGAATTGAAAAGTGACTTTTTCACAGTGAATTAAAAAGTGACTTTTTCACAGTGAATTAAAAAGTGACTTTTTCACTAAGCATTTCTGGAGAACAATTTTTACTAAATTACCAAAGTAAATTACTCACCGCGGTTTCCCTCCTGTCAAACACAGGCATTGATACGGATGTCATAAACCTGTACTTTTTTGTATCTCCTGGTGCTTGATCTTGAATCTAAAACAAAATGATTTTAAATCCAATTTTATCATCATGTGTTATAAGAGACTCTTACAAGGACTGTACAGGAACTAACAATCATAACTTTAGATTTCTCTGGCACTGGTTAGAAATGTGCCCTGGTAAGCCACGAGAAAATGCATTTTTTCATGGAAGGCTTGTATAGTTATGTGAAATCATAAAAATAATATCAATACCAAAATCAGGTTATGGCATTAGTTGGTAAAGATGTCATCTGGCTTTTGTAGATTTTGTGTTGGATCTATTACTGAAGAAAGAGCTACAGTAGTCGTTTAGAAAATTCAATTTTTCATGTGAATATCTGTACTTTCAACTACATATTTACAAATCCAATCCTGTTGTCTATCTTATCCGTATCCACCACAACATTCTTTATTACTGAACCCTTGTGCAATAGTTTGTATGAGGTTTATAGCAGAAAAAAAGTAATTATCAATCCTTTTGATGAAACAGATTAGAGAAATTTCAATCACAGAAGGTCCCCATCATTTGATAGACTTTTAGAAAAATCCTTTAAATTTTCACTATACTGGATTTCTTGTTACCAAAAAATCTTGATGAGCAGCACACATTTATCATCCACTAATGAGCTTTTCAATCTTTATTCACTATTCAATACTTACCCTCCTCAGCTTTTTGATGTTGCGTCTTTCTTGTTCATCAGGCTCCATAAATCTTTGGCGATCTTTCCTGAAATTCATGGACCTTTGCTTTTGTTCCTTGCATTCTTCTTGTTCCCAAAGGTAATCAGTCATTGATGGATCCTATTTGGAAACATACAGAGAAAAATACTGAAATTGAATTCGTATAGCTTTGAAGCTATATACAAGTATTTCAACCATTTTTCAAGACAACAGTGCACAGTTGAATGTGTAAGATGAATTTGAGTGAAGGTTAGGTTTAGAATGAAGTGTAGGCCTATTATTCACTTAAGTGTGGTTTAGTAACCAAGTCCAGCTGTTTCTTCAGACAGAGCATTTTATAAGCCTGGTGATAAACAACAGCTGAGCTCAGTTTTAAAAAATACCCCCGCCGCAGCAAATCTGCAGACTAAGCGAATTTCAACTTGTTTGATTACATTTTTACTAAAATAATTCCATAAATACTAAATGAGACATATTTATTCCCAATTTAAATAACATTAGATTTAACGAGTGGTTAGGTTTGCTACTACAGGGAAGGTAAAACGTGTTTTTTGACCATAGGTTGATAGTATAGGATGTAATAAATAAATTTGCCAAATTTTATCAGCATATCTCCATTAACAAGTAAACTACAACAGTTTTAATTTTCTCCATAAGAATAACATGGGATTTTAAAATACACTTTTTTTTATTTTCTCCGTGACCGTTAGGCATACAAAATTATTTCTTTTTGTAAGCTCTAGCAAATGGTTTGGAAAGAAATTGCAAAAATGTTTGTTTTTATACTCAACAATGGGAAAAAATTCATTTTTAATTCAAATTTCATATGAATTTGAACGGATGGCGTTTTTGGCCCCTGGAGCATCAAAATGAATCGGTTCCGGGCCTAGATCTTACCGTCCTACCTACGGTAATAGCTATTTCCCTAAAAGCAAGCCTTTAAACCCTAGGGGATATTCACTGATTTTAACTATTCCGATTTATATTTGGTTTTTTCAACATAAGTTCACAAACAGGTAGTAAATTGCTGATGAGAGGTGTACTTACAATGAATCAACCCATTACATCAACGCCACAGAGCAAACCACCGGAACTCACCTGAATAGCCAAATGGTTATACTTGCCTTCAAATTCAAAGTCTCTTGGTTCCACCCTCAGATACCATTTTGTGATTGTAATGAATGAATGAATGAATGTAATGAATTGAGCTAATGGTGGTATCTAACAAAAGTATAATAATATAAGACCACAGGTCGGACTGTTTTACCGTAATAGCTATTGGGGTTCAAACACAAAAAATAAAAATTCTCACTTACAGTGATGTCAGCGTAGACTGATGTCCATATGACAGGATGGATGTCTCTATGTAGCACCATGGGTCGAGCCATCACAGGTACATACTGTAGTACTTGCTCTCTCACCTCGGCTAGAGTGCTGAGATGTACATAGTAGCCTGTCGATATACACCAGATTATAAAAGATGGTACAGATTTATGTTTTAAGGGAATGCAGCTCTTACCCCTCAAATGTTAGTGGATATTCTGAGATTAAACCTGTCCCTCTTGTACCAATGTCTGTGATCAACTAGTAATGCCTTTTTTGTAAACCTTAGGCTGGAGATTTTAAGCGATGGTCATTTTGTTGGTGGTGACACAGGAGTGAGATGTTATGATAATTACAATGACAGGTGAAAGAAAAATAAAATAATGGTAAGGTAAGGATGATGATAAAATATTACAGGAGAGAGTAAGGAATAAATAGATCAGGGTAGATGAAGACAGCTTAAGAGGAAGAGTAGAAAAACACTGTAAAGCCAAAAACTTTTTGGACCTAAGAGAAGAGTACAAGAGGAGAGGATGTGTAAGGCATGGAGGTGTTGGTGCTAGGGATAAGGAAATTACAAGACTTAGAGAAGGCTGATAAATGAGTTGAAGAAGGATTTGGAGAGAAGGACCAGAGTGAGACGGCAGAAGGTAGATGAAAAACTGAGGATGGATTGAGAAATATGTGATTGAGGAAATGTGACTGAGAGAAAGACCTATAAGAAGGAGGAAAGATTAGGTAAAGAAGGATGTGAAGAAAGAGAAGTAAGAGGGCAGATTAAAGAGGCTGAATGGGTGAAGAAACATTTTGATTGAGGGAAAGGAAAATTGCGATAGATGGAAGGCGACTCAGAGGAACACCACCTGTACTGTAAGAAGGAGGAAAGATGATGTGAAGAAGGATGTGGAGAAAAGAGGAACAAGATGACAGATGTTGAAAGGAGATAAACAGTCTATCGAAAAACATTGCCATTGAAGGAAGGTGAATGAGAAAAAGACCTAGAAGGAGAAGATGGAATGAACCTAGTCAGAATCCTAGTCAACTCCCACAACCAGTAATAATCAGAGCACAAGAAGATATACACATGCATGACGGCGATGAAGATTTCTCCACTTGACCTTGCACTCACCTCTGTTGGCACAGGCCATCCACTTCACCTCCCGTACGTCAGCCACCTCCTTGCCCAACAGGTAGGTGAACACTCGCACAGGCATGTACGGCAGATTCCTCCAGTTGTACAACTCAAAGATCTCCTTGTAATTGTAAGGCACACCGTCCGTGATCAGCATGATGGCTTGGTTACAAGCAGCGCCCATGCGGTTCTCACGATACTGAGCAAAATTTGATTACCTTAAATTTTAAAGTGTTAAATTTTTAAGTGTTGCAGATATGTCTATGCATGCAACAAACTTATGACTTCAAAATAACTGTCAAATAGGACCAAAACAATACTATTATCAGATCATTGTTGCTCTATGGAGAAGAGACATGGAAATTAGATGAAGAAGGAGTAAAGGAAATTGAAAAAGGAAGGAGGGTGAAGGAGAACAAAGTTTAAAGAAGATTGATAGTGTTTGACAATGATTTCAATTTCAAACTCGGCATGTTTTGAGAAGGGGTCACAATAATCTTAAACATCATTTTCCATATATCTTCGGTAAATATTAAAACCAGATCATTCAGTAGATAAAATACTATGCGTTATAATTTCTCCTACAAAATGAAAGATATTTTGTTTCAACAAGATAAGTGGTATGCAAACTATATGAAAATATGAAGACGAAGTATTTTTTTTAAACCAATTATTGACATTAACGTTACTTACTTGTTGCAGAATATCAAAGGCAGTAGTAAGTGCTGTGCTGAAGTTCGCAATGTATTGAGCATTCCCCATCTCTCTCATACCCATTTTAAGTTCTCGGATGTTCTCTAAGTTTGCCTGAAATGAAAAAAAAAAAACACATTTTAATCTCAAGAACGAGAGGGGCAATAACTAAAATGCTCAAGAAACAACAGTTTTAATTTTAAAAAAAAACGTTTGCGTCCTTTTCCCGTAACTGAAGCAAGTTCTCGGAGTTCCAAGATACCTCTAGGTTGCACTACTATACTTATAAAAATGTTACTCGTAATATATCTCAACTTTACTTCTCAAACATTATTTTGTACATCATTTTTAAGTGTGAAAGTTTGCCTCAACACTTCACGCCTTATATTAACATAATTACTCATACTTCATTCAAACTCTAACTGATAATTTACCCTGACTTTGCCTATGGCCTGCCTGTGCTTATAGGGGCTAAATAACTGAATGTTTTTATTTAACCAAATTTACCTGTACGAGCATGTCCTTATAGCACTCCACCACTTCCTTTGTGTCGTTGACGAAGGACATGATGTTGACAAAGTCGTTGTTGCCTAGTGTATCCAGAATACTGTTCACCACGTGTCTCGCAATCTCTTTCCGCTGACCCATCATCGAGCCTGAGTTGTCCACCAGGATCAGCACGTCCTTTGGGCTCGTAGCTGCCTCAATGTACCAAGCTCTTGTGCGACAATCGTATAAGTCCACTGGGTCCACCGACCAACCCGTGGCTATAGAAATGAACAAGATCATCTAGATTAACATTTTCGTACAGATACAACACACATTATACTCCTAGGTTGTAGCAAGGGTTGGAATCAAAATTATAGAAAAAGCTGCAAATTACTCATTTCTGTATCACCCCCAAACTAAGTGAAGCTAAACTGAAAGTTTAACTTATTCTATACTATAGTAACTTTTTGGTCACATAATCAAAATTAATAATGACAAATGAAGAAAATTTAAAAGCCATAGCTCACTGCATGTGGCTCATTGAACAATATAACTATTTGTTATGAAAAATACTTTGACAGAATCAATTGCACAGACTTGCACCAACTAAGGAATCATCAAAAATAACATAATACCATCTAGTAGGCGTTTAAGATGTGCTCAGAGAACTATCTCGGAATAGGAGTAAGTGTCTAAGTAGTACAATGAATAGATGACAAAATGAGTAGTTTATGGGGTTGCCAAATTAAATATGGATAAAGTTCAGAGCACAAGATACAAGATACAAGAACTTTATTGTTAGTAAAATACATAATGTGGTACATTAGTAAAAAAATCTTACCAAAATTTGAAAGTTTGGATGTTTGTGAGTGAATCACATGGCAAATCACGAAAAACTAATGGACCAATTATTAAGCTGAAATTTTGCAGGAATATAGCCAAAATATCAAAGATTGACAGGTCTACTTTTATTTTTAAACTCTTGTATTAGATTGTATAGCTTACACTATGTGTATAAGGAAACCATTATTGTACCTGGGAATTGACGCATGAAGCCGGTTGAGCTGCCAAAATATTGCCACGATAAACTGGGATCTCTCTTATAGTTGTCCTTGAACGTTAACTCCAAACGTTCTGACCATTTGATAGCATAAATTACTTCTTGAGCTGAAAAGTGAAAAGTATTTTATAATAAAAAGAAAAAAGAAATTGTGTACATACCTCAGGTCCCACACAGATGGCCTAATGGTCTGGGAAGTAGTTATGGTGCTCACCTTTAAATCTAAAGCAAAGCCTTTATAATATCTATTATCTTTTTAAAAAGTTTACTTTGAACAATTGTAAATAACGTTTTGAGTACAGTAACTAGTTAGAACTTTGAATAATTTAATTACAAGTTGAAAATAACAGCTAACAGGTGAGTCAGTGGCTCAGTCACGGACTTTGGGCCCAAGGCATGTTGTGGGTTTGGATTCTGGTACTTGCAACTAGTGTTTATCAAAACAGTTCACCATTGTACTGTACTGGCTCATCCCTTGCTTTACTGGATATGTTTCTTGCACAGGCTCAAGGCCTATGTGGACGGGCAAATGCAAGGTTAAAAGAAGCCCCAACCTAATTAAAAAAAAAAAATCCAGATAGCCTAGCAATGGGCACACCACAGTCAGCTAATCTCAGCAAGATATTGTGATATGTTAAAATCAATGTCAAATAAATAGTCTACCTTTTAGCCTCCTCAATCCTTAACGCTTTCCGATGACCAGAGGTTTCAAGGTTAAGCTCACCTCATTGTTAACAACGATTAAGTAACAATAGGTGTTCATGACAGCGAAAATGAGAGATTTATATGCAGCATCCAAAGCCTTAAAACATAGTCATCGGAAAACTACAAGGATTGACCAAAAGGTAAAATACTGGTAACCTCTTTATTTTTAAAGTTAAACAGTTCTTCACTAACCTCTATCGTAAACGTTGGTTGGCACATGAACTGAGCTGACGTTAGTGTTGACAGGAAAGTCGTAGAAATGTGTGTCAGGAGTAAGCAGAAGTTCTCGCGTGCCCTTGGGGTCGTCTCCGCTCAGGTTGAGTTGTCCGGGCGGACGTAGCAATTTGGCACTGTAATACTCGTATGAGTTGGGCACTGGCTCATCGGGGTTGGAATCTACTGCTGCATTTTCTGCTGTGTCCACTATACGCTGAAATATCAAAACAATATTATTCTAGAGCCATAAACTAACATTGACTTTTGGATATTGAACTACACATCCCATATGGACCAGCTGTAGCTAATCTTTCATTAAAAAAGAACTAAGTCAATCACTAAGGGCCACACTTTTTCAAGATAACACAGTCAATTTGGAAATCATTCTCAGACATGTCACTGTGAGACTCAGACATGATGTCTTGATTATCTAAACTGATGGGCTAAAGGGGGAAAACCCAAAAATGTGTATTTTTTACTTTGTTACTAACTTAAATAGTCCTCATTTGTATATTTATCCTAACTTGTATTATTTTTTCTAAAATAAGATTTTGTAATATTTTGACTAAATATTTGGAATAAAATGAATTTGAATTTGAATCTAGTTGATAGCATATGAAAAGCTCAATAAAATCTTTAATGAATCACAGCAAAATACTCAACTCACCTTAACTGCTTCCACTTTATGACTCATCATATTTTCCATTTCCCTCACTAGCTCACTGACAATCCTAGACCCTTCTCGGGACTCCACTTTGGCGTCTTTAAAGCTCTGAAAAAAAATTCAGAATTGATTATTCCATTAAAGTAGTAGGCCTAGTGATTTACTAAAATACATTTGAGGTTGACATTATCAAAATAGATATCACAAGTTTCATGAATATACCGGGTATACATAAAAGAAGTAAACAACTTCGACATCAATTTAACACAATCGTTTCTGACATCACTGCTGTTAGTACAAGGCCACACTAACTAAACAGGACGTAATGCTCCTTAGGCATGACGTCATGTTACTTTTTTAGTTACAGTATATTTTTGTTTTCCAAGAAAAGATTAAAACAAGCAGCTGGTCACAAACGGCAAAAATTACGTCATTGCCGTCACCTTTGATGACCTCATACCAGAGGAGCATTACGGCCTGTTTATTTAGGGTGGCCTTGGTTGGTATCACTGGGTTGGAAAACACCTCAAGTTTTTCCCACACATCTGACTATTGTTAAAAATGCCAAAAATGTGGTAAAATTGTTATTTATTGATTTTGTAAAAAATGGTCGATTGGCTACTCTTAACGAAAGTCTTCTTGTGTGTTGGAGTTTGAAAGAACTCGATCTGCTACCGCTGCTTAACGTCATTTTTGGACGCGTTATCATAGAGACCCTTCAAATAGAACCTCGACTGGCATCGGAAGTTCAAGGCCACAGGTTACTTGGGAAAAAGAAAGAGATCTGGGAGACCAGCAACGTCTAATGATCAGGTTAAGTTCATCCGTACAACTGTTGTAAACACACCGAGGATATCAACTCGGAGGGTGGGTATGGAACTTGTCTCTAACGTGGGTATGCTTTGCTTGTGAGGTTATGTCAAAGACAGAGATTTTGTACCTCCTTTGCCGTTGAATCTCTTGGAGCCCAGGTATCACATCACTGTACAAAGTGTTGATGAGGCCAATCTTTAAAAACGTTTGGTCAGAATTTTATTTGGGGATGTACTGCGTTAGGAGGAGAGTCGACGTAGTTCACTTAAAACACCCACAGATAGCAGCGGTGCTTGGAACGTAGCCGGTCCTATGCTGCCAATTGGAGGAAGAAAGACGGGACAACAAGTTGATTTCTAAGCTTGCCAGATGGGATTTTACGAGGAAATTTACTATCAACCTACACCACAACAAAAAGCATGTCACACACTACGCTGTGGTATAGGTCTGCATTCGACTGACGCTAGGCTCGTCCTGAGCAACACATTGATGCACTGCAGTGTGGGTTTTGGGTCAGTACTGACCCGGCCGCGTGACGGCTGCGATCGCCGTGGGCAGTACTGACCCTTCCACAGTGAACGCGTTAAATTGCCATTTGATATGTTTTAATATTTTTTCATAAGATACTATCTTACATTTTTAACCCCACCATATTTCATTAACATAATTACCACTAGGTAATGTTTTTGTATATTTAAAAACAATATTACTAAAACTAAACAAACGTTGTTATAACCTCACCTTTCTAACATCATCTCTTCTTGTAACATAGTCACCAAGGTTCCAAAGCTCCCCTGCGAGCCTTCCCGCCCAGCCTTCAACTCTGAAATTGGTTTTAAGATAAGACCATCGGATCAGTTCAAAAGAAACTAATTATCCATTATCTATATATACATCCCAAAGTACCCATGAACTTTTGAGAAAACTACAAGTCACACCTCCATAAACCATATACTTAAAATGTTCAACATGACGAGAAACCTTGCTCAAAACTATCCATTATTTCATAAATTGCCCTTTAATTCCTTTCTAAAGGGAACTTTCCAAGTACCTAATGATGATAAAAATACCCCAGCTGTACTTATTTGTTTGTATTACTGTATTTTGTTTTGTTTATTTCAGCTTAACTTATCCAATCAATAGTTTTATGTATGTGCAATCTTTGGTTTTATTATTAAAACGTTTTTATTAGCTCGCTTTCTTGTCCGGTACAAATTTTGCAATCAATTTTATACTAACTTCCCGATGAGCTCTAGAGACTTGAAACTTGAAACATAGCTCACAAATGGAAGACAATGCAATCATTTAATTTTCATATTTCCCTTGGGCTACGCCCCACGGGCTTGTTTTTATTAACTCGCTTTCTTGAAAATTTTGATAACTTCCCGATGAGCTAGAGACTTGAAACTTGAAACATAGCTCACAAATGGATAACAATGCAATATTATATCATTTAATTTTCATATTTCCCTTGGGCTACGCCCCAATGAGCTTGTTTTTATTAGCTCACTTTCCTACAAATTTTGATATCAATTTTAAACGAAGTTCCCGATGAGCTAGAGACTTTAAATTTGAAACATAGCTCACAAGTGGATGACAATGCAATATTATAGCATTTAATTTTCACATTTCTCTTGGGCTACGCCCCACTGGCTTCCAATTTTTTTATGTTTACATTTTGAAAGAATGTAAATATATCAATTAATGAAAGTCAGCTGTAAATACTTAAATTTGACAGTTCAAAAAGCAGAGGTTAAGAGGTACAGGTTCTGCTCCCAAGAGATTCTTTATACAAACAAACATTTCAAAATAAAGATAAACAATCTGATTGCATATATAAAGGTGTTTGTTAATAATTTCATTTGTTATTTATTAAATATTCTATAAAGTTAACAATAAATTAAATAGGTTGATATATTTATAGTTAGTAGGTAGGCCATACATTCAATCTAATACATCCTACTAATATTATAAATGAGAAAGTTTGGATGGATGGATGTATGGATGTATGGATGTATGTTTGTGACAAGTGAACGCGAAAAATACTGGTCGGATTGGGCTGAAATTTGGCATGATGATAGCTCACATTCCCGATTAACATATAGGCATATTCTTATTTCAAAAATCCTTTCGGGCTCCGCCCCAGTGGCTCTGGAGTTTCCCATGTTAACCTTATGAGAAATGAAATTATTGAATCTTAACAGCTGTTTCAATTAAACAAGTTGGTTCTGTTCTGTGATGTTCAATAGCATTAAAGTCACAAAAATTACCAACAGGGTGCAGCACTATTATTTCTTTTACATTTATGACAACAGCTAATTTGCAACCAAAAGGTGAGTGAGCGTAGTGAACGAACTTCAACCTGGAGGCGAGTTAGCGTAGCGAACGAGCTATCCTGAAGGCAAGTGAGCGCAGCGAACGAGCTCCAACCTAAAGGTGAGTGAGCGTAGCGAACGAGCTCCAACCTAAAGGTGAGTGAGCGTAGCGAACGAGCTCCAACCTAAAGGTGAGTGAGCGTAGCGAACAAACTTCAACCAGGACGTGATTGAGCCATGCGAACGAGATAATCTTGAAAATTAAGAAGTTAAACGGGGCAAAGCCCGCGGGTTACAGCTAGTAATTATATAAAAAAAGAAACTCAAATAAACCTTAGATTTCCCACATGCCTCTGTCCTAATCTGATATAGATGCATGAAATAGATATAACATCCACACACATTAAATACTAAAAAGTAGAAAATAATTTATAAATAAAAAACTTTTTTTAAAACAAAACGTTTTTTAAATGCACTAAAAAGTAGAAAATAATTTATAAATATGTGGAGAGGATAAATACTTGTAAGATTTAAAACGAAAAACGTGGGGTGCATGCAATTGATAATAATACATTAGTTCAATAGGTGAAGGTAATTGTAAATCATCTATTGCATGCACCCCACGTTTTTCGTTTTAAATCTTACAAGTATTTATCCTCTCCACATATTTATAAATTATTTTCTACTTTTTAGTGCATTTAAAAACGTTTTGTTTTAAAAAAAGTTTTTTATTTATAAATTATTACTTATGAAGTCAAAATGGGTGAAGCCCTTGGGTAACAGCTAGTATTTTCCAACAAGCTTTTTTGACACTACAGGGTCTACACAGCAGTATTTATTTAAACCCAGTTTATAATTTATTTACTATTAATTTTCAATGCAGATGAAGGTAAAATAAACATGTTACCATTGAATATTACCATTGACTATTGGATACAGAATAGTTATATTAATAGTCAAAGATATTACTGTACTCTATATCTTAAAGTTAATTGTGACAAAATAATGACTAGTAAATGAAATGAACGATACACACTTTCATCAGCTTGTGAAAACCCTTAAAGTTATAATGGATATAAGCTGTGGGAGTTCGATATTTTGGTACTTTCCTGTTAAAGGGAACATTCATTATTATCGATGATTTTTGTCTCGATATATCGATATTAACAAATTGAAACATATCAGCTGACAACTATACGATGAATATTGTTCAGTATAAACAAACAATAATGAAATGAAACTGTTCTAAAAAAAAATAACCTAACATACTAACCAAACTTGCTTTAAAATTTCAAAATTCCGTGTTTAACTTGCCTTTTCTATTATCAAACCCAAACGGAATTTTTAAATGGTACAGCAAGTATGGTTGGTTATGTTAGGTTAGCTTAGAACAGTTTCATTTCTTAATCCATGTAATAGACTAAGTCAGCTGTGTATTGTTTTACACCATAGTTGTAAATTATTTTTCTCTTGCTTATTTTTCAAAAAAAGCTCGGTTTTTATAGTTAGTTTTTGTTTTTATACTCATAAATGAATGTGCGTTAGTATTCCGTTATGCTCAGTTACTTTCAGACTTGATTTGATGTGTAACGTGGTAACTATTTAGACTTTTGAAATTTCATAACCTGTACCGTTTGATTTGTTTACGTTTATCTATCATTTCTCTTTTGAAATGGCCGACGAAGGTGTGAATTACACCAACTCGCACCTCTCTGACCACAACTACTCCAATACCGAGGGTTCTCTTTCATCTGAAATCATCGATGCTATGATTGATTCTCCTAGCAAGATAAACACGTCAGAAGACGATACAGACAACTGGCAAACGATTCCCAAACGCAGAAACGTTGGAGAAGTTTCTAATAGAAACCAAAAAAAGGCCAAACAAGACATGAACACGCCTATTGAAGTTAGCAACAGTTTTGAAGTATTAAATGTAGATAATGAAGACATAGATACAAAATTACCCTATGTTAAAGAAGAAATAAAGAAACGAAGTGAAAAATACCAAAGAAAATTAGAAACCCATCCAAATTTCCTGGCAGTCAACCTCCTCGACAATAGTGAAGCTACATATAGGCTCAAAAGAGTTAATCCAATAGACCTTCCAAATCGTTTTTAGTTAAATTTTTTAAAATTTTTTGTATGTTAGTGCACTTGATGGAGTGTAACTAACCCATGTTAAAATGGTTATAAAATTTACTTATTATTCTAGTATAGAATAGATTGTAAATAAATACTTGTAAAAAAAAAAAAAAAAAAAAAATGTAATAGACTATTTCAAAACAAGATCAGTTAGTTGTTGTTGTTACCACATAACACTCCCAACTATATTGTTTACTTAGAAACATGTTTTGAAAAGTTATATTTCTTTAATCTACAAATTAACGCAACATACATTTTTAAGGTTTTTAATTTGCCAGAATCACGCTTACCAAAAATTATTGCTAAATCTGTAATTGGAAAAGGTATTTTTTGGGCCAAAGAGTGGAAATGTCTAGGGCAAAAACACGGTTTGGATATTAATTTCGAGTCAGCAGATGTTTTTGAGGGATTAGTGAAGATAGGGTAAGGCGGAAAGAGATAGATGGAGAATTGATATGGTTGGCAGAGCGCGTACATCGCAATATCACCAACAACTGCTTGCCGTTGACCTTGACCTAGGGCCCAGGAGTTTTCTCACTGATAGCATCAATATAAATCTTATCTCATGGGTCATTAAGGCCCGAGCAGAGCTGGTTGATTTGAATCACAAACCATGGATAACAAATAAAAATCATTTTTGTAGTTTGTGCAATTTGCGCGAATTTGAAACAGTTTTTCATTTTGTTTCTAATTGCCCAATTTTAGGCGATATCAGGGAGTATTGGTTTGGAAAACGAAGCATGCATTGGGGCGAACACATAGAATACATAAATGGTAGGGATTGGCGTAAATTAGCAAACTTTATGAGAGAGGCGTGGAGAAGGAGGTGGGAGTTAATTAGAGAATTTAATTACGAATAAATCAAGTATTTTTTTTTTCCAAATTCAAAATTGTTTTATTCTCTTTCTAATTTATAAATTATAGCAAAACAATAATTATGTCAAATAACGTCAGCCTGTCTTCTTGAATATTCATAGTAGTTTTTATAGATTTCATTATGCGTAAACCTTTTAAAACCTAATAGTTTTAAAAATAAAATAATACAAGTTATGTAAACAATATTATGAAAAAGGTAACTTTTTGTTTTGTTTAAAATGGATGTAAAATTGTATGTAAATTTGTGTATGTTATTAAGTGTATTTTGTTTCAACTTCATTTTCATAAATGTGTTTTCCAGGTGTGCCAACCAAACAGACGGTCGTAGACCATTGTTTAATTAAGCGTATGTTATGAGAGGAATGTTTATGTTAAAATAAAGCACTTTTTCATTCATTCATTCAGTTAGTTGTTGTCAATTTGTAATGGATCGGAAAACAAAAATATCGATATATCGAAAAAATCATCGATAATAATGAATGTTCCCTTTAACAGGAAAGTACCGTACCGATATTTTTTATGAGTAAAATCACAAAAATTTCATAACCTTTTCAACCCTAAGTTTTATACTGGGTTGGGGGTTGTACCATTTTGTTTAGAGCTAAACAGAATAGGCAGCTATAACATACTAATTTAAATCAAAATGGTTAGAAAAAGTTTTTCCGAAAAATTGATTGTTGTCAGAGTTGTCTATCAAGTTACGAGTTTCCCTTCTTTTCCTTTTGGGCGCTTTTAAAAACCATTTCCCAATACATGTAAATTAATTATAGTTTGGTGAGTTTCTAATCCTCATGTGTGTACTGTTTACCAAGTGACAACCGGTCTCTCGTGTAATATTTAAATATATACATCTGACCGTGGCAATGACCTTAGCGTCACATATTACTTATCTGGTGATTGGTAGCAAAGGTGTTTAAGGATTTAATAATTTGTCGATTATTTGTTGCTTACGTTAAGTGGAGATGGTAATGAGTTACTGTAGCCTACTAACTTAATAGTTCCTTCTAAAAAACAAAATAGCATAATTTTTCTTCCTCTAAGTATTTATAAAATGTAGACAGTTTTTCATACTAATAGCTATCTGTATTTAACCCCTTTTTAAATTAATGATGGCAAAGATTACACACATTTCAAAATGTATTAATTTTGATTTGAGGTTTTTGCATGTTTGTATGATGATAAGACAAAACCAGTTTGTGTATTTTATCTTTATACAAATCGTGTTACATTTACAATAATTAGTCAATTAGGGGCTAAACTAACTTAGGGAGATAGGGTTTGTAACTTACACTGTGAAAGTCCAAGTTACTGTATCGATTCAATTTACACCACAATATAATTTTATTTATACTTACATTTGGGGTTTTATTTCTTCCTTATCTCTGCTATCCTGTTGTTGTGTAAATGAAACAAACAATAACTGACCAAGCACAACAGTATAACAAAAGTTAGTTCTCATTTTTCGCCGAACATGAACACATTTAATCAGCTCTCTGTCGTCTGCTAGCGCAGTGGTTGCTGCTAAACTGCTGTCTGCTAAAATCGATATTACCAACACCAACCCCCCAAATCCTAATTCCCGACGGTCAACTCCACTCCTCTAACAGCAAACGCATGCGCACTATTATCAATTTTGATAATGCCTATTGGCTCTAAAGCCTGTGTCACACTACGCTACTTTACTAGCAGCTAGCGAAATAGCAGCTACTAAGTAGCCAATGTGACATAGGCAGTAGCAGCTATTAAGAGTAGCGCGCTAGTGAAATTTTACTAGCATAGAAAGTTGAACATGTCCAACTTTCCGTGCTACTAAACTGCGCTAGTGAGTCACGTGACCAACTAGCAGCTATCAAGTAGCGACTGTCGCCCAGTGTGACAGCTTCAATAGCAGACTAGCGGCTACTTGCACCACGTGCTGTCTGCCTGATTTGTTTATACTAGTTCATTTGAATAATTTCTGAAGTAATCATGAGTGATCCGAAGTGGGGTGGGGGAGATGTGATTAATTTTTTGAACCTGTATAGAAAATATCTGTGTCTTTGGGACATAACCTCTCTTGAGCTAAACTAGTAGTAGCAGCTAGTGAATAGACGCTACCAAAATAAGTGTGACAGGAAAAGTAGATGCTATTTCAGTAGCTGCTACTAGGTAGCTGCTAGTAAGTAGCCAAGTGTGACACAGGCTTTAGTGGACTCGCTCATTTTGTTTGCCATCCCATGTGCTCACATGTGTTAAACCCGCTAACATAGATAAATCATACTGCTACCCAGTATCGCTAGTATCATGCATTACTGTTAAAACAGTACCTAGCAACAGTGACAATAAGTGATCATTACTTTTGTTACCTTCCGTGCTAATTACCTTAATACCTGTTGCGACGTCGTTTGGGTAGACTGTGTCAAGGATAAACTAAAAATAATATTTACACTATTTACAATACTTAATTTTTTATTGTCCAAAACATACGCAATCTTAATTAAACTTTAGTGTCCAGTTGTCCTAGTTTTCTTTAACAAGTCCTATAGTCTAATACAGCATAATACAAAACTATGACAACACAAATTTAGTGTGAAACAGGCGCGGTTGCCCCATAATAGCAGTATTGTGGGAAAAGAAATTCTAGAATCTGGTTAAAGAAACCAAAAATGTGCAAAATTGCGTTAGTTGCTCAAGTTCATAATGACCGTAATATCATAGATAAAACATAGTAGGGACTATGTTTTATCTATGGTAATATTAATTTCATTCATACGTTTTCATTTTAAATACCCCCACCGCAGCAAACCTGCCGGATAAGCGAATTTCCATTTGTCTGAATTGATTTTCAATTGAATCTATTTAAATAATTAGATTTAATGAGTACCTAGGTTTGCTGCTACAAGGAAACTAATAAAGTGTGTTTTTAGTAACATATTAATAGTTTAGTATTAAATCAATTAATTTGCCAAGTTTTATCAAAATATAGTCATCCATAAACAAGCAAACTACAATATTTTACAATATTCCCCATAAAAATAACATAACTTAGGCCTAGTATTTTAAAATGTATATATTTTTGAATTTTCTCCGTTACCAAACATCGTACAAAAACACTTTGACATACTAAATTATTTCTTTTTTTAAGTTCTTTAAAGGTCAAGAAACAAATTGGGAAAATTTGGGTTTTTGAGGGTCAAAAATAAGAAAATCCCTTTTCCCAAACCATAAAACCCCGTTCCCATGGTCCGACCATGATGGTTCGGGAACTTATCCAAGTATATCCTGCCTTACACCTTTAATCCAAATTTAATCAAAATCGGATAAAAATTACTCAAGTTATCGCATTCACGGACACACACACACACATATATGTACATATATACATACACATATATCTATATATAAATATATATGAAGGAATAGTGTTTTTGGCCTCTGGGGACATCAAAACGAAAAAGTAAATTGGTCCCGGGCTTAGGTCTTACCATTCCAACGACGGTAATAGCATAGATAAAACATACTCCTCGTTCTATCTTTGGTAATAGCATAGATAAAATAGTAATAGCTACTTCCCTATAGAGAATTTCGGGGACAGCTCACTTAGTCTATACGAGCTTTGTAAATAATATTTAAGGTTCACTTGCACTACAGGCTCGTATACTATACGAGCCTATCGAAAATATAAAGAAATTCGCTAAAAACAAACCTAAGGACCAAATTTTGGTTCGTTATCTTAAGAGATTTAATTAAATTTGAAACCCAAAACCATATTCAATCCTAAAAATATATCTTATTCTTCACTATCACGTACTGTAGCTACTGTATTTCTATTTCACTCAACTGGTCTTTCCAACCAACAATGCTCAGAAAAAAATAAAATTGTTCCCTAATGGTATCGTCTCCCGTCTCCGTCTGGTTCTTCTTGAAAGACGAATACTAACAGTTACTTTGACAATTTTCTTAAAATCTAATTATTTTGTAGAAAAGACAATTAATTACAAAGTCTGACCCGCGATAAACTACCTTGTAATTTCACTACAATAAGTTATGGCGATCATGGTAGCTTTTATTTTGGGATTCCTAGGTTGTTGTCAAATTGTTAAGTTTGTTGACAATTATATTCTAGGCTTTAGTGACACCTGTCAAGAGTTCGCTTCTTTCACTAAGGAAGAACCTAGGCCTACCAATAATGGTTCAAGAAGCTGAAGGAAGATCTAGTTCCATAACCAAGGCATTAGATAAGATAAAACAAGTGAGTAAACCACTTAAGTTAGATTAGGCCTATACTTGGGAACATGGAATCTGATTGTTAAATGACCTAAGTTAGGCACAACAGATGTGTGAATAAAAAATTTATAAAGTAAAGTTTTAAAAACTTATTTAAAAAGTTTTTGGGCTTTTACCGCTACCTAGTCCTATATTACCAAGGCTAAAAGTTACGGGTACAGTTTCTTAACTGGGCTATGCTAATATCGATTGAAACTGTCTGGTTACCGGACGCGTATCCTCTGCGTAAAATGTTTTTTCATTGTGCCTTTGGTAGGTGTACTAAGCTAAGGGTTCTGGGGAGTGGAAATTCGTTGTGCTTTTATGTTTCCAAGTTGGTTTTGTGTTTCTTAACTGTGTTCCTTGTTAAATTAACCTTTTAACACGTTGATTGCTAATCATTATGAGTATATTACAGTAGGTAGGCCTACGATCGAAGAAATTACTGGGTACAATGCTATTACTTCCCAAAAATGCTGTCAGGGCGACTTAAGTTATCCAAATAGAAGAATCTAGATGTCTCAGTGTCGATTTTGGTTGATATTGGTGACGTCACTCCCGGGGTGTGAATTCCCGTCCTTAGGTACCGTAGCCTACCGGTACTGATACCGGTCCTTGTCAAACCCCTAACTTTTTTTCACAACTTTTTATAATAAGTTTTTTATACCAATTCAATAAGTTAACTTAACTCAGGTAGTTCTTATCAAATCAATATTTGTAGGCTAGGCCTATATAAAATAGGTACGGTATATTTAAACCCCCCCCCCCCCCCCTCCGCCATTAGGATATTATTTCCTAATGTCTATTAAGTTTAGTGTTCAGAAATTTCAATCACAAAATGTTTTAAAAGATTTTTTTTATAATGTGCTTAAGAAATATATTTTGTAGCCTATGGGTGGAAATAATAAAAACTATAACTAAGTTTAGCACCTAAAACATTAATATTAAACGAAAGAGTACTAAGTTAAACACTCCGCGCAATATAGTTGACACAAACACAAAGCACCGAAAAAGATCAGAATAGTCGATACAGAAACGAAGCTTGTCAAAAGTTGAAGCAAGACTTTAACAAAACGCTGCAATCGATCACAACGTTCTCTGTGCGAGGCTTAAGCAAGGTTGATGTTTTGGAAGGAGGACGTCATTTCCTGCCCTGTGCCTGTGGTGCCGCCATCAACATATAAAACTAACTGGGTTGCGCGCAGGCCGTAAGGCTCGTGTAGAGCTTTCCGAGCCAATACAGGTGTGTATCGGGGTTGCCGCATGGGCAAATTGAAGGCAGCATGTGGGATATAGCGCGCGAAACCATGTTGTCTACACCTGACCTTGGGCGCATGTGCGTGTTACAATAAACCTCCCTCAGTCTACATCTACAAAAATTTCTACTTCTTTGGTAAAATTTGAATACTGTAACGGCTATGAATATCAATATTTAACCGTAAATTCGTATTTATAATAGCTGTTTTCATTGCATTATATTTTTCAGAAATAGGAAAATGAATGTCAAACTTGCTGCACAGACTTTAAGTTCAAGCGTTACCGACGCGCTAGAATTTTTACTAAGGAATGACCATCCTGATTTCATAGGTTGTGAGGCAACAATTGAGTTTTTGAGGATTATTGATCAATTGTTTGATTTTATGAACAGCAGGGATCCATTTGGGAAAAATGTCAAAGCAACGATACGGAAGGACAATTTAGAGTATATAAATGGTATGCTACAGAAATCTTTGAACTATTTTACCTGTTTGAAAATTGAAAAAGTTCCTATTCTCAATCATGCCAGGAAACCGTTTGCTCTCGGCTTCATCACCAACATCCACACGATAAATATTTTGATAAAAAGTTTATTAGAGGAGCATGAATTTAAGTACATATTAATGTACAAGTTTTCTCAAGACCACCTGGAATTGTTATTTTCCTGTATAAGATCTCGAGGAGGAAATAACAATAATCCAAATGTGAAACAGTTCCAGTGGGCTTTGAGAAAACTTATGTTTCGCAATAGTGTCCAGCCATTTGATAAAGGCAATTGCTTATCATTTGACTTCAATAAAAAAAGTTCTGTAATGAGCTTCAAGGAATTATAACAAGTAGTTGGACATAGTGATGAAGCCGATGATGCTGATGATATAGAATGTATGTCATACATTTAGAAGGCATAGAAAAGTTGTCTTACTATAAAGATAATGTATACTATATTATATTTGTGGTTATGTTATTCGAAAGTTGGATCCTAAACTGAAATGTGAAGAATGTAGTAATCTTTTAGTAACTGGCGATTCAAATCCAAGCCCTTGCACTAATTTTACTGATTTTCTATCAAAAGGAAAATTAATCAGGGCTTGCCCAGATGTACTAAAAATTGTTAAGTTCATGTACAATCAAATTGTTGCATATTCCAAGGATTGGCAAAAATTTGATGCCTCAAAAACTATTTCATTAGCATGTAGAACCTTTGCTGGTAACGTTTTTCTTAATCATAAAGGTAATAATGAATTTGGCGAGGAAAGCTATGACATGAAATTAATCAAATTAATTGGTATTATGTTTAACAAAATTATATGCCACAGCATTTCTAAGCGTAAAACAGCAGAAGCTTCTCTGTCAAAGCTTGGTATGCGGCAGAAGTTAAATAAGCTTATTCTTTTTAGCAATGTTTAGGCTAAATATGTTTCTTTGTTTTACAAAGTTTCCTAAATAAAATGTTTCTTATAGAATCTATCCTTGTTCTTACTAATACCTTACCCCCGAATATTTTGTATTTTACGAGAAACTGATAAACCCCATTTTAACATAAACTATTTTGTATTGTAACATTGAAACATAATTGGTTTCGTTAGTAAGTGAAGAAAGAACCAAGTCATAAAGGTTTCTTAATTGTACTATTTTATTACTTTTATTCCATCATCAAAAAAATTGAAATCGGAATTTAAATTATATTTGATCAGAAACCTCAGTGTGAAATATCCGCCGTCAGTTAATATTTATTAATTGTGGTACCCAAACTCGGTTACTCACAGCGTTATTTTTACACTTTTATTACTTGTAAAAAGTTCATGAAAATTGATTATTAAAATGCCTTACAACGTTTTAGTTGAGAGTAAAGGGCTGGATAAAGTGCATCGTCCTGGCCGCGACAATGCTAAGATGGGGCGCAGCGAGACGCTTAATCCCACATGACGCCTGCAAAATCTAAAACGCAACCCCGGTCGTTGGCTCGGGTCGCGGAGCCTAGCAGCCGATCCAGTTAGTTTTATACATCGATGGGTGCCGCTACCCCACAGAGCGGGAATTCCCGTCCCGTACACTCGTTACTTACCATTTCTTTCTGGATTAACTGTTTCAATATCGAGTCATTGCCTATAGACACACAGCAACTTAGGCCTAACTTTATTATAGTTTGTTTTGGTTTGGATGATTTTCTGATTGAATAGGATTTATAACTTAACTGTCAAAGACACGACAGTTGTAACAAACATTCCTGAATCCTACCCACAATCTGCCAGATGCTTCTTTTGGATAAGGGAGAATGTGATAACTGTAAGTTAAGTGTTGTTGTAGGCCTATAGGCTAACTAATAAAAAAGTAAAATAGGAATTAACAAAATGAATAATGAGAACTAAAAAATCAGAAAGGAGCCAAGAATCGTCTTAAATAGGTACGGTAAGAATGAAAATATCGCTTTGTAAAAACCATTGTATTGATTCCCACATTTGCTTATTCTTACATTTCCAAAACAGTTTAGACGCAAGTCATGATCGATACAATTTCAAACACAAGAAGCTTCCTTAATTCAAGATTTAAAACATTCCAAACAAAAAAGTCATATGATTTTATTAAATCACTATTAGGGTACGTACTCCCTACACGTAATACTCCAGCCTAGCAAACGTAAGTAACAAGAGGGATGGCCAAATTGTCATGACCTCGTAATACAGAAGTTACCTCCGGTATTAATTTTATAATGGATATTAACATAAAGTATTACAACAGTGTATCAAAACCTCTTTCAGGATTTTAAAGAAATTTTGGAAAATAAACATCGTAAAAAAACCTTATTTAGGCTACTCTATTTGTCCTCTCTTCCTGTTTTCAAACCTTTTTATTCAGCCTTTTTGTAGTATTCATAGGTTCTATCTATCATATCTTGTCGATCAAGTATTTCAATTTTATCACATTTCAAGTATTTTTTGGTGTAGTGACCATACAATATTAAATCACAAACTTTATCATACATTTCTCTTGGTAGTTCTGAAAAAAGATTAAAATAAATAGTTTTTAGGAAGTAACTTAAATGCGCCTGTTCAATTTGTGTTATGGTTGAAGAGAACTTGAAATGAATTTTGTGAAATGATTAGTTTTTAGTTGAATACAAAGCTGCAAACCCGAACTCAAACAGACAACCGAGTCAAAAATATTAGCCGTAAAAGATTTCTTTAAATCTGTGAATGGCTTCCATTTTTGACTCAGTTCACCGAAACTTGGATTTGTATGACTGTTTTCGGCTAATAAAGACATTCAATTTGACATGCATATCAAGCTATGCATACATTTGATTTTCTTCTGACTTCTATTTGGCTTCTTGCTTTGCAAATAAATTCGCAAAATATTGACACAGCTTCTATTTTTGACTTAGTTGTCTGTTTGAGCTAGGATTTGCGGCATTGCATTTTGCTAAAAAAGAACAAATATCAACCAATGCTCAACTTAAAGATTTTCTTCTAACCTAGCCTCCATGACCATATCAAAATTATTTTTATGTCCCAGTAACTTTGTTCCAAGTTTTGTAGCTCTATCTTTATTATATTTTTAAATATTTAGCTGTCCTGGGTCTTTAAAAGCGTTAAAAATGTCAATTCTTTTACCTTTTGTAACTCTGTAACCATTCATTTATGATTCATTCACAATAATTATGAAGAGAATCATTATCTTTTGCAATATATTATAGTTTTTTTTAATGGCGTATTTTGTGCCAAACCGCATAGATTTTGGGACATTTCATAAAAACCAAAACAAATACCAAATTTTCAACCCCCTTCTCCCAAACCCGATGATGTTCAAAATGGAGTAACTTATTAGAATGAAATAAACACACTATATAGAAAAGTTTAAAGTCAAAATTTAGCTTTCACTTTGGATGTTGAGGTTTAGGTATAATTACACTATACTATGCGGGGACATGGCTAGGCCTACCTATATGGGATACTAGCAAACCCGTTGTGGCTTTGCTTGCAAAAATTTAAATTAAAAAAGTAAAATGTTCAACCTGAGTAGAGCTTACACTTCTTGATTTTTTTATTTATTAATTAACTATTTAAAATATGTTATGCAGTGAAACACTTTTTTAAGCCACAAAAATAATGTTATATTTTAATTTTATGCTATAAAATATAACCAGCTGTTCCCTTGCAGATTCAAAAGTATTCATGTGTTCATATGTAAACAAATCTTTTCTCCGTAAGGACAACATGGGAACTTTAAAAGCCACTGGGCAGAGCCCTGATATGGAATTTCTTGAAAACACTTCTTATTGAATTAGTTTTTGAGATATAGTGATCAGCGAGTGAGTGGTATTTGTCCTTTATAAGTATAGATTTTATGGAGTAACAAATTTGGGTTTCCCATTTTTACCCTAAAGAAAAGTTTTAATTATAACGTTTGTACGGTAACTACGTTGTAGCGTTAAAGAAAATAATATTAAGTACCTATTTTATATGAAGCTTTGTTGTGTGCTTAGTTACGGAGAAAATATTCAAAAAAACTGTTGATTTAAAACTCTTATGTTATGCTTATGGGGAATAAGTAAATTGTAGTTTGCTTGTGTTAATATATTTTGAACATACTTGGTAATAATGATTTTATACCTACTTATAGTACTTTATAAAAAATCACACTTGGCTTCCTTTACTAGTCCTTTCCTTTACTGTTGAAACAAACCCAAGTACCGTACTCATTAACTCCTTGTTTTTTAAACATTGTACAATCTCAGACCCAGCATACAATGGAGATTTTTCATATAGAGTAAAACGGTGTCTGGGGGATCTAAATATATTTTTGTTTTGGGTTTCATACCTGTGGTTAAAATAAATTGTTTCTGGTAGCCAATTTTTAATTGAATTTTAACTGAATTTTTAACTGAACTAATTATATAATTCTAGATTGGGACAACCCTGTTAATGTCTGAATTTTTAAATTTTGAAAATACAAGAACTGCGTGGGTGAAAGTTGGTGATTATAAAAAGTTGGTGATCTTAAAAAAAGAAGAATGACACTTAAATACACCTATTAAATTTGGCTTGTGCCATACTCTGTCCACCTAGCTTTTATAAAATGTTAAGAATATTAACTTAAGTTTAAATCAACAGCTTGTTTCTATAAGTACATTCTCATTTAACCATTTGAACTCCAATGATTATTCAGTAGTTTATTTATATCTACTTTTACTATGGTTTTTCTAAATCTCATGAACACTAAAATCAAAACTGGAGTTGAAAGCAGGTTTTGGTAGGCCTATACACAATAAGGATGAGTGAAAAGTAGCAAAATGCTTGTTTTGGGGGTACAACTTGCTCACTCTGTCAACTTCCACCGGGGTCGTCCACGCATTATATCATGGGGGTTCTTTCACCAAGCTCTGCCGGCTGCAGATAAGTGAACGTCTCAGGAGGTGAATACTAGACCTGACAGAGGCAATCCACTAAACACTGTTTAATATACACTGTACTGTTTCCTAGCCTGAGAGATTGATACTTCACAGTCAACCACACTAACAGCACTAATTAGCCAAAAGACGAAGTAATAGTTATAAATTGGCCCCCAGGTTGCAGCACATGTCAGGAAGGTAGTTTCAGCTGTTTTTGTTGAGTTTAAGGAAGTTCTGTTAGTCTTGAGTGGTATATCAGTCGTTGGGGTTCGAAAGGTGAACAAAGGTACGTGTCATATGTGCCAAAATTTTGCGACACAAACTCGATAGGCCTAACTAACTAACCTAACAGACTTTAATCAAGTAATAGTGGTTATATAATTAGGTAGAAGTAGTTTGTAGGAAAGCATTTATACCATTCATTAACCACAATATTTCATTCCTCATATTAAACGACTCATCAAGTTCTGTTAGGTGTTGTAGTAGTATTATTTCATTGAGCTTTAATAAATTATTTTTTTATTAGTCTGTTTCTAAGCCATAGGAATGTTAGAAGGTTTTTGCAAGGGAATGGTCCAAACCCTGAACCTTCTTACTACTATTGTCGACCTGTTGTTAGATATTATCACTAATTGATAACTCAATGGCCAAAAACCTGGCATCTAAGTCCAGAAACGCTTGGAATCAAATCAGCAACCCTCGTAATTAAAGGCAAACTGTATAACAATGGGGCTTCTCAGACCATTTACTTTATGCCCATTGTTAGCTGTTGTTATATATTTTTCCCCAATGGTATTGTCAAAAAAATCCATAACCGTAAAGGCTAAAACATGTTTTTTGACGGATCCATACAATGTAAATACTAGGGAATGACTGATGCCATTTTCAACTTCAAAGAATTTGTGTAATGTATTTCAAGCCACCCAATGTTCATTTTTGGGGGTTCTTCCTAACAAGTTCTACCGTGAACTATAGTTTCATGACTCCTTCAATCTACTTTGTATCTTGGCCGCCTTAGACTGCTTAGCTATTGATGAGACCTAATGGCTTACCATCATACTCTAGCATACTATAGGTATATAAACTCTTACACCACCACATAAAACCTTTCAATACTTATTACACAGTATTAATAAGCCATACTTTCACTGAGCAGCAAAAGAGGTTCAAAGAAAACAAACCTTGCCCTGGGGATAATCCACTGGAGAGTCAAAGTTTTTGTGATCCCAAAACCCAAATAATATAAAGCCCCCTATACACGGGCGAGCATGTTGGCAAGCCTGTTGGCGGACACGCCTCGCGAACAGACAGTCGAGCATGCTCGCAAACTTGCTTGCCGCCACCACACAGTACTCACTTCTCTCGTGCTGTGACAGTCCTATAAGCCGAGCGCCGAGCCCAACATGCTCGCCGGTACGAAGGCTCACAGACCCCACACACGGGCGAGCATGTTCGCCGCCAACACCGTCACAAACATGCTCGCGAACATGTTTGCCCGTGTATGGGGGGCTTAAGATTTAAGATTGCACTGTATTCATTTTTTATAGTTCAGCATTAAGTAAGTCACTTAAACTAATCAAACAAAAGAATGCCTTATGTTGTGAACATAAATCCCAATTCAATTAAAAACCACTCATAAACGTAAATCTAAAAACATTGGGGAAACAACAACAAAATTTTGTTTTAATTAAACCCTTTAATTACACACTTTGACCCTCCTCTTCTTCTCTTTGATACCTTGTTCAAGCTCGTAGCTCAACGACTATTTTATTTGTACAAAAGACACTTTTCAATTAATAACCTATTTTCTGTGTTTAACTAAACGATTTTACTTTGTCGTCTACATCATTTGACTTTTCCTTGTCGACTTTTCCTTCTTCCTTTAATGCTTTCAAGTCAAACTTGTCTAACGTATCAAAATAGCCCACTTTTAATTCCCTTTTTTCAGCGCCATATAATAGAAAATCACAAAGCCTTCCGTACATCTGAAGGTCGTGAACTGAAACACATACGCAATTTGATCAGAAATCTTGCAATTTTGTGGAAAATATATTTGAGATTAATGGAATATAATTTGAAAAAGATAGTTTTAATCGTTACAGATTCCAGTCTAACCACGGCTTTTGAGTGATTTTCATTTATATAGGGTAAGCTATTCAGTTTAACTACAAAAACATCTATTTTACGTTTAATGGAGTTTGCCATTTGTAGTGTCAAAATATTTTCCCACTATAAATCCAAGGGATATTTTTTGAAATTATAAACACTGTATTGCTAATTATTAGAGAAGAGGGTGTTAAAAATAACATATGAGGAAATGACTTGGATCTAGTTTAATTGGGTACTCTAAGTCCATTTAACATCTTTAAAAGAGAGCAATTTCATTCGTTCACCTTCCTGAACTAACCGAATTACAGTCCCGTACATCTTAAGTGGATACATGCTTTCTGAAACACGTAAAAACGTATAAATGCGCTAAATTACATGAGTAAAATACATAACCATTAAAAAAAAACCCCTGCGCTTCTAACAAATTTAGTTTAGGAACACTGAAACTTTTGAAAGGGAAATAAGTGACAATATTTCATAGAGGTATTTAATTTTCAATGGCTAGACTATTGTATGGTAAAGTGTTTTTCGTTAAATATTAAATAGTTCATTCTTTCCCCGTCTCTCATTAGAGCATACACAACATCAGCTAACTCCCACACTGGCAAGTGTTCCTCATCCTCTGAAACATTAAAAAACATTACGGCGGTTTCAGAAGCAAAAACTAAACTGTCACCTGGGCAGGGGTCTCCAAGCCTAACTGTAAATATATTATTTGTTTCCTATTTTATAGTGTACACCAATGATAGTCTCCTTACGATTGTGGTAACACCCATCTCATCCGGTCTGAGCAATACTGTGATAGTGCGCGCGATCGCGGAAACCTCCCTGAGCATCTCTTGCGTTCATGGCCATACTCTGGTCGGCTCTGATCTCAATTTCCTCACAACATAAAAAGAGAATGAATGGAACGGCATCAACAAATGGAGGTTCGATTATTGGTTATTGGCTATTCTCTCAGAATTTCCAGTCAATAACGAAATTGAGCCAATTTACCAACTTTTTACACTCATAAAAGTTGTCTTGCGATTTCTGGATTCCAGGCTGGCTGGACATTCTGTTTAAATATGAGTAGCCTATCGTACTTATCTCTTACTTGCCACTGTTTTTTCTCAATAAGTGTAAATTAGTTGTTAACATGCATTAAACGAGTTATCTAAACATAGAGCTTTGTAATTAGTCAACTGCTTCCAAACCTAATGATCAGAACTACAAATATAATGGATCAGCCAAAAAGCTATGAGGAAATAATATAGCAACCAACAAATAAATAGGAAAATCCCTAAACCACTACTGAATCCTTAGTTAAAAATGACTTTGTCGGTTTATGTGGGGGTGGTAAACTTTGCGCTAAAATACTACTGGCCCTGATTTTTCTCAAAGAGTTTAAAATGTAGCCTTTGGGTGAAAGTAGTTTTAGACTCCTACTGTAGAATGTTTTCTTCACCAGTATCGTAACAGTGGTCATTTCGTCCAGGGAGTTTGCAACCAGGTTTAAGTCCCATTAGTTGCAGTGATGAGAATGAACCTTCTAAAATAAACACTGGACGGGTGAAAGTTGACAGAACAAGTTTATTATTGTGAGTTGCGTTTAATCCTGCTTTGTGCTACTTTATCCTTTTTGTGTGTTTACAAATCTATTTTTGTGTTTGTAAGATATAGAAAGATATTTTGCTCATTCATAGTTATTGTGCTAAACCTAAAAAAAAAATTAAATTAAAAAAAGTTTAAGTAAAGCGAGTAAGTAGAATTACTAGAGGGAAGAATTGGTAAGAAAACCAATTTGTCACAAAAATTAAAATTAAAAATTGTGTTGCATAATTTCTTATCTGGAATAATTTAAGGAAGTAATAATCAAGGAACATAAAGTAGCTCGAATCTATTTATTTCTACAAGGTGCAAAGTTTTAAAAAATCTATAAGGTAATGTCTATTGGGAAATAACGAATTTTAAGCTCTTAACGTTTTTTAGGTTTCTTCTTTTTGACTTTGCTAGGATACGAAGACACCTTGATTTTGCTAGCATGCAGCTCTTTCATTTTTTTCTGTTTTGCCTCAAACTCCTTTTGTACTCTTTTAGTGGTCGCTAAGTCCAAATAGTCTAATATGAATAGCTTGGAAAGAGCTAGATACTTCTTAGTTACTGCGACCAGAATAAGATCGGCAAATTTTTCGTAATATGACATTGGGCAGTCAACAACTGGAACAGGAAAGCAAAATGTAAACCAATCAGAGATTCCTGTTCCTTGTACGATAAACATGTATTATTTTATCTGTTTCAAGTTCATTATGAGTTTGTTATTCAACAATTATTGCAGATACTTTTCCAATATTCATCAATAAATATCATGAGAACTGTCTGTAAAATAAGGTACGGCTCAATACATCTTCTGTCCAGTTCCGGGTTCTTTACTTCATCCTTTACTTTTCTAGGCGGGTTTTTTGGTTACGATGGGAACTCAATGGAGGAGACCTTAATCTATGGACATTCCTCATATTCTATCTGTTAAACATTGGAATGATGGTCTCGCTATATACTCCATTTTTAGCAATATTTAATTGCTTCAATACTTCACAATACATCAAGGAAATGGTTTTAAACTGGTTAAAAAAAAACCTAATGATGATTTATTTGTCTCTTAGCGTTTTCATACTCAATTAGTATTTTTACATTTTTTGTAAGGAGTCGTTTCAGACAGTATTCACAGCTAAGAAACTTAACTGTGCCAACATTGATATCTAAGTAACTATTAAATTGATAAACTCTTTAAATTGGGAACTTAACCAATTTGTCTTAAAAAAAATAATAATTTCATTTGATATAAGTGGCTACCATTTTCATTTTCCAAGATAACAGTTAGCTTAAATATTTCTTTAATGAAACACCCTCTAGTTTATGGTTGTTTTAAGACCAAATTTACTGTTGAAATTAAGGACTTTTCCCCTGATGTTTTTTAACACAATCAACTCGTTTGGGAGCTACAGCAAGTTAAACATTTAAAAAGGTGGCTTGCTCTGTCATTTTGAGTTCCTTGAGTCCTGGCCTTGTTACCAATATTTGCCTTTAGTTTGATAGCATTGATAGCCAAATGACAAATTGCATTTGGGTACAGATTCATTCCTGATTGAAATTGAAACAGCAATAATGATACATTCAAAACTTCAAAGAACATATTTGTACTAGGTAAAATTGTTATTTAAAAAACTTCAATAACCTAGAGTGTTCACTAAATTATCCTTATACATTCATACTGGTAACAATAACTCTATTTTACGTTGTTACTACTTTTCACATTCTTTAAGCAACGCAAGTAAATCTTACTGCAATACTACAACAGAAAGTCAAATTTAATATTGCTTGGGAAAAGATCTTTGACAACCTCTGTTGCTTCTGATTGTAGAAAATTTGGTTATGGACATAATATTGTGAAGTAAACATTTCAACTTTCATGTCAATGCTGTAACTATTTCAGTTTAGATCATATTCAACCGACACCAACATACCATAGTGCTTACTTTGAGGCGAAGGTGAATGTTAAATAAACCATAATGATAGCTACTGACTGAGAACAGCTGGTTCCTTAGTCAGAACCATATTTTGTTGGTGGCTTAAGTGCATATTGATATTTACATTTTTGTTTGTTTAAGTGAATTGTGTTTAGAGTAGTAGAGAGGCCTTTGAGTACTAGCTTTGGTCAGAGCTCTTAAGTATTCTTAATTTCATTTCAACTCTAAAGTAAAAGGATTAAAAAGGAGTCGTTTGCGCCAAAGACTAAATTGATATTTACCTTCATAAGTGCCGATGTAGGCAATGTCAAGGCTCTTATCCTCGAAGTATTTCTCCTCTTTGGCCAATTGAGGTTTCTGGTGCCAACCCCTGCCTTCGTAAACGTTCCCGTCACCTCCAACTAGAAAACTAACATATCATGTTGACAGAAAAATCCTTCAAATTTGCTTTGAATAAGGTGTGGACTAGACATCTTATCCCGAAGCACTTAAACATTAACCTGTAATATAAAATTCCATATTTCAAAATGTTTGGAATAAACGTTACTGTATAAGCAATCTGACACATGGACCTACTTTCTCCAATTAGCTTTTCAATAATCCTCATTATTATTATTATGGCACATAGGTAAGCAGTGAGTAACTTCGTGAGAGTAACTTCGATAATTTATGAGATTTTTTAACTTCATAAAAAAAAAAATAAAATAAATCACGAAAGTTGCAATTACTTTTAAACTGTAATTTTTACAGTAAAATGTACATTTTAACCTTTTCTAACTCTTACCGTTCACTTTAGCAAGATTATGAAGAGGACCATTCTTGATGGAAATTGAAAATTATTTTCTTAAATTACATATTTTGTTCTAAACTCTGAAATATTTGCAGTTTGTGAAATATTTCATTATATAAAAAAAAACTACAAATGTTTCAATATACCTCTACTTTTCCCCAAACACAATGCTCAAAATCATGTAACTTCTTACCATACATTACGAGGTCTAGGGTGTCCCAGATCACCCGGCCGGCTTCTATAGCTCCAATATGAAAGCAAATAGAAACCTAATTGTAACTGGAACCATAGATAAAACATACTCCCTTAGTAGATTTCTCATCCTTATGGAACAGCTGAAGACAATTTTATTGTTAGTTCTGTACGGTTTATGTAGAGGTCGTGTTTTGTTTACAATATGTTTCCCGTTATTACAGCCATTCAAAACCTCGTTTAACCAAATAATACGATCTAATCATAAACAATAACTTGTCCTCTAGTTATATAACCAAACAGTAAAGCACAAATCAAGAAATTAACCCTAAAATAATAGAAACAAGTTTAGTCGACACTAGCGCCTTTGTGTCACGTACATGAACTAGACACGAAAAACGTGCATCAAAATTTACAATGGGATGAGAAGTCTACTTGTGTTGGTTAGTCTATGCTGGAACCTCCTATTTTGACTCCAAGGAATTCAGCTAAATTATTTTTAAATCCAAAAAAGCACCCCAAAGGACAGATTTTGGGGGGTGGGTCTCACTTTAAATGCCTCATTTTAAAGGTCTTTGAGTCCTGAGTTTGAGGAAAAGTTTTAAATTATTTTTATTCCTATTTACAGGGTGTTCAAAAATGTACAAAAAATATACCTTTGAACTACTTTTCACTGCAAAGAGGTGGAATTTCATGGGGGGTTCATATTTTGATATCATTTTAATTGCTAAATGAGCTTTAAAAAACCTGTGGTTTCAACCCTTTTCCTCACATTTTACTTATGTTACCATTTTCAAAAGCTGTTAACTCAAAACATCAAATGGCAACATGGGTTTCATTACAAACCACATTGTAACCCTTAAAATTAGCTACAATTTTTGCATTTAATGTTTTTTGGTATCTTTATTGCTTAAAGAGCTGTAGCGAAATTAGTGTATAGTATTTTAATGTTTTATTCAATGGTAATCAAAGTGTTTGCTGTTGTAAATGTTCATGTCTAGGTCTCGATTAAAACTTGGAGCTATAGAAGCCGGCCAGGTGGTCTGGGACAGGGGTTCTGAAACTTCATCTACTCAAGGACCCCCGTATTTAACTATGTATGTAATGCGGACCCCTACAATTACCTCCCACTACTAGCTCTCCCCCCCACGATGCCCCCTTGATTTTTATTTTAACATTTCAAAATATAACTTATTTATAATAAGGAATAGGCTAAAAAAATAATCAACAAACAAACCAAAACTGTTATTTTCAGAAATTTCAATTTGGTGTTACTGATAAAAAATAAATTGTATTGTTTTTTGCGGACCCCCAAAAAACTGCAAGCGAACCCCTAGGTGTCCGTCGACCACACTTTGAGAAACTCTGGTCTGGGACATCCTGTATATCAAACAGTTTGGATTCTAAAGTTGGCTTTCAATTTGGATGTTGAGGCTTAGCCCTAATCTTACTAGCCTATGAAATTACTGGGTTCAAGATTAAAAGCAAATAATTTTTTTTCTTCAAAATGCTTCAATCTTGTCTGGATTTAATGTGGCACAGTAATGTATTTTGTATTTGTAGTGATCACTCAAATATCTAGAGGTAGTTGGTTACAGCTTTGACTATTCATATCAATTGAAGGTACAAAAATATGTCTAATGACATACTTGTATATTAACACTTATACTGTTGACAGTGTTGACTCACAAGATGGTAAATATATGTAAAAGATGGTAAGTGGGGATCGATTTTGATTGGACACTCCAATCATCATCGGACCTAATAGGACAACAGTATAAGAGTATATATTATTACAAGCGTTATTAGATGTATTTTTTGTACTTTCAGGTAACTTACTGTAATTTAATAACATGCACGATGCCGATTAAGAAGTTATTTATTGATATTAGTATCCAATAGTCAATGCTTAAAGTACCTGATTAAGTATTAAAACACTCTATTGTTCTCTTTCTTTCTATTAGCCTCTACCAAAATAGGCTTACTCTTGTAAATACTAAAATCACATTTTTCATTAGTTCTATAGCTTTCCAAGTCTTTCCGCAGAAAATTGTTTATATTTATGGAATTAGAGAATTTTTTTTTTTTTTTTTTTTAAGAAATAATGAAGTTCATCATGATTTTAAAATGTAAATTTGTTTTATTGTTTCTCAAACCTTTTCCACCAAAGAAGGGATTTTTTCCCCATGAGCTTTTTACTAGCTGAGAAAATAAATACCGGGTTGTTTTTGGTACCAATTACCAATCATAACAATTTTAAAAATCCGTGGCCAACTGGTTTTTGTTTTTTCATTTAAAAAAAAATATCAGTAAAATGTGTGATGTATTTATTATGCGTAACAATTACCTATCATGAAAATTAAAAATATCTGTGACAATTTAGCTTGTATTAATTGTTTATAATCTAATAAAAAACCCAAGATTATACGGGTTTTGTAGTTACAAAGCCTAGAAGTAAACGTCTCCATCTTAAAGGTGCAAGAGCCAACAGGTTGGATACCTGGCATATCCAAAAACATTTTAGGAGCTAACCGTTTTCCCTTTTATTGTTGTTGTTTTTCCATAAAATGCCAACAGCAGCCAAATCTAGTTCTCAAATCCAAGTTGTAGAGTTCAAGCTATTCCGGCGATGCTTATAAAGAATACTATTCACTATAACTCTTAGACAGATCTCCACAGCTTACTTGTATCTTATGTCTGGTGCTCCGTCGTTTGTCATGTGTCTTTTCTGTAGATCGGCCACGATGCCGAGGCAGGTCTCTTTGTCGTAGCACGGGTGACTTGCTGTATCCATAGTGATGAATACTTTCTCCAGGGGGTGTGTGACGGGCTCAACATCCCCCCGGGGGGGAAGAGCCCCCCACTCTGTCCTCGAGATCACATTCACCTCTGGCGGAATCTTTTGTTGAGGCATTGTTACTGCAACATTCAGGTCGTTAGGTTTCTATAGAATAAAAGATTTTGTTCAACACTATTCAATCGGTATACTAGGCCTGTTTGGAAAGTAAGTTAACCTCCATTTGGTCACTTGGGAAGTAGTAAAGGCAGCAAGTTATACAGTGGGGCAGGTTAGTCAATGTTCATGGTAGTGTAAAGGTCAAGCAAGAGCTTAGTTTTACTTTACATCGCCTTTAACTGTGTTACAATAGAAAATCAGTTATGAGTTGTGATAGATTTGTAACTGCAAACAAGCTATTTATTGGAAATTTTGTTTGATGTATGGACAAAATGTGACCAGCAAAGAAATAATTTCTATTTCTGGATGGGTTAATTTATTTAAAAGTGAACAGATGAAAATCTACGCAAAGATAGGAGTGGCATTCAATCTTTCATGACTTTTGAACTCGTTTTAGAAATAAAATGATAAAGATATAAAAAAGGCGTTTACCTACAACAGTTTTTAAACTAGCCTTTTCAATTCAGTTTTTAGAATTGAAAAGATTCCCTTTACAGTATTGTTTATTTACTTTACAGCAATGTTTTGTTACTTTCCAGTACAATTTTGGACCAATTATCAATCATTGAGATGGGGACACCACCTAGGTGCGTATTTTAACCCAAATATGAGTGTAGAATGGTGTGAGATGATCTGTGTAGCTTTGTTACTGACTAAGATCAGCTGTTTCATTATCCAGGATCATTTATTTAAAGCCCAATGATCCGGAACAGCTGGGTCCAGTTTCAAACCATAAAAAATCTACTGACTTTTCTCAGGATCGAGCCAGCGACCTTTTTTTAAACCAATGAGGTTCAAGGATTAAGAGAAAAGAAGTAAATTTGTAATGCTTTGAACGTCATCAGCTGTTAAGGCCAATTTAATTGATTATACAAAGAGTGAGTGATTGGGACAATGAGTCATTGCATCACAATCAGTAACAATGAGAGGTTATAAACAAAGTAGTTATTATTACAGTAAATCTTCAATAGTTCGACACAGGCTGAGGCTACCCGTCTAAACATTAGCGATCGATATTTTGCGATCTAGAAAACTCTCTCTTCCTTAGTTGAAAATGCTGTCAGTGACAGTGAAATATTCTAATGTTTTGTGTATATAGTGTAAAGTTTTGTTTTGTGTTTCCTGTGCCAGTTTGGACTCTTTCCCATTCAAGTAAGCCTGCTATCCTCTCAAAAAATCTAGGCCCTTGTGCTGTATGCTACACCCTTAACCTCGTATTAAATATACTTTAATACTTTAATACTTTCATATGAAATGGCGACCATACAATGTAGGTATTTTAAGCCAAGTATGAATGGAGATGAGTGTAGGATGAGTGGCGCGATCTTGTAGTCTTGTTAGTGACTAAGGCCGACATTCCTTAGACACAGCTGTTAATTAATAGCCCAAACAGCTAATGGCAACTAAGGGACCTACAGTTTATAGTGGAATCCGAACCACATTTTTTCCTTGTTACAGATATACAGATATTTACTTAATATGTCATCATCAAAATATTTGGTTTACAAAATGTATCAGGCAGAAGGCTCAAAATATTAGGATAACCATCCAGAGTACATCAAACAGCAGCCTCAAAATACCAATGTCAGCATAGGTACATGTAAAACTTTTCAAACTCAATAAAATAAAAAAGTCCAGGCCAACAAAAAAAAAACAGCGTTACTCTTGACTATTTAAAACTCATTTAGATATTAAAAATGATCCTAACATTGATTATAATAACTACATCATCAAAATGTAGTTCAGGCCATACAGTATAATATGTTCATTTAAACAATCAATAAAGGTTTGTATTTGACATATTTACGTGCAAAATCGCACGGGCTCCCCTAGTTTCTATAAAACTCAGTAAATTAGTTGGACAAAGTAAAAAAAAATATTCTACTGGATTTGTTTTAAATATTTGATCTGAAGATGAAGGTAAAAGCAAAACACAAATAAATAGATTAAAATACATTTAGGTTAAATACCCTTTATTTCAAATTTATTTGGAATCTATTAACACACAGAACTAAGAATCAAACAAAAAATAACCAATTAATTAAAATCTGTGTTAGAGGCACAAAAAAACTTTATACCACTAAACCAGGATGTTTAAAATTAATAAAATCATCTATAAATTCTCAGAATAAGCAGATTTTGTGAGGGATGGTCCACATCGCTTGTTGGTAGTTTTATAAGAATAAACTATCACTATATCATTTGGTGACATTGTACCTATGAAATTTGTTATATTTTGCAAGTTATAGCCTGTTACAAGTCAATGGATACTCACCACCAATCCAGTTTTGTATGTGTAAAATACTTTACGAGATACATTCTGTAAAGAAAATATTTCTGTAATCTTATCATTAGCTCCAGATATGAGTTGTTTAATCAGTCATTAATGTAACATGTTTTGCATACTTATCATGCAAACAACAGATATTTTTCTACTATGGTAAATCAATGTTCAACTTTTTACGTGAACTGTGGGGACTCAACATGACGTATCACTCTATAACAATTACGTAAAATATTGAGTGTGATAATTACTTTTTATCTGTGATAGCGAGTACTTTTTAAAAACTATTACAATGAGGAATGTATAATTGTTTTGGCATTTAAAGTATTTCGCCTCTTTCACACGAAGCGGCGCGCGCCGTACGGCGTCCGCCGCGCGGCGCTGCGCCGGACAAGCGTGTGTCTTCACACTAGTACGGTTTCGTGCGGCGCGCGCCGTACGGCACTCCTAAATATTTATTATTTTCTGTTCAGTTATGGCTTTTAAATGAATACTCCACTTAAAAGTTCAAATTAAATGAATAGGATAATTTTAAATATAATAAACTAGTGCACCTGTTGCTCGAATTTGAGCAATTGCAAAATATTAAAGGAGTTTTTTTACGAATAACTGTCACTATTTCCGTTGACGTGTGAGAGTCAACTCAAAGATAATGTAACCAATCACTCCACTCCAGTTATCGAAACTGGAAACGAACTCACTCTGAAAACGAACGCTCACTCCACTCCATCTATCGAAACTGAAAACGAAAACTCTTGTGTGTATCATGTGTGTACTATGAACAGCTGTAATTAATACACATTATTCGTCCGTTTAACTAAACAAAATCTTGTCTTCATAAGATATACATTGGGATTTTCATGGCCTGAGGGGCAAAGCCCGAGGACTTTTACTACAGGAATTGGTGAAAGGGGGCGTGTACACAACAAATACTTAATTTTGACACATCGTTTGTAAAAATCGGTCCATTATTAACGGAGGAGTAGTATTTCGTAGAAATCACCTTCACGTATTATATATAAGTATTCGTCATATCTGAAAATATTGTATTCTAGAAGTAAAAAAAATGTTTCATTACGTATAAATTACTAAATTATTAATTTAATACTAAATATTCTCCTCTAGTTATTAAAGGAAAATTTTTGTTTTAATACTTTAAGTTGGTCGATTTGCATGGGATTAACATAAAAATGTATGTTTTGTAATAACTTTAAATATATTATTTTCCGATACAACGATATATAATTTCTTAATTAACTGTTGCACCCTCTTGGTCAGGTAGTTTGCCTAAAATGAGGCAGCGTAGGGGTTGGGCCGTGCGGCGCGCGCCGCACCGTGTGAATGCTCCCATAAGAACCAATGCACCTTCACCGAGTTGTCCGGCGTGGACGCCGCGCGGCGCTGTCGTCCGGCTCAAGGTGCATCCGGCGGTAACTCGCGCGCCGTGCGGCGAATTCGCCGCGCGGCGCGCGCCGGACATAGTGTGAAAGGACTCATATACTCCCATAGCCCTACGCCGGATCCGGCGGGCGCCGCACGGCGCGCGCCGCGTCGTGTGAAAGAGGCGTTTCATGGACTGAAAGAAGACAAGGCAAATTTGTCTTTGTAAACCATTTATATATTTTTTCCCTTCTTACTCTAAAATCAAGTAAACATAATTTACAGTTGTGTTTTTGGATAGAAGCTGAAATTCGGTCAATGTTAAATATACATTATAAAATAACAAGTTTTTTCAAACTTTAGGCTATGTTACTAAATTTTATAATGTTAAAAAATCTATAGCTCTGCACAATTCTTTTGTCCTTTTGAATGTCATTGTAATAATTTATGCCTGCATTTTTTCTTTATGATTAATTGAAATAACTATGTTTTATTCTTTATTTATAATATTGTAAATATTGTCATTGTCCATTTTGACAAATACATATCAAGTTTATTAATTGTCTTTAAGTCTTGTCTTTGATATTTTTAACAGACAATCTCCAAAAAAAAGGGGAAATAAAACTGCATAAGGCACTTTAATTTTTTTATTTAAAAAATCCCTATAAAATTTGTAAAAAATCAAACAATTACCTTATTACTAAACTGTCTGAAGTAAAGCTTTATTTTTTAAATGAACTGAATGATAAAAAATTCATATTAAGTAGGCCTATCTTTATACCCAGAAAAAAAAAAAAAAAAAAAAACTAAAACATATTATGAAATCTGTACCACTAAGTGTAAACAGCAATGGAATTACTGAAGAAGCTGTGATATATTAAATATATCACAGCTTCTTCAGTAATTCCATTGCTTTAATATAATAATAGTCAGAATAAATTTTATTCTGACACATTTAGTAGTTTCAAATCCCTAGTTCCTTTCAATAACAGAACCACATTACTTTTAAATTTGAATGCTGCTAACTTAACATTTTTTAAATGTTCTTTATCAGTCTAAGCTTGGCAAACCTAAATTTTGTAAGTTAAGGCTTCCTAAAAATTCATCATAGTAGACTGACAGTGACTTTCTAATAAAATCACTGCCAGCTTAAAGAGGTAACAACAGAATAGAAAGTTTAATCCTGTAATAAATATAACTTTGTCTTATCAAAATATCTTTACATTCACATAAAATGTTCTTTAGTCCTCCTTGCCACCCAAAATGTTTTGTATTTCTTGTAATGTCTTTCCTTTGGTTTCTGGTACATAATATACGGTGAATATCACAGTGAGGAAGCAACTTATTGCGAAAACAATAAAATTAATATATAAACCTTCCCGGTCAGCAACAACCAAGTAGAACCTAATAACTACAAAACTTACTACTCCAAATATAACGTTTGTTAGGGCACAAGATTTAGTTTTTACGTGGGAAGGGAAGAGTTCACTTTTAATACACCCCGGGTAGTTTCCACACCCTAAATTGTAAAGAACAACGTGAACAAGAAACATAGTGAATGGTAAATAGTTTGTACTCCTTGTATTTACCGAAGTTTTTTCGTCTAGGAAATACCAAATTGAGACTACCAACATTGTAAGGCCGCACCCTGTACAGGATATGTAAAGTAGTAGCTTGCGAGCGAACATGTCTGTTATAAAAACCATCAGCAGTGACGATACCAAGTTAACTGCTCCTAGAATAATAACACACTCATTGGGATCCAAGACCCCGAACGATCTATGGGGCAACGTCATCGACCCAAACACATTTATTGCTACAAAGCCTGATAGAATTTTCATTGTGGTGAAAACTATGCTTATAATAATAGCTTTCCTCGGTGCCTCGGACACAAATATTTCTTTGAAAGAACTTTTATTTTTTAATTCTGAATTAACAAAGGACTCGATTTGTTTCAGTTCCATATCCAGCTCTATATTGTTGATGCCACCTCGAAGCCAAAATAGTGATTTTCTTGCCAACTCAGGTTGTTCTTTCATCATGTAGTAATAAGGAGACTCTGGCATCGCTGCAAACGTTAGACTAAACAAAAGTGGAAACACGAGTGAAATCAACGCCAAATCGTAGTAGTAAACAAATGGACCGACAACGAACATTATAAGAGCACCGGCAGACACCATGAAATGGTTCAAAACGGATAACGACCCTCTAACTTCGGGGAGAGATATTTCACCAATGTAGATAGAATGTACGGTAGCTATAGCTCCCAGTTGTATACCAGCTAAAAACCTTGCGATGTACAAGTGCACTGCGCTCGTAGCGATGAGAATTATCAACCATGAGAGTATGGTGAACAGGCTGGAGTACAGGAGGATTTTCTTGCGGCCGAAGTTGTCTGCCAGGTAACTCATGGGAAGGCAGCTGACTAGGTTGCCCACATAGTAAAGCGACACCATCCTTGACATCTCAATAAGGTTTAGCGAGACAGGGGCGTCGTGGGAGACTATCTTGGGGAGAGTGGGCGACGGCCAGGCTGAGGCCATACCAGCGGCCGCAAACGATAGAGAGGCTGGAACAAAAGTGTAGATTTTATTGTTAAGTACCATCATTGACTTTTATATACTAGGGTAAGCAACCCATCTATATGTATAGATCAGGTCAATTAGAGTGACGAGCTGGATGCACATGAGCCCAAGAACGCTTCCCCCACCTCCGTAGCTTTCAGCAAATTTCTCTATTTGATAGAAGCTAATACCATAGGTGGCACAGAAAGATATAGACAATGGATTGATTTACTTATTCATTTTGATGTTCCCAGAAATTCATTGCTGTAGCCAAGAAGGTGTGATAAAAAATCCACACCTGCCAAGCATGTAACTCGTTCTGGAGCTTTATGGCTTGGTTAAACAACTGTGTATAGGATAGAAATCAGTGAATAATGGCAACACATTCTTTCTGTAGGTCATTTTAATTATCAATTTGTTAACTTTTAGTCCATAACTGGTAACAAATTTAAGATCGCAATGGAATGTCTAGTTCTATTCATAGTAAAAGTTGAGTTACTTTACGTTTTATGTTTCAAACTCTTATTATGAAATACCTTATGTACCAATGAGTATTAAGAAAATCTTTATTTGTTTTAGTGTTTGTCATACCTGAACCAGCAACAATAAATTGCCGGACGACAGCCAGAGTCTGGGGCTGGCGTGGCCAGATGTTGAGGGGCATCCCTCCTGCGAGGTCGGAGGTCAACTCCGGAGGTCACTGAGGGAGACACAAGTGAAAAGGTAATAAAGTTAAACACCGTCGTTTTTTTTTACATAATTAACTTAATATAATTCATTTTGACAGGCAATAAGTAATTAATTATACTGCCTTCAACCTGTCAATATTGCTAAATATTGCTTTAACACTCAGTTAGCAAATAAACAACCCTAGGATGCACCAGCCAAGGGTAAGTAGGCCTACAGATTATACTAGGGTGGTCTGCTGTTACACTTTAGACGCATAAATGAGCGAAGCATTATTTAAAGATTGTCAATGGCTAAAGCAGCTAACAACCTACAATATGTTCCCTTTCACGGAATGTACTCATGCAATCAACATTTGTTCTACAATCGTCAGGTCAGTTAATTCGTTCGGGACACTTGACACATCCATATTATTTAACGCTGTGAATTTAGTTGCATTTGAACGACAACGCGAACAAATCGGTGATTGGTTTGAAGCTGTTAGTTGTTGGCGATGACAGTTAGTGCAAGTGTAAAATTTTAGTGCATCTAATTCATGTTGGAATTGATTAGCTAACTGCCTATCATTATCAGCTTCTTCCGCCACTGCTTCACCTGGTTCTTCTTGTTCACGACGCCATTCTCTTACAATATTTGCATTATTGGTGCGACGACCAATATTACGACGTGGCCTTTGAGGCATGCTCAAAACAAATATAGCAAAACTGTTACTTCCATTGATAAACTGTTACATTCCAACTTTAACCTAGGATGAAAGAAAACATTGACATGTAAACAAAACAGTTACAAACAATTAACATATATGTTTATCTTATTTAAATAAAACGAGATAAACCCATATGTCATAAACCCAATATAATTTTTCTTTCAACTTACATTAAAATAACAAGCGAAATTGCGTGACCCGTAAAATAAAATCCAGAAGGAAATTTGCAAATATTTTTTACCATAAACATTGTGCTCAGTATTCTTAAGCTGTTGGCCAAATTTCATATCAATTGGTCAAGCCATTACATTCTGATGCTCTTACAAAGAAGTTACAAAGTGAGGGAAAGCGAGCTTCGCTCAATAAGATTTCTGAGACCCAGAGATTAACAAACGGCAAACCGAAACAGCTGTTGCACTAATTTATAATTGAGCGTGTAGGTAATGTTCATTTTTACACTTTTGTTATTTCTGTTATTATCATGAACAAAGCATGCCAGTGCATTGTTGCCACACACCAACGGCGAGGCCTTGTTATATAAGCTATGGCTTAAGGTTTAGAAATACGAATAAGTGGAGGGTGCTTGTCTTGTTACGTAAGGAGATCTGCTGGTTCTTGAGCAAAAATAGTTTAAACCCATTGGGCAACAACATTGGATAGATTTCTAAACAATTTTCAGATAAGGCCTTCAAAACACTTGAAATTTCTTTGAATTTATGTTGTGTCTTTTATGAGCCTGTTGCCTTTTCATTGTTTTACTCTAAAGAAACAGTAAAAAAAACTCTTCTGTTAACCACGATTTCTTAGCACAGCAATTGTTCGAGAGATGAGTCTATCGTTTGGTGCGAGCAGAAGTGCCACTTTTGGAGGGCACTAGCACTTCTAGTTATTAAAAAAAAAAAAATATGTTGGCATTTGATTTTCTTATTGTGTTCATGGACACCAATCATAATTATTTTACTTCCATAGGACAACTTAGGAGGCGTGTAGGATAGAGCCCTGTGGCCAAACCAGAATCGAAATACCTTAACTACTGTAGGCCTATTTGAGACGCAAAGAATCGGCATACTAAATTTAAAAATCTTAGCATATTGGGATGTTGGAGGAATAAGTGTGTGAGAAAGGGAAGTATAGTTATAAGAGGGCTATAAAATAGGAAGATTTGGGTTTTCCCATTTTCCGCCAAAACAAAGTTTTGCAATATATCTCTAAATTTTTTGTAGTGCTTAAAAAACAAATAATCTATACAGTAGTATATTAAATGGTTGTTGTACACCTAATGGTTACAGAGATTAAAAAAAAAACTGTATATTTAAAATTCTTATGTTATTTTTGTGGAGAATAAATAAACTGTTGTAGTTAATAGATGTATTTTGATCAAATTTGTTTATTTAATACTAAGCTATTAATATTTTAATGAAACACACTGTATTGTCATCCCTGTAGCAGTAACCCTAAGAAGTCAATATCTTATCAAACAAAATGAAATTTGCCGCGCAAGGGTATTTTACCTAATTAATAAAAAATAAAGAGCCATTTTTCCAAGTTAGAATATTAAAAGTGAAAAAATCTGTCTATACAAATTATTAAATATTGTGATAAAAGGTCCATCCCTATTTCTCTGATATGAGTTATACAGACAGACAGTGTATTGAAAATAACATGTAGACCCTATATCACTACCAAAATAACTTCAAACAATATTAATTGCAAAGCTGGAAGATAAGGTTACCTTTAGAATGTATGACAGCTTCGGGCCTCTCGTGGGACTGGAAGTGAAGACGAGTCCATAAAAACTGCAAACACCGTTATCTCAGCCCTGATTTTAAAATGTCTACAAACATAATGTGCTGCATGTTTGAAGTTTTATTCAGCTGTGAAAATGTATTTACTATCTTTGCCATCTGGAATGCAGCTAGAATTTCTTATACAAATGTACAAACAATATGCTGTATGTTAGAAGTATTATTCAGCTGTAAAAGTGTTTTAAATATACTTCGCCACCTGGAATGAAACTGGAATTTGCGTTATAACATCGGGTTTTTCGACGATTTTGAACGATGTTGATGAACAGTCCATTATGATTAATTTAATTTTTTTAAATAATGATGGTTTAAGTCAGGAGAAATAATGCCCTGTTTAGTTTAATAAGTTATTCATTTACATGTAACAGTTCATTAAATAATTTTCTTAATTTTTGGCTGACAACTTGTAAGGATGGGTTTTATTGATTCATTTTGAGGCTGATGGTTTTGTAATTATATTGTTGGTTGCTGCTTAGTTCAATAGTTGTTTTCATTAATAAAAAAAATAATAGTGCTGCACCCTGTTGGTTAATCTTTATAATGCTTTTGCATATCATAGAATCAACTTTGTAAGTTGTAACAGCTGACTAAATTCTTTAATTCCCTTTAAATATAAATACTCATAAGGTTAATATGGGGAACTACAGAACCACTGGGGTGGAGCCCGAAAGGGTTTTTGAGATAATAATATGCCTATGTTAATCGGGAATGTGAGTTATCATCATGCCAAATTTCAGCCCAAACCGTCCAGTAGTTAATGCGTGGTTGAACTTCAAACAAACAAACACACAAACTTTCACATTTATAATATTAGTAAGAAGTAAGTCAAAATGATTGTAAGTAAATTATGCAAACCTAAATTGAAAACATTTTTAAAATCAAATATTTCAAAAAATTAAATTTTATAAAATATAGGCTACTTTTAGTTGTTGTCTTGTTTGTATTTTTAATAGACTAAAACTGATGTTAAAACTTTGAAGTTACAGATAAGATTATATTATTTTTTTTTTTTTTACACTTAACAAAGTAAATGCTGCATAGCTTACATAAAAGAGTGTAAGTCTAAAGGTCTCTCAGTAAAATTTCAACCTCAGAATGGAAAAAATATATTTTTATTTTAAAACCCATTCAAGGTTATTTTAAACTTCCTCCTACAATTTTCCTAATAATAAATCTTAAGCCACTCTTAAGCCTTAATCCTATTGCACATTTGAAGACTATTCAAGGTTTTGTTAAACTTTCTCATATAGTTAGTTCTCTACTAGAGTGCACCAGCTGTCATTGGCAAAGGGTGTGTTCATTTCCGTTCAGTTGAGATACTGCTTCGTTTGCATTTGCATTAGTTGTACTCAACTTACAATGGCTTACTTGCTAGTGAATGTTTAAGCAGTGCTTCCATTTCAAGTTAACATAATAACATGAAGTTCAGTTTCGATATTCGTATTCAGGTAAGGCGCTATTGTTTGTTTATTAAATTAAATTTTAAGACTTAATTGGAAATTGATAACAGGTGTTTGATAAGCCGAGAGAAGGCCAATAACCTAGTAGCATTTGATAAGACATTATGAGCAACCAGAAAAGATTGGTTGCAGTGTAAATTCAATTAATTTTTCGTCAATGGAATGATATTTTGTTAAAGTAGTTAAGTGGTATAAATTTGTGTGGTCATAAAATGTATTATGTGGTTTTTAATTGATTTTACAATCAAATGAATATATCAGTGATCAATTAATAACAAAGCATGGTTGATTTTCAAACAATCTGTATTAATTTACAAAGATACATAGAGCATTGCTCACAAATTATTGATTGTAAAAGCATGAAAATATTTGTTTATTTATTCCTACTAATTTATACAAATAATAAATACATAGAAACATAAACATCTTAAATAAAAAAAAAAAAAAAACATTGGAAATGAAACAAAACGACAAAAGCTTTTCAAGTCTAAATATTGTTTTGTAGTGTAAAATGTTTAGTTGAAACATGTTTAAAGTTTATTTCCATGCTCTTAGTTTTAAATCATGTACACTTTTGGAGCGTATGAGTACAGTAGTAGCTTCTAATACTGATAGAACTCTGTTGTGCAGTTTGTGAGTGGATCCTTGAACTAAGTTTGTAAAAATAAGAAGTTGAAAGTAAAAATAAGTAGCTATAGAGCTACTCCATATAGATAGGATGTCTATTTCAGTATCCAAAAGTCAGCAGTAGTAGGCCTACCGTATGTAGTTAAAAAATATCAAGCCAGACAATTTTTGTTTTAAAAAAGTATAAAGTATGTAGTTCTAGAGAGTTTTATATACAGTGTTTTCATAACATAAACTGTCACTATTAAAGCAAAATAGTATTCTTTTACTAGCTGTTTTTAGTTTAAGCTTAAATTATGGACATTAGTTAAAGCTATATTGTTTACATTTAATAGAATTTTCAATCTTTTTAAATCACACTCCACTGTAGTTTATCCAAGTTTTTGCACAAATATAAAGGCGGTGACACACTATCGATCTTTTCCCCGATCAAGACCCCGAACCGAGCAGGGAGAAGGGAGAAGGGAGATAAATATCAGCAAAATTTTACTCCGAACATTTCCCCGAACATGACCAAGACCAGACAAATTCTACCGAGCGCGGCAACAGGAAGTTTGAGAGAGATAGAGAGTGTGTGCGAGTGAGAGCGCGGAACTATCAATGCTAGCACAGGCGGCCGCTCGGTGCGGCGCTCGCGACGATGTACGGGGCAAAAATGTACCGTGACACACTATCGTACATCGGACCGTACATCGGACCGATCTTTTCTTTGATCTTTCGCCAAAAAACCGCCTCCAGAGCGCTCGTCTCCCTGCTCGGCCTGATGTCTTGTTCGGCGTCTTGATCGGTGTACGGACCCGTGACACACTATCGAACATCCTCCCTTCGACCTCCCTTCTCCCTTCTCCCTGCTCGGTTCGGGGTCTTGTTCGGGGAAAAGATCGATAGTGTGTCACCTATAGTGTGTCTTTAAAGTTTATAAATATTTCTACTACATGCTTAGATAGTCATATGGTATATTTTTGTGGTCTGCATATTCATTTTTATCATTGTTTTAACTAAGGTGTGCTAACGTTAGATACTGCAGTAGACATAAAATGGGCCAAAACTCCAACCTTTATTTTACAGGAATGAATAGTTGAATATGTTTAGGTTCTATTATTTCTTTGAGCTTTCTTAATGAAATATAATTTATGATCCATAACAGATGCAACATTTTACACAAGTTTGTGTCTAAAAAAAAGTATTTAGATAGAACAGCACACTTCATTGATGACTCAATTGATTTAAGTCCTTCTCAAACTGACTACAATTTCAACATAAGAATTGCATGTTTTTCCAGTAGTGTATTTATAGATAAGGCTAGATCCATCTTTCCCTTATGCTTTCACACAAATCCTCGAGCTAATACTGTTTATTCACAAAACAATTGACCAAGAAACTCAGAAGGTAAATAGGTACCTATTTTTAATTAATATCACAGCTCAGGGGCTAAAAATGGATTTTAACAAGAAACTCAAGTTAGAAATCAACTAAAGATTACTTGTTTGGTGATTGTAGATCTCAATCAGTATACAGACTACTATTGTCAATTTGTGCTTCATAATTATTGGCTATGCAACATGTATATAGTTGTTCTTACAAAGACATTTGGATAATAAGTTAAATAATCCAAACAATGAACAACCCAAAACACTGATATTCGGTAACTTTATTCTAAAAGGATTAATTACAATGCAATGTTTTATTTTTTTACTACAATGTAGTATCTATTGAATAATCTCAAGGTTGATTTTACACTTTAATTAGGCTAATCAACCGTGGAAAGTTCCACAAAAGGAAGCCCAGGCTCAAGGGTAACCTTCTGAAGGTAACCCAAATTTCTTATCCAGGAAGAGATAAAGTAAAATGATACCTTCTCTTTCACATATTTTAAAGTTTCACCGTAAATAAATGAATGTAAAATAATTACTCCTTATTATTGTTTAAAATTGGTGCTGAGCTATGACTAGAGTACGGTCCACGAGAGTTTGCAGTTGAGGGAGGAGTCTATTTACCATGTAACTTTGAAGGAACGTGCGTTGTTGCCAAATCTAATAATACCAGCTGATTTGAAAATATTGTTTAGTATATTTTAATTAGTGTCGAAAAGTAGTGAATGGGTGATGTTGCAGTCTTGGTATTGGGGCCGCCAACTGCAGACTATCGTGGCCGCTAGTGTAATTCAAATTCAAATTCAAATCCTTTATTCACTAATAAACATCTTAAAAAGTACAACGTACAAGGATAGGAGTATCGTCATAACAATAATAAAAAAATTATTACTACTAACATCAAGTAAAAGTTACTATTATAAAAACAAAAAATAATATAAAAATCCTGCTAAAATTAATGAAAGCCATCAGGTATGTATTCAACGAGAAATTTAGTTTGTAAAATTAAATTAATTCTTGTCAGTTTAGAAAACATCAGAATAGAAATCTTCTATTTTATAATGTGCCTTTTCAATAACTCGTGTAAATTTTTCTAGGAGTATGTTTTTTGGATTGTTGGTGATTCTTTTTGGTAGTTTATTAAAAGTTTTATAGCCATGTATTTTTGCGTACGTTAAAAAAGACTCACTCTTTTTATTCTTTCTATGTATTGGGAATTGAAATGTTTCTGGAATAACTATGTGTACATTTAAACTCTTCAAAACTGACTATATTGTTAATTAATAGCTTAATTATTTAAAAAAATGTACGTACTTGTGATATGGTTAAAATCCCTAATCTTTTAAAAAGAAGTCTAGACCTCTCTCTAGTGTGTAAGGTACTTTTGAAATCCTTACATAAAAAAAAAAACTTGCCTACTGTAGAAAATGTCTCATGTTTCAAATTTGTTTTTTATGAGTCTTTTTACTTAATTTTCTACTAGTACCCTGTAACAGATTTTGTATTTCTTCCAAAGATTTACCCTGTGTTTCTGGCACATAAGCCCATGTAAAGATTATTGTAAAAATACAGCTTAATGAGTAAATCATGAAGTTAACATGCATGCCAAAAGATTCTGCGATCACTAAAAAGAATTTGTTTAATATAAACGAGGTGATAGCGACAAATATGGTCGTGAGGGAAGAACATATCGCCTTTACATTAGCAGCAAACAATTCCCCCTTCATACTCGTCCCTATTGGACCGAGCCCTAATGAAAAAGTAGAGTTGTAAAGTATATAAGAAATAAACAACCATTCACTGTAGCGTTGTACATCGTAATCGGTGTCACGGAGATAGAACCATGTTGAAACTAACGCCATCGTTAACGCACATCCAGCTGAAGAAACAGTTATTAGACATCGTCGGTTGAAATGAACAGCGAGAAAAACTGATGTGACGGAAGAAATTAAACTAATCAAACCGAGAATGATCGCACAGTCGTCTGGGTTGAAGATTCCAAATGTTAAAGCCGGCAACGTCATTGAAACGTAAGCTTGCAAAACTCCTGAACCTGTTAATCTTTTAGTAACAGAATAAACTTCAGATATAATAAATGCCTTTCTGTTTCCTTTGTTGTTCCAAACGTCCTTGAAAGACCCTTTGTTCATCAGCTGTTTATTCATCGCTTCTTTCATTTTGTGTAACTCGTCATTGACGGAAGCATTTCCACTACTACCTCTTAGCCAATTGAGTGATTTATAAGCTTGTTCCTCTTTCCCATGCATTAAGAGATAGTACGGCGATTCTGGTATGAACGCAAAAGACACAATGAATAAAAATGTCAAAATTGCACAACTCATTGCGAGTTCTGAATAAGAAACGTAAGGGCCGACAAAGTAAACCAAAAGAACTCCAAAGTTTCTCATGAGATGTGTAAACATCGTTAGCGACCCTCGCAACTTTGGTTCAGCAATTTCCCCAATATAGATGGGTATTATGGTGGAAGTAGCGCCAGCCCAAAGCCCTGCGATGAATCTGGCGATGTACAAAGACGTTGCTGAAGCTGTGCAAAAAATCATCAGCCATGAGATGAGAGGTAGAAGAGCTAAAAGGAGAATCGCTTGCTTCCTTCCGTACTTATCCATCATCATTCCACTTGGTACGGGGCTGATTAAGTGTCCGAGATAGATCATGGAGACCATCCACGATATTTGGCCAGAGTCCAGGATCACTGGAGCATCCATGTTTTTCATCTTGATAAGAGTTGGTGATGGCCATCCTGCAGCGTTTCCGACCAATGCAAAACTAAAACTCCCTGAAAAAATTGTGTTTGATTAGAAAGTGTTAAGTAGACTCGAGTAGGAAATTAGGTTTATGTCCGACCTTGGATACAAGGAATGTGTTTAAATTTGATTGTCTGAATAACTTTATATTCTAATCAGTCTGTATTCTTGCTTAGTAAAGGGATGAAAACACAAAAGAAGAACATATGTACTTTTGGATTCCAGGTTTAACATTGAACATAGCTGATTTCCCTAAATACGTTAAGTATTTCCTCTTGTGACTCATCTGGTAAAAATGTCACCGGTGTAGATATCAGGAAAAAAATTGTTTATAGTATGAGTAAGGTCTGTAGGCAACTTGTAATTTGTCAAAGTCCAGATTAAGTAAAAACTTTCCCAGCTGATCTATATCAGTAACAAAGTTTTTTACTCATACTTCACACATCTTCACCTTGAGGTATGACATGGCCACCTTTAACTCCAGGCGGCGGCCTTCGAAGTTGCAACGTTGCAAGTAGTGTTGTAACAGCTGTTTTGTTTTGAGGCAGCTAATGGTATTTGTGTATTTTTTAAGAATACGAAAGCTTGGTTACTGGGCTATGAAAATAATGACTCCATTTAAATGTACAGAAAAAGATTTTCAATTTATATTTTTTGGTTTTCAATTCTATATGTTTTATTTTCAATCTTTTAATAAATTTATGTTCATAAATTTAAATTTAAATTAATAATACGCAAATTAATGAGCTAGTGTCTACCTGTCTGCCATATCTTACAGGACTTCCGGCACTAAACAACACTACTTGCAACGTTGCCAATTCTACCAGGCTGGAGGTTTTTTGTCAAGCGGTCTGGAGTTAAAGGTGACCGTGGGTATGCACCCTGGTGTTTTGGTGTCAATTGAATCTAATTTAATGTGATGTAAACTTTGAACTCAATCCTATTTCCTTGATAAATTCTATTCCTGTAAAAAATATCGGCCTTCTATCCACAAAAGTTGAAAGACCTCATTTCAAAACCTATTACAAAAACAGCTCATTTTAACATTTAAAATTACTACGGTAAAACATGCTAGACATTAGCTTTAATTTTAGTCTACTTACCAACAATTGTCGCAAGATATTGGTGAAATATTGCCAAATATTGAGGTGTAAAAGGAAATAATTGTTTCATCATTCTATAGTAAATTGAAACTTGGATGACCTGAAAATAAAGTGTCTTTCATAACTATAATTTTCCTCTCTGAAAGATTTTTAGAAACTGTAAATGATCTAGTTAGTTATCTAGATCTCTCTTTATGGTGCAGATCTACAACCAACAAATTAACTGTGGATTTATAGTATATTCACCTAGCTAATAACTGAAACAAAAATAATTAATCTTTGTTTACAACAATAATACAATGTTGTTCTATCCATGTTATTTGGTCCTTTAGAATTTTGCAGGAATTGTTGGTTCCTGACATTTAAAATTGGTTAGCTAGAATGGTCACTGGTCAGTAATTCCAATAAGCTGGGTGTTACGTTTTGATGTCATTATGAAACCTTGGGCCAGGAAAACCATTATATCCGCTTGAGTGGTTTTGTTGGTTGGTTAGATACACTTTCCGCGACACTACTCTGTCTAGTGGACCAGCTGTTGCTTTTCAAAACATACTTTTCTATCTCATCAATGTATTTTGTGAATGTATGTGTTTGTGAATCCAAACAAACAATGGAGTTACTGGCGTGGATATAATGCATTTCCTGCTCTGAGTCATTTGATAATGATCTCCTGTCGAAACATGAAACACCCTGATGGTTACAAATTAGGACTGCTGACAGGTAATGTGACATTATTTAATATTGCAGTTCCAAAGATATTACAATGAATTTTAAATAAATTTACTATTAAAGTGTTATCAGTAAAATAATATTGGAAAGTAAAGCGTAATAATGATGCAAATAAAATAGGTTTATCTTATTTAAATTGTATCATCTGACTCATCATTGTCACATTGACACATAAATGTTCATATTTATAGTGATGAATAGATAGATTAATTTTACGAAACAGCTAAGCTCTAATAATGTCAGTAAAAAAGAATGAAAAAATTAATACAAATACACTATTTATTAAACAATCAAATAATATAACAATTATGCATTATTTATACAGATTGTAACTAACCTTCCTTTGCAAAGATTCCAATTGATAAAAAAAATAAAATATGTATTGTTGGTATGGAAAAGCAATTAACTATCTGTATTTTTCAATGGTGTAGTAGGAAAAAACCATCGATATCCCTTTAACTTTGAGTTGAAGTTGAACACTAATTGATAATTTCTATCTACCAACACTGATTAACTAGTTTTAAGCCTACATAATACAGCACTCTGTCCAAGTTGAAATAGCTGTTTAATTTAGATAAGATACTGTGTCTTCTAATAAATGTGTAACTTAAATTTATCAAGACAATTAAAGGTGATACTACAGTAAAAGGACTGGAACTTTACGCGATTAACCACCTCAGACAGTATTTTTGTGTGTGCTGATGCAGACGATAAAGATTTATACTATGGAATAAAATTGTTGGTAATGGTAAGGATTAATAAATAAAAATTTCATTATTAAATTGGGATGGTTTTTACTTTTTAACACATTTAAGATTGTTTATATTAAACATCTAAAATTAAATCAACACAGTTTTGTCCTTATACCAAAATCACATTTTAAAAAACTTGAAAAAACCCCATAAGAGATCATACTAATATTATAAAGTGAACGTTTATGTGTTTGATTGTTTGTTGAAGTTCAATCACACATTAACTACTGGTCGGATTTGGCTGAAATTTGGTATAATGATAGCTCACATTCCCGATTAACATATAGACATATTCTCATCTCAATGGTCCTTTCGGGCTCCACCCCATTCGCCAGTGGCTCTGGAGTTTCCCATGTTAACCTTACGACTATCTATTTTATTAAAAGAGTTTGTTGGATTTTTACAGCAGCAAATCAGTTCATAAATATTTATTTTTATAGGCATATTGAGTATTATCTATATATTAATTACGTAAGCCTATTCTTTGCGTCAAAATTGTGGGCGACTGGGAAGTCGTAGAAAGACAGGAGAGGACTCAAATTAAAGGTCTTGATCCCGTGACGGCGGGAAAAATAGTGAAATTCCCAAAATATTGACACAAAATTAGATATAACGTAAAATGTTCTCCATAACAATAGCATTAGAAGCCATTTACTGCTGATTTTTGTTTACTTCAATACAGCTGATCACGATTTATCACTTAGCCGGTACACAATATTAACATTTGGATGACTTAATTGCCAGTCAATTCTGCAATGTACTACTGTATATAAAACATCATTAACTATAATAATTAAGACTTTTTAGTTATGTACGTTATAGAATGTTGGAATAAATTATTTTACTGTGAAACTTTTCAAATATGTGTATTTTTAACGTATAACATGAAACAACGACATTGACGATTAAATTAAATAATTAACGGTTCGAGATTAAATGCAAAACTTTAGTTTTGTTTCTATTTACTTTCCGTTTTTATTTCAAAACATATGTTCAAGATGTATTCTGCACTTTCTTTGTACATTTACTAACATTTTAAATTTTGGATTTATTGTAGTCTTTAGTCAATATTTTGTATGAAGTGAAATAATCTCAAAAGGCTACTCTTAGAAAATAACCTGAGAATAAAGATGGAATAGGTTCGGCTTATACAAAGAGGTATAGGTGGAGGCTTATTCAAAGAGGTGACACTGTACTGTGGTGTCCTGACCGTTATCATCTATCTAAGTATCTCAGTATTGTTCCTCTCAGTAAGTGAAGCTGAGGTGATGTCAATGTATGGCCTGGCAAAAACAGCACTACCATATTGATTATGAGGTCTCTCTAGAATCAGTCTCATTCCCTCTATGTTGGGTCTAGGTTTTAAAATGCCCCGGTGTGTTTCTTGCACAAGGAGGAAGTCGCATTCGTACGTCTTGCACATATCAGACAGTAATACTTCTTTGTCTCTCGATAATCCCTTGATATTAATCGAGATCGTTACTAATGGCCTTGAAAAAGACCGTTTAGACAGATTCATTTTTTGAAGTCGTCCGGTTGTAGAAGGATTTGCCGCTGACATGTCAGCGTTGCTCGGGGTGCGCCCGATTGTGATGTCGTTCATAGCGTGTAATGGTCACAATCTTTGGGGAGGCTCCTTCTGTGCACCCCCTGTTGCAGACGATAAAGATTAAGATTATGGATTAGATTAGTTAGGATAGGATTAGTTAGTAATGGTAAGGATAAATAAATATAAATTAGATTATTATATTGACTAGAGAACCCGTGCGGCTCAATGAGCCGCATAGTATGACACATAACGCTGAGGAAAACGCCATGCTTAAATTCGAGTAATTCTAGTTAGGCCTACATCTTAGGAGTTGTTTAAACACTTGTTAGAAACTAATTTTAAATATCTCTATTTGCGTCGTCAAGATTCACCTGCATTATTTCTGCTCTCAGTTTTAACTGATAGCTTCTAATGAATGCTAAACCATCTGCTTCAATTCAAGCTAACATATTGCAACAAAGATTTTCCAACATTGAGAATTGAAGAAAACTGTTGCCTAGACATCCCCCTAATCAAACGAATTTTCTCCGTAGAGAATCCTGAAAAGTGGAGTGATATCAACCATTTAATGTGCTCCATTGTTTACCCACAAACTCTGGGTTATCAACTGGAAAGCCTTTGAATAGCCTAAAGCAGCAACACCATTGATAGTTTGTTAACATATTTTAACGTGTTGTGTGTTAGTCACAGTATATGCCTCGCATCAGAACGTCCTCACGTTGTTCAGTGGGGTTTCTCTTAATACATGTCCCAAAATTTTGAATGTATGGATTCATTTGTCGAAATAGGTTGGATAAATTTTATATCTATAAGATTTGGATAGGAATATTCATTTTCTCTTTTTGAACAGCGTATATTATTTGCCTCTCCTTAATCATAAAAATAAACTTGACTTTATCTACTTGATCGTTGAATACATAAACACTAATTCCTTCACTTATGTCTATTATTGCAACTAAAATTCAGTCAAAAAACTTTTTATACGTTTTTTCGAGGAACAGGCAACATAACCTAGAAGTAAACAATCCATTTGTGTTTTTCCTCAATTAAAGTAGAGCGAGTAATACAAAAGTTTACAATGAAAACATAAAGTCCGCCAAGATTTGGTATAATCTTACTAATTGAACTTATCAACTCAAGGCATTATTATGGTTTCTAATAAATGTTTTTAAATATCTCGATCCGCCAGTGTCATAGCCTAAGTAAAATCTCTTGCATACATTAATTTGATATGACATTAGGCAAGTTTATTTTACAACCGTGACAACACGGCTTCGTATGGGCTTCGTATATTTTTTCACTTCCAAAGTAAGTTGCATAGCAAAACTGGCAAATATAATTCATCTCTCCAAGTGCATGTGTATATGGATGTGTATCTGTTAGATCAGACCTCTCTTTCTCTACTCTCCTCATACACATAAGATACCTTATTATTAATTGTTTCCTCCTCCCGTTTACAATATTTCGTCTTTCAACTTGAGGCATTTTCCGTTCTTCCAACAAAACTGATTAACTGTTTAACTTGATCTTAACCTACCTACTGAATATTAAAACATTAATATTTACTCCCAAAAAGCTAATGCATTTCTTTTTATAAACAGCAGTTTTTTGTTTTTAAAATCGTTCAATGTATTTCTTATGGGGAAAACCCAACCTTTGAGAGGGTCTCACGCCCTTAAGAATAGAAATTTTAAAGTTCTAAAACCTTATTGCAAAACTACATATTGAGACGAATCTTTTGACACCTTAAACGTTGAAATTGGTCCACAAATAAGGGAGGAGTTGCGTTAAAAAAAATACGGCTTCACGTATTATATATATAGATATAATTTTTACTTTTTAACACATTTAAAATATGTTGGATAAAACATCTAAAATTTAATCAACACAGTTTTGTAATTGTATACCAAAATCACATTACCAACACACATTATTATTGTTTTTATTTTTAAGTTGAAAAAGTCATCAGTAATGTTTGTATAATTGAAATACTTCGTTTATATTTATGTATAAAGCGACTTGATTGAACAACATTAACATTAGCAATACAATACTATTTAAAAACATGAAAAGCATCAAACTCAAAATTTTATTCCAATTAGTGTTTAGGAACTGTAAATTTTTATTTCTGAAATCCAAACAAAGGCAAAGGGTAATAATCACAATATATTTAACAAAAATTAAACACTTCTAAGTTTAATTGCTTAACAGTACGGTATCAACTTAAAGCCCTGCATAGGTCTAACTTTTACTGTATGTAATCTCTCGGTTTATCAACATGCAATTTGCTATTATAAGCAGACGTAATTATTCAAATGAGTTGATTCTTAGTCCAGGTTGTCCTGTTGATAACCTATTTGTCTGGGTAAAGATAATTCTTTAAGGAACACCTGCCAATCAATGGTTTCTGTTAGCAAAGGTGACAGTTCCAAATTGAAACACTTAACTGTCTACTTTTGTAATTTCAACATCAATAACTTATCTGCTTTAACGGTTCAGAAATACACCTGCATCCTTCTATAACCCTAAAATAGATAGAATATGCCTGCTTTGTTGATTCCAAATAACTTGATTGATGTTTGATTCCTAAAGGAGTACTTGACTGCTTTCATCATAGAAGCAATGGCTCAGCAAAAATTGCACTTAACTGACAAACTTATTTTAACACAGTAGTGTCCCGCTGCTCCAAAATAACTAGGACCCCAAACCCTATTCGGATTTACGGGAATTCGGAATAAGCGGATTTATTTTTGTAAAGCACCCCTGTATCTGGGTGTTTGTACACTTACCTCTCTGTTCTTTCATATCTCAACCTCCGTTATCTTCAACTGGTCTGAATATTTTCTCTGCACTTTATTTTCTTAAACCTGGCAATAAGGTTTTACGGTTCTTTGGTCAGTGCTCAAGTTTTTGAACCATACAGTACTACTGGGATGGTTATCAGTATGGTATGAACTGTTTTGGTTCCTACTGACCACCCTGCAGCTTTTTAGACCGTTTTATAGAGACCTAGTACAGAGGTTGACATTTGCATTGCTAACCAAAATTTTGGTATGCCGACATACACACATTCGAACATTAAGAAAAAAGATTATCAACACGTAAACCATATTTAGTATATTTTACTTATATTTTGCACATTTCCTGGTTTTGCAGATCCTTTACGGTAGGAAAAGGCAAACAACGAAAATCAATATTTTGTAAAAAAAATAACTTGTAACAAACATTTCAGTGGCAGTTTGGAACCAGATGCTAGTTAAACCAACATTGAAATGAGCGTCGGCTGCTAGACTTAAAAAAAAATTAAAACCTAATTTAAAAAAAAAACTGAAACTTTAAACTAAAATTATATGGCTTTGACGTTCCCTTCCTTTCAAAATTCAAATCAAATCAAATCATTTTCATTTTGCACAGAAAAACTGTATAATAGCGTCACAAGAATGTAAAATAAAACTAAATTCTAAATCCTATAAGAACTAAAATATAACAGAACAGTATCTTAATTCCATAGGCAACTTAAAAACTCTTTCATAGTGTACGAAGCTTGTTCTAAAAAAATGCGTTTGACCGCTCTCCCAAATTTGTCCTTGTCTTGCTCCACTTTCAGGGGCTCAGGAAAACCACACACACACACACATTGGAAACATCCAACATTGGACACCATTGCACCCAGCTCCAGCATTGGACACATTGGGGACATTGGAAAACCTAATACTGTTATAAAAGAGTTGTCTCTCAAAGAATCTTGTCCTGTGCTTAGGTAGCTTGATATTGTTTTTGTGGTGGTAGGTTAGTTGCGCAGATAATGACCCTAGGGCCATAAATGGAGGGTTCCGCATTTTAATCTGGTGGGCCCCTTAAGTAGGTAGGTTAGTTGCGCATCTATATAATTAATGCGCTACATGAAACTTTGTCGGTTGAACTCCTCCGCCATTTCTTAACCGATTTTATCCATTGGCGTCTCATTGGAAAGAGCGTGTCACGTAGATTTGCAAACTGGCCTTACATTTGTTTTAAAGTCCCTTGGGCTCTTCCCCAGTGGCTGTTAAAGTGCCCATGTTATCCTTATGAAGAACATAATTGTTTACATTTTGATCAGCTGTATAATTTTATTGCTGTTATTTATTTTTCAAACGAATTAGGTAGGCCTACATTACTGATTTGATGAAATTAATTGTGTATATATATTTAACTGTTTTTAATTTACATTCGTACATATTACAATGTAAAAACTCGAGAAATCCTGGACAATTTAAAATATTTTACCAAATAAGAAAAATGAATTGACATAGTACTGTATGTCTTGAGAAATCATTGAAAGAACCGATTTGTTAACCATGGAAACATAGAAAAGTCATAGAACACCACCAAGTAGAAGAAATAGAGATAAAAAAATAACCATCGTTATTAACCTGAAGAACACCTACAGCTACAATATGAAGATTTCCACAAACAATAAACAAGGGTGTTAGCCGTTCAAGTGCTACTATTTTGTACATGGACTTAACTTTATGATAATTGGCAAAGGAAACCCCTCTAAGCCTGAATTAAACTGGTATGGCAAGGACATTAATCATTAAATATATGTTCTCATAAAAGTCAAGTGATTTTAAAAGAATGTGACTACATCCAAGAAACCTTAATAAAACTTTTATTGCAGGATTCGCATTATTCACATTATTATTCACATTTAAAGGAAACAAAAAACATCTAAACATTAGGCCTTTCAATTCTGCATGTTTCAGGTAAATATAATTTATGATACAAAAGTAACCAGCCAAATGAATGCCAATTGATGCAAATAAAATTGCAACAGAGAGTTATGCAGAAAATCAGGCAGTTCTTAGTCACGTAAACAAAAAGTTATTGCTAAGAAATTTAAAACATACTGGCGACAATGGGTGGTACCATGCAGACTACATTATCATTGACGAAGATCAACACGGACAACCTAATAGGGCTGTAGGTGGGAAACATTTTAAAAACCAGATCAGCTTTTGAAAAATTATCAAATATTTACAAGAAATGTTGATTATATGGAACTGTTAGGTACGTATCTATATGTTGAGTCTTCGGAAATTATGATGACTTTTGTTCGTTTTTAAATAACTACTTTACTTCTTTGCAATTGCTCGATTTCGAGCAGCGTGTACACTAGTTAATATTGACAAAGGTGGGTTACAATTCATTAGACAAGCGTAATTAGCATCACTAAAAGCCGGCGTGGAATGAATATTGAACATAATGAAGTTAAGTATCCAAAGATTGAATACTCTTGTATCCGATAAATAATTCGGAATAGTAATGATACATACTCTGATACTCCACAAATTCTAGGTTCAGGATTAAGGAAAATCACCTGTTTCATAAATGACTTTCAAAATTGACCTTAGTAATAATACTGATTTGACCTTTTAGTAATAATACTGCACAGATACCCACTTGGATTAGTTGTGATAATAGTTATGCAAAAAATACGTGAACATGTGGAATACCACGTGATCTAGAGATGCTTGAATTCTCCAAAAAGGGCGTAAGTGATCGCAACCGCATACCATCCGTGCGTCCTACAAATACTCTCTCCCCCCGTTTTCCATAGTTTAAGGAATATTTTTTTGGAATTCCTTGAAATGTTATACTGCATTGTTTACCACAGCGTTTACAGCAGAGAACATATTTACAGTAGTTAGTTGTTGACCATCACTGAGAGTAAAACTCGAGAAGTGACGTTGTAGTGATTTGAACATTGTATTAAGATTTCATTTTAAATTTCAAGAGATTATTATTCAAGCCGTCAATGCGCAACTAACCTACCGGATTATAAACCACCCTACGGGACGCGGATTAATGTAGGTAGCAAATGCGCAACTAACCTACCCCCGTTTTGGTGTCTGAGAGTGTACCGCATTGAATGGAACTGCTGTTGATACAGATGATAATTTCTTTTTAAAAACGACAGACAACTCAGTATTTATATGGATGGAGATGTAAGAATATTTGTATTTCTTGAAGAGAGGCTTGCAAGAAGTACAACGGGATATTCTAAAGTCTACTCTTAGGGCTTTTTTCTGAAGACGGAAGACAAACTTTGTTCGTACGCTCTCACAGCCCCAAACTGCCACCAAATACGATAATAATGGGTAAATCAGTCCATAATAGGCACTCAAGGTTACACGAGAATCGGTAAACTTCAAAACACCTCTTATACAGGATATGAGCTCTATACAAAAAAAATCCTGTCACTTTTCAATATACTAGTGGCTTGTAGGCTATATTCTAGTAATTATTTTGTACAAAATATTAGTCTCATGGGTTACCCTACCTTGAATTATTATTTAACATTTTTGTATATTATGATATGTATAATGGTTATTACATACCTGCATAATGCATTTTGATGTCTGCTCTGTTTGAAATAAAAATTCCAAAGGACTGTTCATGCGGTGTGTTTTTAATATAAACTTTCTAATCATAATACAACTAAGGAACATTTTCCAATAACAATCTTCATGACTATTAGTTAAATCTATATATATTTCTTTAAATACAGACAAAATCACTTAGAAAAACACATCGAGATAATGTCATCATCGAAATTGTAAAATGCTAATTTTGTAAGAAAATCTCTCTGAAACAATATTTGTTGTATAGTATCCATTTTAGTCGATTCCTTGGTCTTCATTTGGTTCTAGTACTATTAACAACATAAAGTTGACCATAGGTAAACACTGGGTTTTTCAAATTATTTTATCAATTATTTTATCCTGTAACAACCTTTTGGTGCATAATTAAGAAAAATTAATAATTTTCCCCAAAATTTCAGGCCCAGACCTTTAAAATGAGACCTCTACCAGCTTTCTACGTCCTCCCGTTAGCTCACAATTTCATTGTAAAATTTTGGGCTTACGGAATTAGATATATAGATAAGATTAGTATAATCAATGTCCATGATCTTTAACTATTAAGATGATGTTTGGGATATTAAAACCCCAAACTTAACTAAGGTTTTAATAAAAAAACTAAGTTACTAAGTATAAATTTATTTATTTTTAATATTTACAATTTTTGTACTTGATTTACTGAAAGCTACCACGAATACTAGAAAATAACAGCTACATACTTTAGCTTTCTACATACTTGAGGGATCAATATCAAAGGACTAAAATTATCAAATATGGGCAACGTGTATATTCTAATTGGGAAAAAGTTGAAGTAGGTGTGCCTCTGGAATCAATATTGGCTCTCTCTGTATGTTTCTTATTTATGTAAATGACCTACCAAACGTGTCAAAGATGGATATCTTTCAGTTTGCAGATGACACAATGATGTTATGTAAGGGACCCAATGTTTTGAGTGACTGGTTTGGGGTAAATCGGCTCTCCTTGAACATGGACAAGACTCAAGTAGTTAATTGTCGATCAGATCATAGAAATAGTTTAAAACAAATCCCTTTTCCAAATTCTCAGTTTATGTCTGAGGAGACAGTCAATTTTTGGGTGTTCATATAAACAAAAATCTTGACTGGCTTCCTCACATTAACAAATTACAAAAAAAAAAACTTACTTTAAGCAATTTTTTCTCTCAGAACAATTTCTCAAGTCACTGACGCTAAAACTCAATTAACAGTTTATCACTCATATTTTTCATCTTTAATGTCATACAGAATTCTTGTGGGGGGAAATTCTTGCCATGGTAAAAAGATTTTTAGGCTTCAAAAGAAGTCACTTAGAATTATTGCCAAAGTACCCCGAAGAAGTCCATGTAAAACCATCATCCAGGCGTTTCAAGTTTTAAAATTTTAAGAC